TACACCACTTTCGGCTCTCTTCCGTCTTTCCCCTTCATTGGGGGTGTTCCCCACCTCACTTGGAATTCGGCTCTGTGTGGTACCTGCTGGAACTTGCAGTATTTCACTTCCGCTGGGACACATGAGAGCATCAACATCACCGCTGTCGATGCAGCGGATACATTCAGTTTGTCCCTTGAGGCATTTGACGAGCTCACGGACGATACTGGTGTCGCTGCGGGCGGGGTCTATGCAAACTCCACCCAAATAGACGCGAGCTTCTGTGGCATATAATCACAGGTAAGATGTTTTATGATACGCGGGTGAACAAAGGTTTACTTCCGAACAAACAAGCATATCACATCACCAGGACATCTTGAAATTTGATGAATTATTTAGTTACACTATGGAACTCTGGTCTCATCGTCTTGATTCTTCTGCCGTTGCTGTTATATATACTTGGCTTTCGATTTTCATTCGAAGTACAGTTGTTCACAGTACAGTACTTACCCGTTCATCGTGATTAGTTGGTCGGACTTGCATTAACTTAATTGTCTATAAATTGAAATCGTACTCTTTAACCAGAGGTCACAAGAAGAAAGGTCAGAAGAACAGGTCAACGTTAGATGTGGTCAAAACAAATTTGTTGTCCGTGGATTTATCTCGTCCAGAGAAATGTAACTGTCCTATGTCGCTTAGTAATGGGAAAGACTACGAGAAATCCCGAAGAAAGCGGATAGAGTTGGCAGAGGATGGGAATACGTTTGAATTCGACAAGAGCCCTCCTCCACTAACGTGGGAGTTGGGGAATTGTATGCGACTGTTTATGATCGCGTGACTGCACAGCATGTCATTTGACGGGCAACACCTACATAACCTTGCTCCAAGGTAATCTAAGTGAGTATTCAGAATTTCAGACTCTGGGAGAAATCAGGTTATTTTCGTTTGCATACTCAGAAAGTCACATGTGATCCTTACTCACGAGAACACGTGGTACTCATAGTCGCACGACGTTTCACGCAATGGTGAGCAATAATTAAAGTTGAGTACCTGGTGTTGAACTAGCTAGGCTGTGGTGCATGAGGCTTATACCGTATATTAAGCCTATTGTGCCATTATAGTCCAGTTCCATTTCACCTGGACCAGCTTCTGCCCCACAAATTCCTTAATGGTTACAGACTTTACCCTCAGCGAGCGTGCAAATGCACTCTCCCCACAAGATATGCTGACCCTCCCTCGGCCTGGCGTGCCTCTGCCAAATGACATCGGTGATCTTGCTATCGTACCCATCAGCACCCACTCTTTTCAGGACCGCAAGTATGCTCCTCCTTCTTTTCTTTGGACTTATACTAGTCATAACACCTGGCTCTTAGAACTCACAAGTCACTCTCCGTTATTGCTCTCGGCGATAGCCATACCTATGACATTCCTTTACCCGACGGCGGCGATGCCTTTTGGCTTGATTCTCGCACCATCGCACATGTCGTAACAAAAAATGACACACAGAGCCTCTACACCATCCCCATCAGCACTTCTCCTCTCTCCTCCGACCCCTCCTCCCACGTAGGATCTTTCCCCATCACCACTGCCAGCGCGTTCCGTTACAGCCCTAGCGCTCAGCGCCTCGTGTTCTCCGCATATGTTTATCCTGACGGCCTCGTCGAGACCGTGAAGGAGCAGGACACGGCGTATGAGAATCGGGGCAATTCTGGTCTGGTGTATGATGAGATGTTTGAGCGCCACTGGGATACGTGGGTTGGTCCCAAGAGCAAGGCTCTCATTGGGGTCAGTTTGGCGAAAGTAGGTGCGAAGTGGGTACTGGGGGAAACCTATGTGAACGTGCTAAAGGGGACAGGACTCGTAAGTACATGTTTCTACACTCCGGGCTAGCGGTGAAACTGATTTGAGCTAGTCTTCCCCTGTGGAACCGTTCGGTGAGACAAATGACTATGATATTTCCCAAACGCATGTCATCTTCACTGCCATGGACCCGCAACTCCCCAGGGCTGTGCACACTAGGCAGAATGTGCGTGCACTTCATATCTTGCCCTTCTATGCTAACACACTACCACATAGGTCTACCTCGTTGCACATGACGGAAAGGACCTTAGACAACTCACCTCGGGCATCCAAGGTGCGACGCACTCCCCTGTGTTCAGCCCTTCTGGCGATAAGGTCGCCTGGCTGGAACTGGCACTTGATGGGCACGAGAGTGATCGGTAGGTCATGCGACCTATTCGTATGCCGTTCTAACTTTAATTCGCCCATGTACCTCTCACTCGCTCATACACTTACTTCCCACGTTGTCAACTTTATGTGTACAGCGCGAAAGTGGTGATCTATGATCTCAAGGAAAATGTCCGGTTCACCATTACGGAGGACTGGGACCGCTCTCCTGATTCTATTATCGTGAGTACATCTTCATCCGATCGTCCCTACTTCTTTGATTCTATCTCCTGCATTGTGATCCTTATCAATTCCTTGCGAGTTTACTCCTCACTCCTATACATATGTCGTCGTACTAGTCAGCTAACCCAATCCCAGTTCTCCCCTTCCTCTGCCCTCATTTATGCCACTACCGGTGATCATGCCCGCATCAAGGTCTTTGTGTTGGCTGTTCCGCCTACACCTCCCTCCAACACCACACAGACCACTCAACCTACAGCCCTCACTTCCAGCGGTTCTATATCCGGCTTCACGCCAATCCCAGGTGGCAGGGCCACCTTCGCGCTTTCGAGCCTGACGTCTCCAAACGAGGTGTACAAGCTTAGTGGGCTCGACGCTGCCGAGCGGGATCTCTTAGCAGGAAGAAAGGCAGATGTGAAGGCGACGACGGTTACGCGCCTTACTTCGTTCTCCTCCGCTGGGCTCCAAGGCAAAGATCTCTCCCCCGGGAAGGATTTCTGGTTCAAAGGTACGGCCGAGGAGCAGGACATACACGGTTATGTGATTACCCCACCTGGATTCGAACGTGGGGTCAATGGGAAGTGGCCTGCAGTGATGCTTATCCACGGAGGTCCGGAGTGGGCCTGTTTTGACCAATGGTGGACGTTTTGGAATCCCAATGGTACACAAATTCCTTTTGATGGGCTGCAAGGATGGGCTAATGTTTGGGCTACGTGTGCTCTAGTCTTTGCGAGCCAGGGATACGTGGTCGTTGCTATCAATCCAACGGGGTCCACTTCATTTGGACAGAGTGAGCTACTCTCTTCTCTTGTCTGTTCTTGTGCTTATGCAGTATTTCAGAATTCACAGATGGGGTCAATAAAAACTGGGGAGGCCGCCCCATCCAAGACTTGTTGATGGGATGGAAGTACATCCTTCAAGAATACCCAGAGGTGAGGCCCTGCACCTTGTCTTCCTCACTCAACGCATCCTGACGTCAACCTCCGCGCATAGATTGACCAGAACCGCACGGTGGCTGCTGGTGCTAGTTATGGGGGGTATGCAATCAAGTGCGTGTCATCTCCTTCTCGTCCTTTACATCCTCTTGTGTCCTAATTCTCGTTCTTTGTAGTTGGATCCAAGGCAACCCTGAGCTCGGATTTGGGTTCAAGGCACTGGTCTGCCACAATGGAGTGCGTTTCCCGTCATTGCGTGAAGTAGCAAAGGAAGACACTGATCCATTACATAAAACAGATGTTCGACACAACCTACGACAGCTACGTCACAGATGAACCATTCTCCGTGCGTCTCCCATCTCTCCCTTACAACGCTAACTACTGACACACTCCAGTTTAATCACGGATGGGGAGGACGTCCATGGGAACCTGCCGCGCTCGAAGCCTCGCGGAAATACAGTCCCGCGTATACCGTTGCCAAGTGGTCGACCCCGCAGCTGACAATTCATAGCAGCAAGGATTACAGGCTCCCAGAGTCAGATGGGATTGCAGTGTTCCATGCGTTGCAGCAGTGCGTTTTTCTCTTCTTTTTGCATTCTTTTACACCTATCGTTCCTTTTCAACCCACCGTTCCTTGTCCTTTCCTTTTATTTTTGCTCCTAGCGGGCGATCCATACTGATCGACACGCATATAGACGGGGCGTCCCAAGCCGCCTTCTGATCTTCCCAGACGAGAACCATTTGGTGCTCGACGCTGGGAATGGGTACGTGTGCAGTTCTACACGCCAGTCGCGAGCTGATGATGCCTTGACTGGGATAGTTTGAAATGGCACTACGAAGTGTTTAGGTGGTTTGACCAGTTCATCGGGCTTTCTTAGGCATAAAAGCATTTATTAGGAGAGGAATTTTTTTTGGAAAGCGGTAGAACTGAAGGATATGTTTTGGAGTGGCAAATCGGGCGTTTGTAAGAAGATAACACACTTGACTATACCTGAATATTAAATGGGTAGAGCTTCTGCGATTTATGACTTGCGAGCTGAATTGTTTGACCTGCTGCCTGGGCGTCTCTTTGCAAGAGCAGGCCGTGCAAGCACAAATTAATGGAATCTTCAGTATATTGGAAGTTCATCGCAGTTGTAATGCGTCTGGGCCCAACCCAACAGTACAATCACCACCTGGGTAGCCCAATAAGTTAGTAAAGCTTTCTCAGATCTTATCATTTTCGCGTCGGTTTCCTGATGCAGGTGGTGAAGACTCAAAATACGCCCAGTTGTGACGTAACCGTGATTTGTGACTAGCACTTTGTTTTTCAAAACAAGGTCACCATCTTTCCAAGATAACACAATCACTACTTCGTTCATGCGTGCGTCGAGCACGTGCTAACTTGTGCTAACATCATGTTGATCTGGCAGGCTTTTCCATTCCATCAGAACATAACCCAATTGCTGCTGGAACCTCAGGCGGTTATTCTCTTCAAGGTCACTCATTGGGTACTCACTAAAATAATCTAGTTCCAACATCCATATACTGCATGTACTTCACATCACCAGTTCTTATCGATCATCATTTTGTCACTGCATCATGGTTTCAACGTGGCAAATAGGTCAAATGGGCGCCTTTCCTTGGTTCAAAGTTACAGCACTGCCGCTCAGGGCCTGGTGTTATATTTTCCACCCCCAGATGGATGCCTTCACCGGTGGTGTGACCATTCTTCAGCTCGTTCAAACGATAGGGCAAGCTTCATTTTTTCTGTATCGATATGTTGTTTCCGCCCGCAACGCTCCCTCGTCCTGTAAAAGGCTCCTTGACCAGTACAATTCAATCAGAGGTATCCTCACCGCCGTTATGGACATCAAGAAGGATCCATGTCTTCCAGACAATCTCCGTGGTGTACTTTCAAAACTGATGGCTGAAAATGGACCAATCACGAAGCTACATGGAGAACTGAAGCAGCATCTGCCGGATGACCTGGTGAGTGGGAAAATGAGCAAAAAAAGCAGATGGACCTGGCCACTCAAGGAAAAGGAAACGGGAGAGATCGCTGATAGATCGAAACAATATTATGTCGACATTACAGCAATTCTAGCAATCGACTCATGGTAAGCTGACTCATTCGTGATGCATTCCAAAATATAATCCAGCGCAAGGAATACAATCAAGGAAATTAGTCAAGGAGTCCATGGATTAAGGGAGGATTCTACTGCACAAAAGTTGCGCGAAAAAGGTGAGTCGCTGATAGCTAGTCACATCCTCACCTTGTTCAAATGCATATAGCCGAGGAACGTCATAAATTCCTTCAATGGATGAACCTCGTGTCTTGTACTGAAAAGTACGCCACCTGCCATGGTCAGCGAAACCCTGGGATTGGTCGTTGGATTTTCTACACCGATGAGTATAAGACTTGGAATACATCAGATCGCGCATTTCTATGGTTGAATGGCCAGCGTGAGTTTTATCCTTCACCATTAATTGCAAGTCGCTGACACTCGCACAGCTGGACACGGAAAGACAATCCTTGCGTAAGTTCGGACTCGTCCGGAAAGTTTTCTCCGATTAGCTTCTGAACTTGCAGTTCCTCCGTTATCGACGAAATTCAGGGTAAGGGTGAAGCAGAGTCACAGACGCTCAGGTACTTCTACTGCAATTTCCGAGATGACAGGACGACAAGCGCAGCAGCGGTTTTGCGCTCCTTGGTTGTTCAGCTACTTCAACAATCTCAAGACGACTGGATCACCAAGATACGCGAGCCAGGGCTGCAAGAAGGTGATATTACTTCTCTGCGAAACCTCTGGCAGCAACAATACGATGCAAAGCTGCATCCCACAGGTCTCGGTTATCTACGAAAGCTTCTTGTTGAAGCATCGACGCTAGTTCGCCGACCAGTCCTTGTGATCGATGCCTTGGACGAATGCAAGGACCACCCCAACTTGGTCGGACATCTTGTAAACCTTGCCGAAGATGCTCGACTACGACTTTTCGTCACCGGTAGAAGCGAGCCAGACATTCAAGACGCCTTATATGATCTCCCCACCTTGTCGTTGAAGGACAGCGCACAGCGGATGAAGGCAGATATATGCGCACACATTACGGAGCAGCTGAAGACTCAGACGAAATTATCATGCCTGTCCGACGCGCTGAAGGAGACAATTTTGGATGTTAGAAAAGGCCGAGGGCATGTAAGTAAAACAATTCTTACTCGCTCCTTGGAAATTCATCATTGTATGATCATATGCAGGTTTCGCTGGGTTCAGTGTCAACTGGACGAAATCATGGCTTGCAAAAGACGTATCGAAATTGAGGCAGCCCTCAATAACCTTCCAGCTGGACTTTACGAGACGTATGATGGGATTATTCAGGCAATCAAACAAAGAGGACGAAGCGATGAGCAAATCGCCCGGAGTTGTTTGCTTTGGCTCGCCGGCACGTTCACCCCGTTAACACTTGATCAGCTCAACGAAGCGATGATGATCGAAGTCGGACAATCAAATCTTAGTCCAGACCTTGGTGTTATGGACCCTATGGATATCGTGACCGCGTGCGGAAGCCTTGTGACATATAACGAGAATACTGGGGTCGTCGCTCTATCTCATTATAGTGTCAAAGTATGATTTATCAACCTTCTTCATCCTACTCGTCCGCTTATGCGCTATGCAACCAGGAATATTTGATCAGTCGCCCTAGTAACATCTTTAGATCGATCTCAGACATGCACGCACAGATCTGCGAGTTCTTGATTACGTATGTGTTATGTGACTTTGTGGATGAGATCTGCGCAAAAGGCGTGATACTATCTTTCACATATATGAGCTAAGAACCTGATGTTTGTATAGACGAAGATCCAGTTGATGCTACGGATGTCAGCGAAGGCCATCCATTGCTAAGCTATGCAATTCTAGGATGGAAGCACCTTGGACATGTTTCGGACGAGGATCCTTGCGTCATGATCGCCCTGTCACGGCTGAACTCGGAGTTTCTTCGAAACACTAAGAAACATCGTGTGCTTGCTCAAGGCGAATACGGAATCGAGCATGTTCGGTCCAGCGTTCAGCAAAATCGCTGAACCGAATGCGAACTTCGTTCAGTTCAGTGTTGTGTTCACCAATTTCCTGGTGAGCTAGACTTTGGATTTTGGGAACTTCCAGCTGGCCCTGGGGCCTGGGCTTTACAGGGCCATCGTTCCCGGTATTCTTACTGACACGGACGTGCATTCTCTTCCGATTTCTTAGAACCTGCTACTCACCGGGGTCTTGGGAGCCTTCTGCCCCGTCTCCAGGCAGTAGCAGCAGCTGGAGCCCGTTTCAGCAAATGGCATGCCCTGATACTCTCCAATTCGTCATCCCTACTGTGTCGCTATTAGTCAACAAGCTGGTCTGACCACGACCGTGGAACCTGATGTTGATTTTGCTGAAGACGCGGACCTCAGCAAGAGCATTGGGGTCCACGTGAGGATAATCAGTATGTTTTATGTGAGATACACTGTGTATCATAGGTGTGGTGGTGGTGGGTAGGAGCTACTTCCGGCCTTTGAGGAGTTCTGTCGAGTGATTGAATTGTTCATGCAGGTTCTTTGATCAAGCCTTTCTTTCCGCAACCTGGCCTCAAGCACTATTCGCATTCTACCACGTCAGCTGTTGAGGAAATTGGCTTGGCACCGCTATAATTCTTGCTCGTCCAGTCCCTGTCACAGTTGAAGGCGTCCGAGTCGTCCTCCTTTCAGGCAGGACTTTCGTTGCTCTCTCCTGCCTGCCCCACCCTAAACTGATATATTTTGTCAAGTAGTAGGTGGTCTTTCTGACCCTGATGCAGGGAAGTTCCTCAACGCGGTCAATGTTGTTGCCAACAAGGTTCCCGCCAACTCTCCTCTTTCTCGTGTACCTCATCTTACATTCTCATTTGGACGCGGTCTGCAAGGTGATGCTATGCAGAAGTAGGTGAAGGGTGATGACGCTGGTAAAAAATCTGTGTGAGGCCAGGGCTAAGACTTGCCCACTCACGGCAAAAGGCGAAGCTCTAAGCCCAAAATATTAGAATTCATCCGTTTCCAGCCACCTTCCAAAATGACTCAGGTCGGTCGCAAAATCACGACGAGGAAACATATCAGAGGCAAGTTTGAATTCATAATACATATTCATCAACAGAACTCAATTCCGAAACCCATCGATTTACCACCAGATGCTCTTGAGCAGGTTTTTTCATGTCCTGTGCTGTCTCCCTTTCGTCAGGGGCACCGACAATCTCTTATATTAAACACGGCCTCGAAACATGCCGCATGTCCGACCAGCACAGCGCTATTTGTCCAAATTGGCAATGTCCATTCACAGGATAGGGCTGCTGTGGACTTATGGTGTGGTTGGCTCATTAGCAATATTCAAGGATGGCTAAAAGGCATGCATCAATGCATACATGGCCACCGCACGCAAGCTACACACATGCACTGTCACCTGCTGACGACTGAATTGTCCTGCGTGGAGTTATGCTCTCTGCGCGGGTCACGCGGTCATTCTCTCCTTATTTCGCGCCCATGTTCGTGAAAAGCACATAATAACGTACTGCCAAGACAGGAGACAGCACTGTCGGTGGTCGACGCCCGTACAGTCAATGATAGTTTTATGTAAAAACCCCTAAGAGTACGTGACACTGTCGTCTCCAGCACACAGGCCACCGTATTTGACTTTTAAACGTCCCGCTACGTGTCCTGCCTCATCTCATAGGTTTGCAGGCACGAAAGTTGACAACTGTCATCGGGCATTTGAGGCCACTACTAACCTCCATTCTTTACGGTCTAGCTGTGTTTTATCCTGATGCGCATGTAAGCTAGGTTCAAATTCTGGCTACACGCGCGCCATTCGTCGATGGGCACGGACTATAAAGCCTGGCCAACATCCAGAGGTCAGTCATTAACAACCCAGTCTTCAAACAACCCAGTCTTCAAACAACCCAGTCTTCAAACCACTTGCCTGCACAATGAAGCTTTCCTCCGCTGTCATTCTTCTCTCTGTCTTTGCTCTTCCTGCTTTTGCGACGCAGGTCGAGGTGACCTACGACACCTTCTATGACAATCCAACCACTTCCCTCAACGATGTCGCTTGCTCTAACGGTGCCAATGGCCTGTTAACAAAGGGCTACACCACTCTCGGCTCTCTTCCGTCTTTTCCCAACATTGGGGGTATTCCCGACCTCACTTGGAATTCGCCCCTCTGCGGTACCTGCTGGAACTTACAGTACACCACTCCCACTGGGACACATGAGAGCATCTACATCACCGCTGTCGATGCAGCGTATACATTCAATCTGTCCCTTGAGGCATTTAACAAGTTGACGGACAACACTGGCGTTGCTGCGGGCAAGGTCACTGCTACTGCCACCCAGGTAGATGCGAGCTTCTGTGACATGTGGTGATAGGCAAGTTGTTTTACGATTCGCGGGTGAATAAAAGCTTACTTCCGAACAACAAGTTTGTCACATCATTAGAATATATTGAACTTTGAAGAATCTTTGGGTTACACTATGGAACTTTCGTCTCACCGTCTTGCTTCTTCTGCCGTTGCTGTTATATATACTTGGCTTTTGGTTTTTATTCGAAGTACAGTTGTTTACAGTACTTACCCGTTCGTTGTGTTTAGTTGGTCGGACTTGCATTAACCTGATTGTCTATAAATTGAAATTTGTCTTGATTGTCATAATGCGGCGTCATCGAGGGTATTAAGTTAGGGTGGTGAACGATTTATTCTCTTTGTTGCCATCATGAGTCTATCAGCTTGCTCCCAAACCACCTAGCACTTGGCAATGCTTCCACGACTCTTTACTTGGTATCTGACAATAGCTGCTCCCCACATTTCAACGACTCCTGTCACACATAGAACTGACGAACAGATCTATGACATCTTCTCTCGGACGAAATTCCGTTGATAGAAACATTTATTAACTCGTAATTCATTTCTCGCTTTTCTGCCCTTGTCTGAACTTCCGACATCTAGTTGAACTCATGGATTGTTTCTAGGGACCGCGTTCATTATCCTTATAAACAAATGTAATTGTTGCGGTAGGTCTGCGATTGAAGCCATGCTAGAGAGTGGCTTCAAACTAACTTGTATGATCGTGATTGTGGGTAAGTCCCTGAAACCATATTCTGCAGAGCTACCTTGAAATTAGAGTGTACATCTTTCTTAGCTATCAATATACCAGAGAGATTTCAGCATGCATGCTTGTTGACGAAGGCCACACATTACTGAACTAACTTCATACAATGAACAACTTGGTTCTGATTGATAGCTGCCGCGGGAAGGTAGGGCGGAATGCAAGAGTCCTCGTTCGTCTCATTGGTCTCCATCCGAAATGCGGGTGAGAAGTCGAAGTCTACTAGCCATCACTTGATCTCGGCCATTGGAAGGCGTGCTTGAGGGATAATACGACTGAGTGATATTCTCAGGAGGAAGGTAGCGAGGTGTGAGAATTGATGTCTTCTACGAATGTGCGGGGAGAGATGAAATATTAGGTATATGCCGAGTTGAATGGCCAAGTAGATATCACTCACCGTACTCATCATCCTACACCCACTCTTTAGAAAAAATGCAGACGTGTATTACACATGAACGTGAACATCTTATAGGCGGGTGCTGAGCGCTGAGGCGCTGGCCGCGTGCAAGGGAATGAGCAGAGCACGTGAAGAAAGGGTAGATGAATATCTGTGGAGAGACAAAGTTAGGAATGTAATTGGAAGATACGAGCTCAAGTTTTTTGGAGTATGTATGATGACGCGGCTTATTCGAAGAGTCATTTGTTGAACAGGCTGTGCTCTCATTCTCTACAACACACTTCTATATTCCCCCTGCCGCTCTTTCCAGACGTGCCAGCTGAAACAACGCCCTGGAATCATCCTGAGGGCTTCTTCTATGGTTTCTCATAGGCAGGTGCTGCGGCGTGGGGTGAATGGGAAATTAGAGAGAGAGGATGAGGACAGGCGTGAGGCATAGTGAATATTAGGATATTGAGGAGGTAGCAGTTGGAGGGGGAGAGGAAAGGATTATGGGGACTTGAAGAGGGTATACGAGCTGAGGGAGGAGTTTGATGCAATGAGTCAGAACTGGACGATTGTATCACTGGCAGTATATGCTGGACTATCATGGGTCCAATATCCAATCAGTGAGTGAGCTGGGATGACGGACTCCCCTTATGCTTGCAAGGTCATATGGCACTGCGACAAAGTGTGTGGGATGTTCTGCCAATAATGATAAACATCAATTATTTCGTTATTCATGGCTGGCACTTTGTTTTTCTAACAACGCTGCGCAGTCCATCAAGAACTTGATCGACCGGGTTTTTCATCAAGAAGATTACAGTAATGATCGGCGCGACCCCCCAGACTTTGCCAAAGGCCCTACCCAGACTCTGGCCCCAGACTGGCCAAATCTCTGACATTCACGACAAGTCAGGCCTACCAGGTCACACACAGTTCTTTCAGTCCTTGTAATTCTATCAACGGTTATCCAAGCTAGGCCGTGGTGCACGAGGCGTGACTTATAGCATATATTAAGACTATTCTCAGATGTACACGCCTTGATTCAGACTTTGTGTCATGCGTAGTACTTTCTTGCAGCTGAGCTTCGCTGCTCAGGTGCCATTATATTCCAGTTCCATTTCACCTGGACCAGCTTCTGCCCCACAAATTCCTCAGATGGTTACAGACTTTAACCTCGGCGAGGATGCAAATGCACTCTCCCCACAAGATATGCTGACCCTCCCTCGGCCTGGCGTGCCTCTGCCAAACGACATTGGTGATCTTGCTATCATACCCATCAGCACCCACTCTTTTCAGGACCGCAAGTATGCTCCTCCTTCTTTTCTTTGGACTTATACTAGTCATAACACCTGGCTCTTAGAACTCACAAGTCACTCTCCGTTATCGCTCTCGGCGATGACCATACCTATGACATTCCTTTACCCGACGGCGGCGATGCCTTTTGGCTTGATTCTCGCACCATCGCACATGTCGTAACAAAAAATGACACACAGAGCCTCTACACCATCCCCATCAGCACTTCTCCTCTCTCCTCCGACCCCTCCTCCCACGTAGGATCTTTCCCCATCACCACTGCAAGCGCATTCCGTTACAGCCCCGGCGCTCAGCGCCTCGTGTTCTCCGCATATGTTTATCCTGACGGCCTCGTCGAGACCGTGAAGGAGCAGGACAAGACCTATGAGAATCGGGGCAATTCCGGCTGGGTGTATGATGAGACGTTTGAGCGCCAATGGGATACGTGGGTTGGTCCCAAGAGCAAGGCACTCATTGGGGTCAGTTTGGCGAAAGTAGGTGCGAAGTGGGTACTGGGGGAAACCTATGTGAACGTGCTGAAGGGGACGGGACTCGTAAGTACTTGTTTCTACACTCCGGGCTAGCGGTGAAATTGATTTGAGCTAGTCTTCCCCTGTGGAACCGTTCGGTGAGACAGATGACTATGATATTTCCAAAACGCATGTCATTTTCACTGCCAAGGACCCGCAACTCCCCAGGGCCACGCACACTAGGCAGAATGTGCGTGCACTTCATATCTTGCCCTTCTATGCTAACACACTACCACATAGATCTACCTCGTTGCGCATGACGGAAAAGACCTCAGACAACTCACCTCGGGCATCCAAGGTTTTACGCACTCCCCTGTGTTCAGCCCTTCTGGTGATAAGGTCGCCTGGCTGGAACTGGCTCTTGATTGGAATGGGACTGGTCGGTAGGTTATGCAACCTATTCGTATGCCCGTTCTAACTTTAATTCGCGCATGTGCTCTCATTCACTCATACACTCACGTCCCATGTTGTTAAATTCATGTGTACAGCGCGAAAGTGGTGGTCTATGATCTCAAGGAAAACGTCCGGTTCACCATTACGGAGGACTGGGACCGCTCCCCTGATTCTATTATCGTGAGTTCATCTTCATCCGATTGTCCTTACTTCCTTCATTCTATCTCCTGCATTGTCATCCTTATCAATTCCTTGCGAGTTTACTCCTCACTCCAATACTTATGTCGTCATACTAGTCAGCTAACTCAATCCCAGTTCTCCCCTTCCTCTACCCTCATTTACGCCACTACCGGTGATCATGCCCGCATCAAGGTCTTTGCGTTGGCTGTTCCGCCTACACCTCCCTCCAACACAACACGGACCACTCAACCTACAGCCCTCACTTCCAACGGTTCTATATCTGGCTTCACGCCAATCCCAGGTGGCAGGGCCACCTTCGCGCTTTCGAGCCTGACGTCTCCAAACGAGGTGTACGAGCTTAGTGGGCTCGACGCTGCCGAGCGGGATCTCTTAGCAGGAAGACAGGCAGATGTGAAGGCGACGACGGTTACGCGCCTTACTTCATTCTCTTCTGCTGGGCTCGAAGGCAAAGATCTTTCCCCCGGGAAGGATTTCTGGTTCAAAGGTACGGCCGAGGGGCAGGATACACATGGTTATGTGATTACCCCACCTAGATTCGAACGTGGGGTCAATGGGAAGTGGCCTGCGGTGATGCTTATACACGGAGGTCCGGAGAGCGCCTATTTTGATCAGTGGTCGACGTGGTGGAATCCCAATGGTACACAAATTCCTTTTGATGGGCTACAAGGGTGGGCTAATGTTTGGGCTACGTGTGCTCTAGTCTTTGCGAGCCAGGGATACGTGGTCGTTGCTATCAATCCAACGGGGTCCACTTCATTTGGACAGAGTGAGCTACTCTCTTCTCTTGTCTGTTCTTGTGCTGATGTAGTATTTTAGAGTTCACAGATGGGGTCAATAAAAACTGGGGAGGCCGCCCCATCCAAGACTTGTTGATGGGATGGAAGTACATCCTTCAAGAATACCCAGAGGTGAGGCCCTGCACCTTGTCTTCCTCACACTCAACACATCATGACGTTAACCTCTGCGCATAGATTGACCAGAGCCGCACGGTAGCTGCTGGTGTTAGTTATGGGGGGTATGCAATCAAGTGCGTGTCATTTCCTTTTCGTCCTTTACATCCTCTTGTGTCCTAATTCTCATTCTTTGCAGCTGGATCCAAGGCAATCCTGAGCTCGGATTTGGGTTCAAGGCACTGGTCTGCCACGATGGAGTGCGTTTCCCGTCATTGCATAAAGTAGCAAAGGAAGACACTGATCCATTACATAAAAAAGGTATTCGACATAACGTACGACGGCTACGTCACAGATGTACTATTCTTCGTGCGTCTCCCATCTCTTCCTCACAACACTAACTACTGACATGCTACAGTTTAATCACGAATGGGGAGGACGTCCATGGGATCCTGCCGCGCTTGAAGCCTCGCGGAAATACAACCCCGCGTATACCGTTGCCAAGTGGTCGACCCCGCAGCTGACAATTCATAGCAGCAAGGATTATAGGCTCCCAGAGTCAGATGGAATTGCAGTGTTCCATGCGTTGCAGCAGTGCGTTTTTCTCTTCTTTTTGCATTCTTTTACACCTATCGTTCCTTTTCAACCCACCGTTCCTTGTCCTTTCCTTTTATTTTTGCTCCTAGCGGGCGATCCATACTGATCGACACGCATATAGACTAGGCGTCCCAAGCCGCCTCCTGATCTTCCCAGACGAGAACCATTTGGTGCTAAACCCTGGTAATAGGTACGTGTGCAGTTCTGCACGCCAGTCATGAGCTGATGCCTTGACTGGGATAGTTTGAAATGGCACTACGAAGTGTTTAGGTGGTTTGACCAGTTCATCGGGCTTTCTTAGGTATAAAAGTGTTATTAGGAGAGGAATGTTTTTGGAAAGCGGTAGAACTGAGGGATACGTTTTGGAGGGGCAAATCGGGCGTTTGTAAGATAACACACTTGACTATACCTGAATATTAAATGGGTAGAGTTTCTGCGATTTATGACTTGCGAGCTGAATTGTTTGACCTGCCGCCTGGGCGTCTCTTTGCGAGACCAGGTCTATGTGATGCAAGCACAAATTAATGGTATCTTCAGCATATTGGAAGTTCATCGCAGTTGGAATGTGTCTGGGCCCAACCCAACAGTACAATCAATGAAATTACAATGGGTTCGGCTCGATAGGATTCTCCAGTGTTCTCTCCTAATGGACTTTACGAGGCAGGATGTATGGTTGGAAGATTGGCCAACGAGAAGCGGTTCGCGGGTGATTACTATATACTAAAAATCATCCCAGATCCATGGAAGCTCCTTTGTCTTTGAACCCGGCCATGTCCGAGGTCTGACGGTGGTGTTACAGCTACACGAGTGCAAGTGCGAGTAGAGTTAATATGTATGTTATAGGGACGTGACATACTATGAATAAGGCGTTTGCGCATAGACAAATACGAGGGCATATATGGCTGAGCCTAGATCGAGGAGACCCATGAAGTGCGTGAGGATGACGCTGGTTTGAGTCAGCAACGAAGTCAAAAGGGTGCAAGTAGCGGACTCACCCGACAAACTTGTACCCGCCATAAGCAATCAAATCTATTACTGGACCTGTGCCTTGGATATTGAGGAGGTAGCGGCCGCATTGGACGAGGAGAAAATCGAGTAGGACGACAAGGAGAGCGCGTGTTGCACTTGCGCTGAGGATTTGGGGATGAAACCGTTCTTCAAGACCAGTTTGTAGCGCTGCTACGAGGATGTAGGTTACGAGTGCCATGGCTGCGGAACGAATGAGAAGGGATGGATTAATAGGAAAAAGACGCACGTGGTATGTATAAATCACTAGATTACATAGGAGTTCGAGACATTGAAGTGGCGCTTTAGGACGGCAACTGGTATTATACCGGCGAACTGGTCATGGTGAGCAAGCAGAGCAAAAAGAAATTGAGGGCACATACATTCTTGTGGACATAGTCTTGCCTTACAGCAACGGCTGTTTGACCTAAGTGCATTGAGAATTGAGCGGTAGTGTCGTTCATGCCCCATGCCGCAAAGTCGGTAATGTGCTGAGGTTAAGGATTCGGGATCAGTTGAAACGGAGAAGTGCGTGCGACATCTCTCCAAAGCCGTCAAGAATATAGAAGCGGTCTAGCTCCGGAGTCTAGACAGTGCTGCATGGACAACCCGTTTGCTGATGTATATATATACCACACTTCACATACCAGATACAATTCGATGTTATGCCATCCCTATTCCTCTGATTCACGTCCAGTTTCTTCTGATCGCGTTTCACTTACCCGGGGGCTGACCTCCCGAGGAAGTTCTCAAATTATTCATCCCTTTTACCAAGCTCGACGTCTTGATCACTTCTACCAACGCGCGCCGCTTTGCGTCGTTTCTTGCTTGACCCCTTGTTCGTAGACCCCTTGTTCGTAGACCTCGTCGACGCACGCTTTATATCCCTGATCAATGCACGCTTCGTCTCTCCATTTGGCCAATTCTTCAAATCAAAGTACAAGGGCGCGTACTCGACGAGCCTGTCGAAGCGTTGATGTGCAAATTTGCATAGTATGTCAATCTACAGTGCTAAGACGTACTTACCACTCTGGTCGGACATCTGTGACAGTCCGTATATACGGTCTTGTCGTGAATATGAACTCGTGAAAAATCACCCACTCCGGCTGCGTATCCAGTCCGCACGATGGATGCAACGCCACGACCTACCACAAAAATAGCATCAGCAAGCCAACCCCACCCAAATCAAAACAACACGCCTGATTGTCCTTCATGGTCGTATAATACCCTTGGTTTCCCTCTTTATGCGCAGCTTGCATGAAAAACCCACTACACAACGCCTGCCTAATCGCCATAAACATCTTCTTCTGATCTTGCAAGCTGACGAGCTCCACCTCAAACCGCTCCATCGTCCGTTTCAACTGCTCGCGCACGTTGTCTGCTTGCATCAGCGCCCGAGCGGAGAGGTAGTTATTCCAGGTCCAGTTTTTGTCGTATTGATCTGGGGGTAGATGTGAGTAAGTATGCGTGTATAAAAGAGGATAAATTACTTTGGATGTAGTTGTTGTACACGTTAAGAAGCGTTAGATGGTCACCATCAGGGACGGTAAGTAGCGCCTTTGCAGCATCTGCCTCTTTTTGCTGGTTATTAGGCCGCAGCCATACATTTGGTACTGCAAGAGCGTCAGATGGGAGTAAACGTCGAGGCTGAGTACACACCTGACAACATCGCATTGATCGTTAAGATCTCATTGCTACAATTGAACTCTGGGCTGGCGATCAGCATCTTTGAGAGCTAGGAACGTGCATCAAAACTATGAGAAATTACCCCCGCTACCAGAACAATCGCCTACATGTGGATCCAGAGGAAATTCAGCCATGATGCTCCCCAATGCCGTGAGGTTCCCATCATCGTCCAACGCCGCGAGGTAATTCAGTAGTTCCAGTGCTCTCATTAGTGCCTCTGGCGCTGGCGCATCCACATAATCAAACCTGACAAGATCCTACACACGTGTCAGCAAACATCCACCCCTAACGTCACGCTCACCTTAATCCCCGCCTTGACAAGCTCCAGCACCGTATTCGCCAAATTACTCCTCAAAATTTCTGGTTGCGTCTGTTCCTCGAACTCCGACCTAAATTCCTTCTCCGTGTACAACCTAAAACATTTGCCCGGCCTCGTTCGCCCAGCCCGGCCCGCACGCTGCTGTGCCGATGCTTTCGAGATCGGACTCACAAGTAAGCTCTCCACACGGAGCCGCGGGTTATACACATTTTGCTTCGAAAATCCCGGGTCCACGACGTACACGATCCCGTCGATTGTCAGCGACGTCTCCACGATATCCGTGCTCACCACGACCTTGCGTCCTGGTGGGCCATCCGGACCGCCTGCTTTGGTAGGTGGATCGAAGATACGTTGCTGCTGCTGAGGCGGTAGCGACGAGTACAGAGGGATGCACATCAGAGGGCCTACACTCTCGGGGTCGGAGTTGATGAGGTCGTCCACCTCGAGCTTGATCTTGCGACACGCATCTTCTATCTCCTCCTCACCCGTCAGGAACAGCAAGATATCTCCTGGTTCCTCGGCGCGATGTATCATGAGCACAGTGTGGATGGCAGCCTCGACATAATCCGGCTCCGGCACCTGAGTGTAGAACACCTCGATAGGGTATGCACGACCAGTGACCTTAAATAGCGGAGCGAGGCTGCTGCCAGAAACAGCAAAGTACTTCTGGAACTTGAGAGCGTCCAGAGTGGCGGACATGATGATGAGCTTAAGGTCTGGACGTCGTTGGACAAGGGTTTTGAGGATGCCCATAAGGATGTCGGTAGCGAGGGCGCGTTCGTAGGCTTCGTCGAGGATGATGGTGGAGTAGCGGGTGAGATCAGGGTCGTTCATGGCTTCACGGAGGAGTATTCCGTCGGTCATGTATTTGAGGAAGGTGGTCCCGGGCTCTGTCATATCTTCAAAACGTACGGAGTAACCAACTTGTCGACCGAGTTGGACTAAGAGACGAAATGAGCTTAGAATGTGATTAGAGCATCAAGCAAAAAAAGACGAACCGTCCATCTCGTCTGCTACACGCTTAGCCGCAGACATGACAGTAAGTCTGTGGGGCTGGGTACATGCCACAATCTTGTTCTTGGTGTGCGGAAGATCTGAGTAGGCGACGAACTGGGGTATTCTATCAGCGACAAAGAGGTTATTATAACTGTCCGAAAAGACCAGGGAGCATATTTGTCAAGGGGTGCCAACTCACTGTGTGGTCTTGCCTGAGCCGGTCTCGCCGACCACGACGATGATTTGGTTTTTGTTGAACTGTTCACTTCAGTCGGGACGAATGGAGTGCGGTAGGTGGGGCTCACCATCTTGTAGAAGTCGGTCATCTGTACAAACACGGGGAGCATGTTGCGGGCTTCAAGGATCTTTTTGTATTGTGTAGTATGGGGCTGCTTTGTGAATGGGTTTAAGTCATGTTTCTAAGCGAATTCCCGAGTTAGCCAGCCTCGACAATGTTGAGAGGGTATACCAATGCCAGGCGAACTTGGTCAGCGTTGACCTTTCGGGGAACACAACCAAAGAGAGGCTCTCCCGAGGAGGCCCTAGCATCATTGAGAGTGCTCGTGCTTGAAGTGGCTCGCTCAGTGGGATGTCGATGGGTAAGGTAAGGGTTGCCTTTTTTCATTTTGCTAGAAGTGCAACGTCGTGGTCAGAACATCTTGGAGTTACAGTCAAACTCGTTGATTCCTTTATTCCTTTACCTGTTTGATGTTTTATATTGCGACTGTGCACTGACGATGATCGATGATAGATTGAACTATCTCATCTAGATCATCAACCCGGTCCGTTGCGCTTAGTGCATCCGAGTATGTATATGAACCGTCGGACTCCTGACTTGGTTTGTACGGAGGAATGTCGCGAATTACATAATGTCAGACTTGGGCTCAGCTTCATTTTTAGGTGATTTGATGATTTTGATCAGTTGCATCGGGCATAAAGGCGTGACTAGGAGAGGATCTCTTTTTGAAAGTGGTAGAACTGAAGGATATGCATTGGGCGTTCACACTTGACTGTTACAATGTCCTTCTGCGATTTATGATTTGCGAGCTGAGTCGGACTGACTCGGAATTGTTTGACCTGCCGCCTGGGCGTCTCTTTGCAAGATCAGGTCTATGGATGCATGCACAAATTAATGGCATCTTCGGTATTGGAAGTTCATCGCAGTTGGAATGCGTCTGGGCCCAACCCAACAGTGTAATCAATGGGTTCGGCTCGATGGTATGGCATTTTAGGACGTTCCCTCCTAATGAACTTTGCGAGGGAGGTACGGTTGGAAGACTAGCCAACGAGAAGCATCGATTCACCGCTGATTAGTATATATGACCCAGGGAAAAGTACACTAGACTAGTACAAGGTGGCCAAATCAAACCAAGACCATTGGAGGTACGAACGCGAAGGACTAAAATATACACTAGCTCTAGGTCGCTAAAACCAAAGCAAGACCAAGAAGGGCGCAAATGCTAAAGGCATGCCCGTGATATCACCATTAGGAGCTGAGTAAGCTGTCCTGGTCCAGCGCCGAAGTCTAGACAGTGTTGCATGGACAATACCAGAGTTTGCTGATGTATATGTACTGCGCTTCACATACCAAATACACTTCGATGTTATGCCATCTCTATTCCTCTGATTCACGTCCGGCTTCTTCTGATAGCGTTTGGGGGCCGACCTCTCGAGGAAGTCCTCAAATTCCTCATCCCTTTTACCAAACCCTCGACGTCTTGATCACTTCTACCAGCGCGCGCCGCTTTGAGTTGTTGTTTCCTGCTTGCATCAGGAAAAAGCCAATATCGTCGTAGTCACGGTGAGAGCTATATAGGCACCTGTAGCCACTGTAGCGCTATGTAGGCACTGTTTAGGCTACATAGAGGTATGTAGCGCTATATAGCCTAAAGCCATGCTACATGCAGCTATAGGATCTATGACCATGCTACAGGTAGCTACAGGACACTACGGGAGTTACCACCATGCTACAGGTTACTACAGGCGCAACCATCCAGTATTTGCAGGTCTACTAAGTATACAATGACATCCTGGCTTCTAACTACTTGTCACAGATGCACAAAACATCTCGCCGTCAATAAAATCATTAAAATAAAAATCATTAGCTGCTTCATACGCATTCCCACTGACCAACCTCGGATTCACTGACTCTCCCATCTTCGATATTAGATGGCATGGCCGCACAATATCATCGACATGAATCACCGCCGCATTGCGACGTAATTGGCGGGTCGAGCGTGATACTTGTCGCATTCGGGATGAAGGGTCTGGTGCTCTGAAAGGTGTGAACCACTCTATGTAAGCAAGGGCTCTTGAGTATTCGCCAAACTGACGAGGGAGACAGGATATCGCGCGAACTTGACCCACTCGCAAACCTGCAGTGGACTCTGATCAGATTGCCATGACACCCTAACCCAAACAAACTTACCATCTAGAGTACGCAGGTGTGAAGTGCGAGGACAACCCTTATCAATGCCATGTCAAATCGAGCAGGACCACCAGGCTTGCGTCCTGATGCAGGTCTCTCTGGTGATGCTCTAATGCGCCTGCGCATTGGAGCCTCGCTAACTTGCAAAGCCGGTGGCGTCACAATGACGACTTGACCATGAAGGTCAAAACGGTCCTGAACGCCTGGTATGAGGGTGTTCTGCGGGAGATTCGTGTGAGGGAAAGATTGGAGAGCCGGGAGAAAATCAGTCGCGCCATGTGCACCCACAATCTTTTGAACAGATTGGTGTGGATGCACTGGGGTCTTGGCAAGGACATGGGTCACTCCAAATTTACCTGCAGGTGTTGCCTCTGCTTCTTCTGAGCTCGAGTCCGAGTCTGAGTCCGAATCCGAATCTGAGTGCGAGTCTGAGTCCGTCCGACCTCCAGGCTCTCGCGATAGCCAATCAAGGTATGCACTACGTAAGAAGACGGCTTCCTGGCGTTGAAGCCACAAAACCATTTGTTCCTCGTAATCTCGTTTATTGCTAGCACGGTAAGCATCCTTTGCAAAGTCTATATGCAAACGCTCAGGAAGTTCTGTGTTAAACCCATCAGCTGCACCAAATAGTGAGATTGACTGGACATAATGGGTGAGTTGGTGTAGTTTTGGTATGTTGAAATGTTCACGTATTGCGAGTTCCTTTAGGACATCTTTATTAGCGTGAAAACCTGCTAGGGCGGTCTGTAGGCCTTCGAGCGACTCGACCGTGTGAATTTGCAGCTGGGCGTAATACGAGAAATCCAGAATTGAACGCGCTACCACCAAGACCCGACTGCGAGGCACAACTCAGCAACAAACAACATCTCCCAGACTCGTCTCACACATACCTAGGGACTGCACCAGTGAGTAAGCCTACAAACACTCGCTGCATTTCTTTATGCTCACTTCCCGTCCATTGTTTGACAGTCGACTCGGAAATACCTTTTTTGAAGTGCCGAAGTCCAGGATAATCTGAGATCGCCTTGAACCGTGCATCCACCTCTTCCTCCCCGATAATATCGACACACCACTTAACTAGGTGATCTTTGAAGACACCTTTATGCATCTGGTGCAACAGATCGGGAGTGAAGGCCATGAAAATGTCGGCGTGAGGCATGTCGGCCCAGAACGGTTTGTAAACAGCACATAGCCCATTCTCCTCGAATTCCGGTGGGTGCTGACCATTCTTGCGCCTTTCCAAGATATTTTTCGTGGACTCAGGATCACGCATCACTGAGTCCAGTCCCTCCCCTCATTCATTCGCTCCAACAAGGCACTTCGGACAACGGTTTTCCTTACAGCACGCCACCAAACACTGCTCTGGAAAGTCTGTGACGTACGCGGCCAGAATCGGATAGACACGCCGAATCCACGAGTCTGCACAGACCATATCCACACCATTATTTCCGGCAGCGATGAGAGGATGGAGGAGCAGACTCATACAATGGTGGAATAGTCTATATCCGGCCAGGGAGCGTGCATCCGGTGTAAAGCAATCAAGCTTCCCCGCAGGTAAGTACCCAATGAGCACAGTTGCTCGTGCGGACGCCTGATGTCTTTTTGCTTTTGCAATGTTGCCTATAGACATGTACACCGGCCATGCTGACTTGTCCCCTCGGAATTGGGATAACAATGTCTTGTCAGACGCTAGAATAATGGGAGCTATTGTGGCACCATCGGGCAAAGCTTTCTGAATGAGAGGTCAGTCCAGTCAGTCCATTCCTTATTACTCTCTGGTACAAGCTTACCTGTTTCTCGCCCCACCAGTCTGCTGTCCACATCTCATCAATAACTCTATGCTCCCCTGTGGGGTCTGAATAAGCTCTGGCCGCAGTGTAGGCCATATCCGCCTTGAAAGAAGGGTTCCCGATCAGCTCCTTCACACATTCGACTGGATCTCGACACCATAGCTCAACCTCTTCTTCTAACAACTTGCCATTCTCGTTCTCACGATTCCCGCACACGGTGACCTTCTTACAACTCCACGCAGGACCATGTGGGAGTTCATCTACTGTTTGCAAGAACGACCGATTATTGTGAAAAGGAAGCTTTGAGCGATTTTCAGTCTAGCAACCGTGTCAACTCAGTGAGTTAAAATTTTAGACCAACGCTCGGAACATACTATAGGTAGTTTCAGAAATTCATTGGTCTGTCTTTGACCAAGGTTTTTGACAAGCCATTGGCCTAGACTCCACTCTTCTCTAGTGAGTCATCTATTTAGTATATGCTTGGCCACACTGATTAAACACTCACGCATTATCAAAAGGTGCCCATGGAACTTCGCCCTCTTCATGTTGCCTTCTTCTATACCTTTCAAACACAGTCTCCCCTTCGTGCTGTGCCCAGCCTGCGCCTGGGTTAGGTTCAAAATACTGGCCACGGCCATTATTGGTGGGTGATGTCGCATCCTCGTCATCCACTTCTTCAACACTGACCCGACGAATTTTCCCGAGTGTAGGGTTGTGATCCACATCTGGAGCTGAGCGCAGGTGAACATGGCCTGGGGCTGTGTCTTGAAGGGAGAAGTTGACATCTGGTGCATTAGAGTTCTCCGCATCTGCCTCTTCAGTCATTAATATCCACTCCCTTCGGCATTCAGGATGCCCCACTATGTGTCTCTTGAGACCCTCACCTGTGGACGTCACCTTACCACAAAAGATACAGAGAGGCATTACTGGTTCATCGTCGCCAACTTGACTATTCTGTTCCTAATACATTTTTGAAGCACATAGCGACCAACTACAAACACCGAAACTTCTAAGAGAACGGCAATCATGGCTGCAGTTCATAACAGTGCGCCACCTTTCATGCCCGTCCAACTTCCTTTTGACTGTTCCTTTGCTCTCTACTACTCTAGCCCTTGGCCATCTAGCCTAGCCCTTGGCCCTCTAGCCCAGCCCTCAACCCTCCATTTTGTTAGTACCAATTGCTCTAGTTCGCCTCGCCACCTCGCATCTCAATTGCTCTAGTTCGCCTCGCCACCTCGCACCTCAATTGCTCTTATTCGCCTCGCATGGCTAGTTCATGCCTCGTATGGCTTGTCATAGGCTTGTTTTTTGCATGGCTTTTCTTTTGCTCATTTTGCTTTTCTCTTTCCTTTGCAAATGTAGAGTTCATGCCTCGCAGTTCACGCATCGCCGCCTCACATGGCTAGTTTACACCTTGCATGGCTTGACTTTGGCATGGTTTGCTTGTTTTTCCTTTATCTTTCCTTTGCAAACAGAGAGTTCACACCTTGCATAGCTTTTCTTTTGCTTGTTATTCGCATGCCTTCCATAGCTTTTCTTTTGCTTGCTATTTGCATGCCTTCCATAGCTTTTCTTTTGCTCGTTATTCGCATGCCTTGTTATTCGCATGCCTTGTCTTAGGGTTCATTTTTCTCATTTGGGCCTCCTTGTTTTTCCTTTCTCTTTACTTTACAAATGGAAAGTTCATGCCTCACATGGCTTTTCTTTTGCTCGTTATTCGCATGCCTTGTCTTGGGATTGTTTGGCTCGTTTTTGCCTCGACTCTCATTCCAAATGTTTGGTTGGCCTTGGTTACCATTCAATCATACCCGTGCGCCACAATTGATCCCCGACTGACTACTGACATAACAAACTGACTAAACTAGGGTAGTGACACCATGAGCTGCAAGGAGGAGTTCCAGTAGCTGAACTTTTCGGGCCTCTTGGCACCGCTGCTTCTCTATGCTCCAGCGCCCAACAATCAATTCTTGTACAAACATTTGGTGAGTCGCAGGCCCTTGGATGTGTTCGGATAGTTGCGCTTTGCATGCGTCATCACAACGCCTAATCTCTGCATCCCAACGTTGTAAGACGAGGGTTCGCAGGTAAGTCTGAGAGGTTGTGATGGGTCCTGGTGTCTGACGAAATGGTTGCAATGGATAATGAAGCTCAGGTGGACCAGGAGGACGTGGATGCTCCCTAGCCCAGCCTGGAGCCACGACGACATGGAAGGGTCAACTTGGAGGAGGTACAAGCCTACTCGATGGTCAGCGTGGGTCATGGCAGTTCTCAGAACAACCCACCGTGGGCTGTCTTCAAGTTCAGTTTCTTTCAGTTCGCTGAATGGCGAGAAGACTGATCTGGGGCATTGGTTAATGCGTGGTAAGTCTCAAACAAGTCTTTCACTTACTTTTGGGACATTTTGGTGGTACTGGCAGTGATATTGGTAGTATTCGCTGTAGGTCTTAAAAGTGTATCAATTTCTATCAATTTCTCGCTCTTTTTATACTGTTGCATTGACATTGCTTGGTCAGATGCAAACACTAACATCGAAATCAACAGAAGTCAATGTGGTCTGTTGATCAGACACCGTGGCAAGAGTATTTAAAAGGTATGTTTGACTGATTTAATTCGGCTGCAGACTACCCAAATTAATGGCAGGCAAACTCGCCTCTCAAAGGGTTTCCCAAAAGGCAATCTTGCAGGCCCAGGATGACCTATGCGTGCAGATGGTATCCACAGCTGGACGCACTGCAAGTGGTTGTCAGCGTCAGCCAACCAAAAAAGAAACCTATCGAAGTAAGCATCTCTGTGGTTGCTTGATGCGTGTTTGACTTACCCCTACTTAACAGTTTTAAAATCTTGTCGAGGACCAGACCGTAGAAAAGCCTTGGAAGCCAAGGCAGAGAAGCATAACTTAAAGGTGCTGCGGACAAAATACCGGACTAATCCTGAAGTCTTTGCCAATGAGCCCACTGAGCTGCTCAGCGAGATTGACAGGGATGAAGATATCATGGTCAGGTTCTGATTATTCCAGCCACTCAAGTGCTCACAACTACTCAATAGTTTTCGCATTGCAGTGTAACTCCGAAGCCGCGGTGTCCTGCATGATTTGGGAATCATGCATGGACATGACTACTAGGTATCCCCCTAAAAGACAAAGTCTGTTAGCTTAGTCCTCAGACTAGTCAACCCATACCTTGGTATCAAACCTTGGTCCAATAGTTTCAGTTTTCCCTCAGTGATTCATGAATCCACCATGTTTTGAAGAAAAGTCATATGTGAGATGGGAATCACATAATGACCTAGTTGATATGAGAAGCAAATTGAAGGTTAAGGTATTGCCTTTCCTTTGGCTTATTCACTTTGGCTAGAGAAACCCATAGAGAAAAGTTCAAAGCCTAACAAAAACCTATCTAAAAAGCCCGTGTTGTAGAGATTCACATTTCTCCAGGCTCATATGGGCCAAATTCACGGCTTTTCATGACGCACTTGATATCCTTACAACATGCTTCTAATACGACTTCTGCGCAACGCGCACTTTGGCGCGTACCAGCACGTTCAAGTGCGTTCGAGCGCGTTACGGTGCACTTCGTCGCATTTCCTTAGGATCCATCGCCTGTCCTCCGCATGTCCCGTCCTAGTCCTCCAAGGTCCATTGGTGCGTTTTCCCTTCTTCAGAACTCATACTCCGTCACGCAGGCACTAGTACTTATCATCATATCTCGTTATGGACCCTGACTTACCTCACCATTTACCTTAGTACTTCCTATTCGGCTCCGAGCCGCAGGAACTCACTTAGCATACCTACACGTCACCATGTTTGTTTTCCTGTCACTTACTTCCGCTCCACTACCATCGAAGTGTATAGCTCAAGTTTCTATCTGAATACACCGGTTTTCCTTCCTATTGGCGCTTTGACACCTTTAAGTGTCTATTTCTACATCTATCAAAGTCCTGATTCCCCATTTGATTGTCATCTCTACTCGAAGCACTCCATTGTGATCGCACGAAGTGCGCTTTGACATTGAAGCACGCTTTTCCGCACTTTCTGCCTTATTAGCGCGTTTAGGCGCCTTTAGCTAGCGCACTTCGCTTTTGGGTGCATTATTTGCCTCAGAGTCCCATTCAGACTTCGAGACCGAACCGCTGGTTATAGATCCCCCTCACCTTTCACTAGAGGAATCTTTCTCAGTAGCAATCCCCTTGGGACGACTTTCCACTCGTATCCAGAGGAGCACTTGAGAGCCCACTTCCCACTCTTCCCCCTAGCACGCAGCTATCATTCCTCACCCTCAGCGTATTGTGTACTATTATTTGTTCCATTATTTCTGAGTTGTTTTCTCTAGTGTTTCTTTACTTTACTTTTCTATTAGGATGCTCTGACTAATCAGATGCTTCATAAAATTGTACCTACAGGGTATGATGTCATAATGATGTCATAGGACTTCACCCACACTCCTGCAGGTATTTTGTTGAAAGATATGATATCATAGTGATGTCATAATGATGTCATGTTCCATGGAATTTGCTAGAACATTCCAATGACTCAGAGTGACTCAGAATGATGTCATTATCCCACCATGAATATTCTGGAATGTTCTTTTGCACCTGCTAGAACATTCTGCTCCAGTTTTTGGAATATTCTTCTCACATTCTGAAGTCATTACATCACCTTTTTACTTACATAATATTCCCACACAAAATGTATATAAGGAGAGCCCATTCTCCCCCCAAAAAATAGATCTCCCACTTGTTGCATTCAAGAATCTCCCTCTTGAGCAAATTGAACTCTCACCTAAGAAGCTTCAGTCTGAACAAATTGCTGCTTACAAAGCCCATTTCCTTTGTAAGAACTGTCCAGACAAGTGCAGGGAAAGTGTTTCCCTTGAGATTACATAAGTTTCTCACGATAGAAACCCAGTTTTGTGAGACCAGTGTTCTCACCACGTAGTGTTTACTGACTAACACGAGCTTTGGTCACCATTGTTATTTGTGAGACCAGTGTTCTCACCAGGTATTTGTATACTGACCAACACGAGCTTTGGTCATTGTTGTTATTTATCATTGTTTTTCTATTTGTCATTTGTTGTTATTTGTGAGACCAGCGTTCTCACCAGGTATTTGTATATTGACCAACACGAGCTTTGGTCAACGTAGTCACATTTGAGACCAGCTTCTCAACAGTTATTCATATATTCAGGAAACCAGTTCAAGTGTCTAGACAGTATATCCTAGACAACCCCATAGTTTCAATCAGAGATAATAAAGCTCCGGCTAAGTTAATCTAACTGATTGGTTTAGCGAGCCTCCCAAGAACTCACACATTATCTACCACAAAAGAAGAAAAGTCATAGACCGTGTTAATCGAGGACTGGCAAGAAGTCTTATCCAGTGTAATTGTGGTGTTATTACATTCTTACACGTTTTCATATAAGACCCTCGGTTATTAAGACAGCGGGCACTAACATTCAGTACAACCAAGATGCCTCCTGCTATCTTAGGACAAACAAAACCGAGTAAGGTCGTGACCAACTCGAAGAAAGGTACTCATTTCTAGCCAGGGTGGTCTTGGACTAATGAACTTTGCACAGCTTCTGCGCCTGTCGTCTCATCCAATGACGACAGCAGCGATGACAGCAGCGATGACAGCAGCGATGACAGCAGCGATGACAGCAGCGATGACAGCAGCGATGACAGCAGCGATGACAGCAGCGATGACAGCAGCGATGACAGCAGCGATGACAGCAGCGATGACAGCAGCGATGGCAGCAGCAATGGCAGTGACGACAGCCAACACCGACAACTATTCAAAAATTCAGACAGCGATATGGAGTCCGTCTGGGGGGGTCATAACACTCTCAATGACAATGCTGATGTGGTCAGGTCCAAACACCAGCTGGAGGATATCATCAAAGAAAATATACCAAAGATGATCACAGGTTTAAACAGAGCACGCCAGCGATTAAGGGCCGGTGATTTCAACGAGGTCACAAAGGATGTGCTCACCACTGCCACATCTATTTATCGCTGTCTGGTTGTCACTGAGACACCTTTTCCTGAGTCGCTCATCGTCAAGACTAAGCTAGCCAAGCGTGCGTAGCGTGAGGCTTCCGATGTGGCTGGACTTACAGTCCAACTGACGCCTTCATTGGTCAAAATGGTGAGCAGTCAGCATGTTATGTGGCCCTGGTTGATGTTATGTTTGGTGTGTAGATGACGAGGCGTGCCTCACATGTACATGGGGAGCTCAAAACCAAGATGCGTGGTCTCACAGCTTCCTTCTTTGGCTTCCAGGCAAGCCGTTCTACTGCAGCCATTCAAGCAAACCGTGACTTGGCCGAGGCACTCAAGGAAGGGGCATCCTTTGTTTTTAAGGTGCGTCTACTTGAGCTTGGTTAGTCATTGTCTGACCAAGCAAGTAAAAGGATTGGGAAATGAAATATGGCATATACAAATCCGACTTAATGCAGTCTGGGATAAATGATATGTGGTTTGCAAACCGCATAGACAAAGGTATAGTCTATGCTAGTTACTTCGACCCTTTACCTGTGAAGTTGATTGCGCTGGTGCTCACAGTGGTTAGTAGTCTCTTTGAGTCATCTGTTATTAGGTGTGGCAGCTGATTTCTAACAGATAGAATGTTGTATCGATGAGTGGGCCACAGGAGTGAGGGAAGACATTAAATTCGCGGCGGTCTCTTATTCGCCGGTATACCTGGTGCACCTCGAGTCCTTACGGCGGTTTGAGGAGCGGACGGCTGCTTACAAACTACTGGGTAAAATTTGTGACAATCTCCTCGACGTCGCTCGGTTAGTGTCTAGGTACTTGCATGGATCACATCCCTAACTAACATCCATTGGTAGGTTCCATGCTGGTGTCAATCCAATCAACGCAGGAGTCACTGTTGAGGGCTTCGCAGATGATGTATTCGATGATGCGATGCGAGAGTATGAATTCGAGACTCAGGCAGCACGAGGGGAGGATAGTGAAAGGGTAGATGTCGGTGATGATTGACACTGTAGGAGGCCGCTGGATTTTCTCAAGTGTATGCATGCTTGTGCGCCTGGAATATATTTGATGTCGTTGTTTTGTGGTTCTGGCGTGATTGGTATTAATGGTGAAATCTATAGTAGTACTGTGTAGCTAGCTGTAGCTCGAATATGCTACTCCTGTTGTACTGTGTAGTAGTCTGTAGCTGCCTGTAGCTGCCTGTAGCTGCCTGTAGCTGCCTGTAGCTGCCTGTAGCACCTATAGCTGGTTGCTACAGGAGTTGCTGTAGCGCTATATAGCTAGCGGATTGATTATGTAGTTGTGTGTAGTAGGGACTTGACACATTGGGGTACAGGTACTATACTGACTATATAGCTCCGTGGAGTCAAGGGTATTTTTCCTGATGTGTCCCCTGGTTCTTAGACCTCATCGACGCATGCTTTATAACCCTGATCAATGCACGCTTCGTTTCTCCATCTGGCCAATGGTTCAAATCGAAGTACAAGGGGGCGTAGTTGAGGAGCCTGTCGGAGCGTTAATACGCAAATTTGCATAGTATGTCAATTTACAGTGCTAAGATATGTACGTACCACTCTGGTCGGACACCCGTGACAGTCCGTATATACGGTCTTGTCGTGAGCACGGACTCGTGAAAAATCACCCACTCCGGCTGCGTATCCAGTGCGCACGATGGATGCATCGTCACGACCTACCACAAAAATAGCATCAGCAAGCCAACCCCACCAAAATCAAAATAATGCGCCTGATTGTCCTTCACGGTCATATAATCCCTCTTCCCTCCCACCTTGTGTGCAACTTGCATGAAAAAGCTGCAGCACAACACCTGTTTGATTGCCAGAGACATCTCTCTCTGATCTTGCACGCTTACAAGGGCCAACTCAAACCGCCCCATCGTTTGTTCCAGCTGCTCACGCACGTTGACTGCTTGCAGCAGCGCTGGAGCGGAGAGGTAGTGAATCCATGTCCAGTTTTTGTCGTGTTGGTCTGGGGTAGTTGTGAGTGAGCGGGTACGTGTTTGTAGGAAGAAGAAACTTACTTTGAATGTACTTGTTGTATACGTTCAGAAGCATTAGGTGGTCACCACCGGGGACAGTAAGCAGTGCCTTTGCAGCATCCGCCTCTTCTCGCTTGTTACTTGGCCGTAGCCATACATTTGGCACTACAAGAGCGTCAGATGGGAGCAAACCTCCAGGGTGAGTGCGCACCTGACAGCATTGCAGTGATTGTCAATATCTCGTTGCTACACTTAAACTCTGGGCTAACGATCAACATTTTTGAGAGCTAGGAGTATGTGTTAAAACCGTCATGACCAAACCTGTCACCAATACAATCGCCTACCTGGGGATCGAGAGGGAATTCAGCCATGATACTCCCAAGCGCCGTGAGGTTCCCATCATCATCCAATGCTGCGAGGTAATTCAATAACTCCAGCGCCCTCATCAATGACTCTGGTGCTGGCGCATCCACCCAATCAAACCTGACAAGATCCTACACAAGTATCAGCCCAACCCAAAAGACATCACCCCACATCACGCTTACCTTAATCCCTGCCTTGACAAGTATCAACACCGTGTTGGCTAAATTACTCTTCAGAATTTCAGGGTGCGTCTGCTCGTCGAGCTCCAACATGAAGTCATTTTTTGTGTACAACCTAAAACATTTGCCCGGCCTCGTTCGCCCGGCCCGGCCTGCACGCTGCTGTGCCGATGCTTTGGAGATCGGGCTCACGAGTAAGCTCTCCATACGGATGCGCGGATTGTACACATTCTGCTTGGAAAGCCCCGGGTCCACGACGTACACAATCCCATCGATTGTCAGCGACGACTCCGCGATATTCGTGCTCACCACGACCTTGCGTCCTGGTGGGCCATCCGGACCGCCTGCTTTGGGGGGTGGGTTGAATATACGTTGCTGCTGCTGAGGCGGTAACCAGGAGTACAACGGAATGCACTCCAGAGGACCTACGGTCTCAGGGTAGGACTCGATGAGGTCGTCTACCTCGAGCTTGATCTTGCGACACGCATCTTCTATCTCCTCCTCACCCGTCAGGAACAGCAAGATATCTCCTGGTTCCTCGGTGCGATGAATCGTGAGCACAGTGCGGATGGCAGCCTTGACATAATCCGGCTCCGGCTCCTGAGTATAGAACACCTCGATAGGGTATGTACGACCAGGGACCTTAAATAACGGGGCGAGGGTGCTGCCAGAAACAGCGAAGTACTTTTGGAACTTGAGAGCGTCCAGAGTGGCGGACATGATGATGAGCTTGAGGTCTGGGCGTCGTTGGGCGAGGGTTTTGAGGATGCCCATGAGGATGTCGGTAGCGAGCGTGCGTTCGTGGGCTTCATCGAGGATGATGGTAGAGTAGCGGGTGAGATCAGGGTCGTTCATTGCTTCACGAAGGAGTATTCCGTCGGTCATGTATTTAAGGAAAGTGGTCCCGGGCTCGGTCATATCTTCGAAACGTATCGAGTAACCGACTTGTTGGCCGAGTTGGACTAGGTGACAAAGTGAGCTCGGAGAGAGATCCGAGTAGTAAAACAAACGGACCATCCATCTCCTCTGCCACGCGTTCCGCAACAGCCGTGGTAGCGATTCTGCGGGTCTGAGTGCATGCCACAATCTTGTTCTTCGTGTGCGGAAGATCCGAGTAAACGACGAACTGGGGTATTCTATCAGTGACAAAGAGTCTATGATAAGCGACTATCCCAAAAGACAAGGGAACATATTTATCAAGGAGCACCAACTCACTGTGTGGTCTTGCCTGCACCGGTCTCGCCGGCCACGATGATGATTTGGTGTTTGTTGAACTGCGAATGTCAGGGTGAATGAAGTGAGGCATACATAACACTAACTATCTTATAGAACTCGGTCATATGTGCAAACACGGGGAGTGTTTTGCGGCCGTCAAGAATCTTTTTGTATTGCGCCGTATGGGGCTGATTTGTGAACGGGTTTATATCGTGTTCCTAAGCGAATTCCCGACTCAGCCAGCCCCGACGTAGCCCTGTTATTGAGGACATACCAATGCAAGGTGCACCTGATCTGCGGTGACTTCTCGGGAAAGATAACCAAAGTTCCTCAAGGCACTGGCACCATCGAGAGTGCTTGAAGCAACTCGTTCTCGGTCTGCGGCGACCTCTCGCAGAACAGCAGCAAAGAGAGGCTCCCTAGGGGAAGCACTGGCACCATCTGGAGGGCTTGAAGTAGCCTGCCCTCGATCGACGACATCATGTTGTGGGTCCTCTTTCGGTATCTCAGTCTTTTTGGGGGCAGGAGAGATTGCAACGTCGACGTCGTCCGTACTCCCGGTGCTTTCAAAGGACCTCAGGATCACAATCAAGTCACTCGTGAATCCTTTACCATGTTACGAAGCCCCACAGTTTCTTGATCAGTTCTTTCATAAGAGGTCGGTCTTGTTATAGGCACTGTGATACTTTGGAGGGCCAGTCTAAGTGCAATGTGATGATGGAAGCTACCTCATCCCAGGATTCGTGGGCATTCATGTATTGGTATCTTGTAAGCGCTTTAGATTTGGTGTCATCATAAACATACAAAACGAGGTATGAACTCGCACGAGCACCGTAGATAGCATAGCTCACGTGGATATCACAAACGTAAGTCAGACAAACCCGGATTCCATCCGCACCAGGGGAAGCCTTTCGCCCGCGCGCACTCCTCGCAGGAGGTTTCGTCCTGCCACCCGTTATTATGACAGTCGTGCTCGAAATCAGCTTCCTCTTTTTCGCAGGCGCCTGCGACACAACTTTCATACTGCTCGTAGCTGCTATGCGCCTGATGCCATAAACTTTACGGCGGTTTTCCTAGCGGGCGCGGGCGTCAGCATGCTGGACCAGATGTTCATGATAGAGGGAATGCACTTCGGCACCCAGCGTCAGCTCGTCTTCTTCCTCTTCTGAAGAATTAAATTTCGTCCTCGGCGGTCACATCACTACCTGACTTGCACTGCTCTGATATCTTATCTTCTCCATCCTCGCCTTCATCAATCTTGATATACTGTCGTCTAGTGCTCATTTTGCGGGCGGGACGGAACGAGGAGATAGGTTTGTTGGTAGCGAGATTGGATAGTGGTTTGTTGTCAGTCCCGGAGAGTGTGGGTTTACTAGGTCTTGCTGTAGAATTCGATGATGGTGGTGCGGATTTGGTGGACGCGGCCGACGTAGGCTTGTTGTTCAGTGGTACAGATTTGCATAGTGGCTGAGACAACTTTTTTTTTTTTTGTATCCAATTTCTGTCCTTTGCAGAGTGATACTCTATGTAGGACATTACAATCTATACTAGAGACCCCCAGTGTCTCGGGTGCATCTCGGGCTCGCGAATGCCCTGATGTGAGGCGTGCCTCCATCAGACAACTTTGTTGGTACCCTGTCCAGGTTTACTAAGGGCGCTGGTAGGTTTGCTGGGTTTGGGTACAGTTCTGCTCGAGATGGCTGAAGTTAGTCTACTAGATCCTGGTACTGTGGATGCTGAACCCGAGCTTGATGATGATGATGATGATGATGATGATGATGATGATGATGATGATGATGATGCAGACGGTGTTTCGTGTTCTCCACGCTCTCCTCCTTTATGGGCACCTCGATCACAGCCTGAACGCGTTGGATAAGGTACTGCTCTGACTTGTTTCCAGAGGCCCTGCGGTTTGCGGAAATAGGAGTGGGGAGTTGTTTGCGTGGATATGGGTTTCAATGCTCTGGATGAGGATTCGTCAGAAAGTTCGGAGGTATAAGGAGGGAATTTGGATGCGGGTCCCGGGAAGGGTCGCTAAGGCAAATTCCTCCAATCCTAAACCTGCCACGGTGTCCTCTACCTCAGTACCCAAGCCCCCAACAACCCTTGATCGCGCCCAGATAATGAATCTAAGGCGTCACTCCCTTCATTCAAGTTGAGGATTTCGACTCGTTTGCAGACATCAAAAATGAGGGGCATGCGATCATCCCATCTCCCAGGCATCTTTCCTCTCTTTTCCTCGTTCAGTCTGTCTCGCAGCCCGTGAAGCGGCAGAGAAGAACTGTTGACACACGGTTTCCTCTCAAAAGCTCCAATGATCGATCTGAAAGGCGATGGTCTATCATGGAACTGGCGGAGCTTCATTGAGATCCTTAGCCATTAATTATTTGCTTGTGACACAACCCTCTTCCACTGAAGTGGAGTCCAGGAATCGACTTGACATATACTCCGCATACATGTAAGGCTATTAGTGAGTTCCAAGGGGATTGAGGACAGAACGACGTAGTTGCGAGAAGTATAGTTAGATAGCGCAATGATAAAAAGACGAGACGTTTAGATAATAGAGACGGAGACTTTCATTGGGCGTTTGGACATGTTTTTGAGCGGGGAATCAGCTTATGAGATTCTGCTGCTTCTGCTGCTTGCTGCTCGGTATGAGTGTACATGGGCTGTATATATACGTTCTCGAACACTTGACTAGGCCAGAATGAGTATAAGGAGCATATGGTGAAGGAGAAATGAACAATTAAAACAAGGGGATCGTGGAGTCTGAGCACAAGGTAAGATAAATGAAAGAAAATGGAAAAGGTGTATCCGCGTGACTCGGATGCGAATTGCGCTCTTCGCATAGTGACTCAGTGAGTCACGTGGATGACATTGGGCGTCTTCGCTTTGAAGCGGAGTCGGTACGTAGAGCTAAGAGGATGTACAATCCTTACATACACAGTGCACACCGTCTCTATTCACCTGATGCATCATGCATAACGTTGTCGGGCTTCTTCCCTAGCTTTTCGCGTTATACTTACCCCATGGTTTCGAGCGCCAGCAAAGTACTCAGCCCCCCTCGGGCTTCACCAGGTCCTCAACCTCCTCATCAATTCCTCAACCTCCTCACCACTTTCACCAACGCGCGCCGCCTTGTCAAATCGCGCCCCAAGCCTGCCCGTCGTCTTGTTCGCAACCCTCATCAATGCACGCTTAGTCTGGCTGTCTGGCCAATCCTTCAAATCAAAGTACAAGCGCGCGTACTGGAGGAGCCTATCGGAGCGTTAATGTGCAGATTTGCATCAGTTTGTCAATCTACAGTGCTAAGAGGCGTACGTACCACTCTGGTCGGACACCCGTGACAGTCCGTATATACGGACTGTTCGTGACCAAGAACTCGTTGAAAATTACCCACTCCGGCTGTGTATCCAGTCTGCAGGATGGATGCAGCACCACAGGCTACCACGAAGAAAATTCCCATCAGCACACCAACCACAACTCAAAGCCAAGATAACATACCTGATTGTTCAAGGTCATATAATTCCTCTTCCCTCCCACCTTATGTGCAGCTTGCATGAAAAAGCCACAACACAACGCCTGCTTGATTGCCAGAGACATTTCGCCCTGATCTTGCACGCTTACGAGGTCCACCTCAAACCGTCCCATCGTCCGTTCCAACTGCTCGCGCACGTTGACTGCTTGCAGTAGCGCTGGAGCGGAGAGGTAGTGAATCCATGTCCAGTCTTTGTCGTGTTGGTCTGGGGTAGTTGTGAGTGAGTACGTACATGTTTGTAGGAAGAATAGACTTACTTTGAATGTACTCATTGTACACGTTCAGAAGTATTAAGTGGTCGCCGCCGGGGACGGTAAGCAGCGCCTTTGCAGCATCCGCTTCTTCTCGCTTTTTACTTGGTCGTAGCCATACATTTGGCACTACAAGAGCGTCAGATGGAAGCAAACCTCAAACCTCAAGGATGAGTGCGCACCTGACAGCATCGCGGTGATCGTCAATATCTCGTTGCTACATTTAAACTCCGGGCTGACGATCAGCATCTTTGAGAGCTGAGAGCATGCGTTAGAACCGTCAGGACCAAACCCGCCACCAGGACAATCGCCTACCTGGGGATCGAGAGGGAATTCAGCCATGATACTCCCAAGCGCCGTGAGGTTCCCATCATCATCTACTGCTGCGAGGTAATTCAATATCTCCAGCGCCCTCATCAAGGACTCTGGCGCTGGTTCATCTAAATAATCAAACTTGACAAGATCCTACAGTTGCATTAGCTCAACTCGAAAACATCACACCCCACATCAAGCTCACCTTAATCCCTGCCTTGACAAGCATCAGCACCGTGCTCACTAAATTACTCCTCAAAATCTCTGGTTCCGTCTGCTCCTTGAACTCCGACATGAAGTCCTTCTTCGTGTACAACCTATAACATTTGCCCGGCCTCGTTCGCCCAGCACGGCCCGTGCGCTGCTGTGCCGACTCCTTGGAGATCCGACTCACAAGCAAGCTCTCCACGCGGGTGCTCGGGTTGTACACCTTCTGCTTGGAAAACCCCGGGTCCACGACGTACACAATCCCATCGATCGTCAGCGACGACTCCGCGATATTCGTGCTCACCACGACCTTGCGTCCTTGTGGGCCAGACGGACTGCCTGCTTTGGGCGGCGGGTCAAAGATGCGCTGTTGTTGTTGAGGCGGTAACCAGGAGTACAACGGGATGCACTCGAGAGGGCCTATGGTCTCAGGGTAGGACTTGATGAGGTCATCCACCTCGAGCTTGATCCTATGGCAGGCATCCTCTATCTCCTCTTCACCCGTCAGGAATACCAAGATATCCCCTGGTTTCTCTGTGCAATGGATCTTGAGTACAAGACGAATGGCGGCCTTGACATAGTCTGACACCGGATCTTGGATGTAGAACACTTCGACGGGGTGAGTGCGGCCAGGAACCTTGAAGAGCGGGGGAAGGACGCCGCCGGAGACAGCGAAGTATTCCTGAAACTTGAGAGCGTCTAGAGTGGCGGACATAATGATGAGCTTGAGGTCTGGGCGACGGCGAGCGAGGGTTTTGAGAACCCCCATGAGGATGTCAGTAGCAAGGGTGCGTTCGTGAGCATCGTCGACGATGATAGTGGAGTAGCGGCTCAGATCTGGGTCGTGCATGGCCTCGCGGAGGAGTATGCCGTCGGTCATGTATTTGAGGAAAGTGGTCCCGGGCTCGGTCATATCTTCGAAACGTATCGAGTAACCGACTTGTTGGCCGAGTTGGACTAGGTGATGAAGTGAGCTTGGAGTGAGATCAGAGTAGTAAAACAAACGGACCATCCATCTCATCTGCTACGCGTTCCGCTACAGCCGTGGTAGCAACTCTGCGGGTCTGAGTGCATGCCACGATCTTATTCTTGGTGTGCGGAAGATCTGAGTAGGCGACGAACTGGGGTATTCTATCAGTGACAAAAAGAGTCTATCATAAGCGAATATCCAAGAAGACAAAGGAGCATATGTGTCAAGGGATGCCAACTTACTGCGTGGTCTTGCCTGAGCCGGTCTCACCGATCATGATGATGATTTGGTGTTTGTTGAACTGCGAACGTCAGGGTGAGTAGAGTGAGGTATGTATAAAACTAACTATCTTATAGAACTCGGCCATATGTGCAAACACGGGGAGCGTTTTGCGGCCTTCAAGGATCTTTCTGTATTGCGCAGTATAGGGCTGATTGGTGAACGGGTTTATATCGTGTTCCTAAGCGAATTCCCGACTCAGCCAGCCCTGACGTATCTCTGTTATTGAGGACATACCAATGCAAGGTAGACTTGATCTGCGGTGGCTTCTCGGGGAAGATAACCAAAGCTCCTCGAGGCACTGGTACTATCGAGAGTGCTTGAAGCAGCTCGTTCTCGTTCTACGGCGACCTCTCGCAGAACAGCAGCAAAGAGAGGCTCCATAGGGGAGGCATTGGCACCATCTAGAGTGCTTGAAGTAGCTTTCCCTCGATCGACGAGATCATGATGTGGATCCTCTTTCGGTGTCTCAGTCTTTTGGCTAGGAGGAGAGATTTCATCGTCTGTACTGGTCCTTTCAAAGGACCTCAGGATTACGATCAAAGTGGTTTATGAATCCTCTACCATATGAAGTCCCACAGTTTCTTGACCAGTTCTGTCATAAGAGATCGGTCTTGTTACAGGCACTGTGATACTTTGGGAGACGAGTGAGAGCCAGTACAATGTGATGATGGAAACTTTTATCTCATCCAAGGATTCGTGGGCATTCGTGTATTGGTATCTTGTAAGCGCTTTAGATTTGGTGTCATCATAATCATACAAAATGAGGCATCAACTCGCACGAGTGATCATAGATAGCGATAATTTCATATGGAAATTCCGAGGCTAGAAGAACAAAGGTGTGTTGCAAAGAATGAGAAGCATAAGTCACGTGGATATCACAAACGTAACCCAGACAAACCCTCCGGTGAACCATCCGCACCACTGGCAGGGGCTTTCACCCGCGCGCACTCTTCGCAGGAGGCTTTTTCCCACTACCCGTTATTATGGCCGTCGTGCTTGAAATCAGCTTCCTCTTTTTCGCCGGCGCCTGCGACACGGCTTTCATACTGCTCGTAGCTGCTATGCGCTTAGTGCCATAAACTTCACGGCGGTTTTCCTAGCGGGTGTGGGCGTCAGCATGCTGAAACAAATGCTCATGACAGAGGCAATGTACCTCTGCCCCCAGCGTAAGCTCGTCTTCTTCCTCTTCTGAAGAATCAACTTCGTCTTCGGCAGTCGCATCACTACCTGACTTCTCTGATATCTTATCTTCTCCATCCTCGTCTTCATCAATCTCGACATACTGTCGTTTAGTGTGTATTTTGCGGGCGGGACGGGACGAGGAGCTGGTAGCGGTATTCGATACTGATTTGTTGCCAGTCCCAGAGAGTGTGGCTTTACCAGGCCTTGCTGTAGATTTCGACGGTGGTGGTGCGGATTTAGTGGATGCAGCCGACGTAGGCTTGCTGTTCAGTGATGCGGATTTGCTGGTGGCTGAGACAATATTGTTAGTACCCTGTCCAGTTTTACTAGGGGCGCTGGTAGGTTTGCTGAGTTTGGGTATGGTTTTACTCGAGATGGCTGAAGTTGGTCTCCTAGATCCTGGTACTGTGGATCCTGAACCCGAGCTTGATGATGATGATGCAGAATAATTTGATGCAGACGGTGTTTCATCAGAAATGGTGTTCTCCACGCTCTCCTCCTTTACGGGCACCTGGATCACAGCCTGAACGCGTCGGATTAGGTACTGCTTTGACTTGTCTCCGGAGGCCTTGCGGTTTGCGGAAATAGGAGTGGGGAGTTGTTGTGTGGATATGGGTTTGGGTGCTCTGGAAGACGATGCAGATATGGATTCGTCAGGAAGTTCGGAGGTATAGGGAGGGAAACGGTGGCGTGTGGATGCGGATGGATCGCTAAGACTTGTGCTTGCGGTTGTGTTGGGGTAACGGAGCATTGTCGTGAATGGAGTGATAGACGCATGCGTTTGGACAGTATGCTGTTGCGCGAACGTCAGATTCGAGGTTCAAGAAATGAGAATGGACCGCACAGAAAGCTGCTCTTCGATAAGCTCATCCACACGCGTTGCAAGCTTGTAGCGCTCCTGCTCGACGCGTAGGAACTGCTCCTTCCAGCTGGTGGCTTCCTGGCGCGACGTGTCTTCGAGACGGAGACACTGCTGTTTCCACTGCTCGGACTCGTAGCGAAGCTGAGCGATCGTCTCTGCATTGTGTTTTATCTACATGCAAATTTCAGCATCTCTACACTGTCAAAGTAATGGGCGTACAGTCAACTCGGCTTGCTCAACCTGTGTCAGGGGGCAAGGTTAAATATGGTGAACGTGCAAACATCGAGTGGACATACAACAGACTGTCGAGCACCAGCCTCTTGCTTCCACGCCTGCTCCTCAATCCTAAGCTCATGGAGAGCCTTAACAGCTTCATCCCGCTCGCGACGCGCTTCTCGTGCTTCAGCACATGCTTGTGTGACTTCTTGACGTGTTTGATCCTGTAAGCTCGTGAACTACGCAAGTCAATGAATCCCGAAGAGCATTGAAGAAGACGATGAACTTACTGCGATGTTTACTGCCTTATTCAGAGACGCGAGTGCATCCGTAAGTATGACGGACGGCGGGGAGTTTGTTGTCATCTGGTTGCAAATCTGGTGAGAGCAAGACGCGCCTCCGGCAGTTCCCGACTCAGAAAAGTGTAACTTGAACGCGTGCCACAGCCGCACAACTGTGGAACAACTTGAAGAAATTCGAAAGTCAGTCGTTTTTCAACTATTTATGCCTGCAATCCGCGCGGAGACCGCTACCTGTTGTCTTTGTGTTGCCCGCAGGTACTGGCACTGATGCCAATCGTGGCTCCGAGTCTTTCCGATTTCTATGAACTCTCCTCCTTTTGCCACCAGGTCTCTACAGAATTTCGCAACGGAGTCCAGAGTTCACATGCTTACCAGTATGTAGCCTACTTCAGCAGCACTTCATCCCAAGTACCCATTTTTGTACACACCGCAACGCATCGCCTCTTGATTAGTTCATTCACCTTGCATTCGCGTCTCTTTTTTTCATCCTTTCTAGTTTATTTCCTGCTGGGCGCTCCCAGGTACCTTGGTTACTGCATTCCCAGGTGAGTATGACCAATTGCGGTGGAATATCTCGCCGTTTGAAGGTTATTTGAACAGCACCACGAGGAGAGACCGGAACTTGGAACAAGCCGTCACCCAGAATGTCTGGTAGCATTCCTCGAATGCCTCAGCTGGGTATGTGCACAATGTTGCTTTTGTCGATCCTGGAATTTTTCACACTGGGATATGTATGTTCATGGGGTAGACAATCTGTGTGGCATTCATTCTGGAGACTGACTGGGTGACCGCCATACAAACTGTCTACCATAATCATCATATGATGTTTTAGCTCTGCTTCAAGATGTGTCATGGCCATCCTTATTCGAGTACCAAAATCAAAGTCGCCAGTCTTTCGTCACGCAGAGCATACTAGCTGACCATTTATTAGGAGGAATGACTTCCTCAGGTTTTTCTCAGGGAGGCTAGTTGACCTGAATTTGCACACTCTCGCACCTCAGCGCTGCAGCTTTGAAATCAGCGCGCACCCTTAACTATTGTGAGGGTGGTATATGCCGATTTGGTGGCCTCGACATGTGAATATGCTAAGTAGGACTTCTTTCATCATCGTCCGGTGTTCACTGAACCTTTTCTTGCAATTATCACGTGATCCTTCCCTCACGGGAAGTGTCCTTCTTTCCAAGTTCCAACTCTTTGTTGGCTTGTCTCTTGGCCACGTCTTAGTTTCATTGCCCCCGCACCGGCCACTCTTGCGCATGGCCACCGTCGCGCTGAGGGGAATGAGATTGCTACATGTGGCCATGTACGCTACTTTCAGCTCAGGTATGTACTTAATGTCTCGATTGAATCAAGGAAGATCAAGCAAATGTCGGTGACCTGCCCATGTGCTTCGGATGGAGCTCGCTCTGACGTCTAGCCCTTCTCCCGACGTATAAAAGTGAGTAGAAATTCTTGAAATTCTGCATCTCAAGCTACTGCACATTCTCATCAAATAGCTCTTACACGATGAAATTCACACTGGCCGTTGCTCTTACCTCTGCCCTTGCCCTCCCAGTGTTTGCGGTACCCGCAAATGTTACATATGACACTGCGTACACCAACCCCAATTCGTCCCTCGCTAACGTCGCGTGTTCTGACGGCGCGAACGGTCTTTTGACCAAGGGGTATACCACCTTCGGCTCCATTCCTTCGTTCCCCAACATCGGAGGTGTTCCAGGTGCCACCTGGAACTCCACCTTGTGCGGCACCTGCTGGAGCCTCAAATACACCACGTCCTGCGGCGTCCAAACTACCATCTTCATCACTGCCGTCGATGCTGCTTACACATTCAACGTCTCCCCGCAAGCATTCAATAATTTGACCAATGGCACTGACGTCGGGACCGGCAAAGTTGCTGCCGAAGTCACTCAGGTCGCCGCGAGCAACTGTGGCATGTAATAGCAAGTACGTTCATTTTTGATGTTCTGCGAGACTCGAGTTCTGATTCAACGTGAGTTTAGGCAATTACGCTAAAGGGTTTTCTGGTACGCTGGAAACGGTTGAAAGCATCGAACAAGAGGTTCTTGAGTCTTTGGTTGGGGGGGGCAGCTTGTATGTTGTGGCTTGTACGTTGTTGCTTGTACGTTGTGGCTCGTTATTCAGAAGTATGCGCGATGCAATTTTTTTTGGGAAAGTAGTTACTCGACGAGCAGCTCAATGTGTTATAGTAAACCAGATAGTGGTAAGCTACCTAGCTGGGGCCTACAGTGGTTCGAGCTCCAATGTATTTGGCTCGATATGATAGTACGAGATACTTGGTGGCGCCTCAGCATTCCAGGCACCACATTACCCGATATAAAACTTGCGGCAAGTCTTTGATTTCAGCACGACGGCGAAGCCCTGGAACAAAAAACCTGGCTGATACGAGGCTTCTGGTCCGGCCCAGACTCAGCTGGCAGCTGTCGAACATTTGCCATTGCGATATCGTATAGTCTCGTGACCAGCCTCAGGGGCTTCTACTTCGTACGGAAAAGTCGAGTGGCGAAGCCAAGTGAGGGATACTTAGTATCCAAAATTGAGATCCAGGTCCCAGGGCCGGCGCTATCATGTCGTCCTAAATAAGTAGCCTAGCTTTAAGCGATCCATTAATTATACTAGTATTCACCGACTTCTTGTATAGGCTGTCTTGTCCCAGCCGATATCTGAGCATATGGTTAGACCGCTCAGCGGGCTCTAGCTAATCACAATCTTAATATTAACCCCACCGATTCATCGACTGGCAGACGTGTGACAGGTGCCGGTGATGTGTAACACCTGTGTCGATCTGATGCCCTCTAACCATATTCGCGGAGTACCCTCGATAACAACCACATAGAGTGGGCTTAAGGGCTTGTAAACGAACTATCACCACATTCGTGTTCCAGCGCTGGCTAGGCGAACTACATCGCCTTCCCATGACCCTACTATGGACGGGTCATCAGATCCAGACTTATCATAGCAGGCACACCGGTCACTATCTAACGACAAAATTTAGGCATAGGTTTCCTCGTTGAAGAACGCCGTGGCAGTGGCAGTGAATTTGGTCTTGGGACTTGATGACCCTTGGCCAGACTCCATAGACCCTCCCCATCGGCGGACTACCACTTATGAACCGCACTTGCGTCGTACTCTACTCCTTCGCTCACTTGCCCTGAGTCCGATTTTCAAACCTTTGGATCAAAAACCACTGCCATCCACGCGTCAGACGCGTCATATGTTATCTCCGAAACAGTCCCACCCAAGTCGGAAAACTGAGCTATTCCCTTTTAGACTTGCATATGCCACTTGTCATGGTTTCCCTATACACCAAAATGAAGGAACAGTCCGTCATATTTATAGTTGGTCTCTGGAAAGCACAGAATCCTTCAAAGTGCAGTATGGGTGCTCTTATGCTAATGGAGCCTTTGTCGCGTCAAGACGGCATCTGTAGACCGCTTACTATGGCGTGTGCAATCGTTGCTCATGACGCACATATTTTGTGTTCGTTTGACTTGACCTTCGGGGAGTGGACCCGTTAGCAAGCTGGTAATGTTACGCGCATACTCAGGTACTGGAGGCTCCGGCAACTTGGCTCAGCTAGGCGTCAGTTTCACTCGCTGCCAATTGAGGGAACTTAGGCGCAGGATCGTCACTGCATGGATTTTGGGACTTCTTTCATTAGAGATCATTTCCACCTTGAAATTTGCAGTTGAATTGTCTCTTGGCCTTATCCTGAAGGTTGATTCCGTTGCACTCGTGTCTGCCCTCCTTGCATTGCACTTATCCGGGGAATATGACTACTACGTGCTTAATGTCTCAAAGGTAAATCAAGGGAGGTCGAAGCAAATATCGGCCACCTCCTGCCGACTTCCTGTCCATGTGCATCGAGTGGAGCTCGCTCTGGCGTCTCATGCTTCGCCCCGACGTATAAAAGGTATCGAAACTCTGTCATATTAAATCATTACATCAAACCGCTCTTACACAACGAAGCTCACTCTCGTCGTTGCTCTTCTCTCTGTCTTCGCCCTCCCAGCATTCGGAATACCCGGATATGTTACATGGGACGCTACGTACAGCAACCCTGACGCGTCCCTCAATACCGTCTCCTGCTCTAATGGCAAGAATTGTCTTTTGACAAAGGGGTACACCACCTTCGCCTCCCTCCCTTCATTCCCCAACATCGGAGGTGTCCCAGGTAATTCCTGGAACTCCACCTTATGCGGTTCCTGCTGGAGCCTCAAGTACGCCACGCCTAGTGGCCACCAGACTACTGTCTACGTCACCGCTATCGATAACTCTTACACGTACAATATCTCACCGCAGGCATTCGATAGATTGACCGATGGCACTGGTTTCGAGACCGGTAAAATCAAAGTTAGAGCTAATCGGGTTCCTACTAGCAAGTGTGGCTTGTAGAGGCAGGTGTGTTCTCCTTGATGTTTTGCAAGACTTGCACGCTGAACCTTGCATAGAGGGTTCTAGGAATATTTCTTGGCATCGAACAATGTGTGGGTTGTTCGCGAGTAGGGTGAAAGGTACTGACTCAACGATTTATGTTAGCGGACCAAACGCACCTTGGACCACGATACGTATAATCAGTAAATATACATAACGGCTCTGTTTTGCTCTTTTTCTTTGGTACTTTTGTTCTGACGTGGTTACCGTGTACATTTACAATGTTACAAGAGTTGGTGGATTTGGGACTACTTGGTGTTGTGATCAATCAGCCTCGTGAACTCACTGGAGAAATCCCCCCACATTATGCATCACGAAGGACTGATAACCTGCAAATCGACGGTCCAGCATATACTTACTAGCTAGCTGGGTGCCTTGTACATACTGATCTTGTGTACTAGCGTTGTGGTTTGTTGTTCGATGAGTAGCATATTCATCGTCAGAGTGATGTCATATTCAGTCTCTCTACTCATACGTACGCACCATTCTCCTGCAGTTGTTCCTCCATGACACCACCGTATCTCATAACGCTGAACAAAATACCCGGCATCGACCGTCATGAGCTTGAGAAGCTGGCGCGGAAGGAGGGCAACGGTATTACAGACGAAGCCCTGACCTTCAAGACCGTCGTTCGGCCACCCACCACGAACCACAATATTCACGACGATTATATAAAGCATCCCCCAGAAGTACGTCGCCGTGACATCGTTCGCGTCAGTAGCTGTATTTAACTGCAAGTGCCGCTCATAGAACATTTCCCTGGTGCCCACTGAACCTGTAAATTTGGCAAGAAAGAGGGCTCATTCAAACACTAGCCGATGGAGATAGGCGAGGGACTGGGCCAAAGCAGGCAGACATTCAGGATGGGGGTACTTTGCAAATCCTCGCTGCATCAGTGATCTCAAACAGCGTAGACGTGCATTTCGAGTTTTTTGGGGGGTTGAAGCATGGAGTTAGCTGATGCACAATCGCCATCGTGTAAAGTAATATGCAAGACGTGATAAATACTCAAGGAGTGTGCTCAAGATATTTTGCTATGGTACACGGTTTTACATGAGTTTCACGTTCCCGTCACCACCTTTCCTCAACTTGCGTCCTGTAGCAAATAGGATGCCGTCTAGTAGTGCAGCCACAGTGAGAACACCTCCGACGATAGCGCAAGTACTATAGACAGAGTAAAATAAGAGAGATGCTAGGCCAGGTATATTGTCACTTACGAAGTGAGGAAGTGTGCAAACGACTGCCTCGTTTCAGAGTGCACGACAAGGATGGGTGAAATTTCAAAGTTGAAGTACGCGCCTGAAAATGTGTCAAAACATAGATGGATAAGCCATGATCTTCAACCTACCTGGTGAGCCCGCGACACCGTGTTGAGTGAAAATACCTTGCTTGTTCTCGCCTTCATTGAACTTCGTCAGATCACGTTCAAATTGTGTTGAACTATATTGGTGCGTATTGATCTGCATTGTTCAGGTAATCAATTTGTCCGGCCAGTTTGATTCATGCACTCACAGTCTTGCCTTCCAGCGTCCGGAATTGTGTTGATACGACTTTGAGGAAATACTGATACATGTACGCCGCCTTGGTCGTCTGCAATTATGTAAGCAGAAGTATTGAGAACCATGCACACTTAATTTTACCTTCGCTTCAACACCATCTAATGGGTTGTCCGCAATCCCCATACGTTCCTTCATATCCTTCCCGATCTTTGCCTTGTTAGGGTTGTACTCATCATCTGCCATGAAGAAAAACTCGTGGATGATGTGGCCGAAGTCGTGTGGGTTACCATCGTCGCGAAGGTATGGCACCAGATCTTGGAAGGTACGCGAGCCTGCCTGGTAGGAACGTCCCGGAGAAATTTGGATGCTTCCGACGACCTTGTTCACCCGGATACGCCCAGAAACATTGCATCCCTCATCCGCCTGGTCCTTGAGCTTGTCTGACCATCCTTCTTCAACGCACTGTCATAGATCCCTTGACAAATTGTTATAAGAAATTCAGCGTTATTCTCACCTGCTCGATACCGTCGGGACTACTGAAACTCCACCCCTTGTCTGTATACGCCTGTCGAACCTCTTCACACGAGTTACAGCACCCGCTCTCTGGTTCCTGTCCACCATAGCACGAGCCACAATACCCACTCGCGCGTCGTTCAGCAAGCTTGTCAATCTCGTTACGGAGGTCCTCGCCCCGCAATGTAGGCATGTCTACACCAGTCTTAGTGATCCGGTTCTTGAGAATATTGTGTGAAACATCGCGTTGTTGCTCGCCAGAGATATCCATGACATCCAAGCTGAGCACTGCCCAAGTCAAAGATAGATGTAACCATAGTTAGATTGTACAGTCAGCGATGCGCGGGAATGGGCTCACAGTAACACGGAACATGGGGGAAGGTGACGTTCAACCGTACACTCAGTTTCTGCCCACGGCTACGGTCGACTACTATCGACGTGTCGACGCCAACGCGTCGGTAGTCGAAAAACTCGATTGTTGTAAATGCCAAAATGATACATGCAGATATGATGGTCACTAGACATCCCGCTGTCAACCTCACTTTATCGTAGTGCTCCGGACAATGGCTTACGCAGAGCTCCAGTACGGGTTTTAACTTTGACATCCTCCGTAGTCTAGTTGTGTGTGACGCATACGTGGTCAGTCTTTGCCCGTTCCCGCTTCGGCGGAATCGGTTCTCACCTTTCCAAAGGCGTCTATGCCTTTGAAGCTAGATAAAAAACCCTTGGCCATTTACGACCTTCAACGATAGCGGACACAATGAAGGGGCAGAAAGAACGAGAGGAGAGAATAAAAAGCTGGAAATGGTTGGTCAGAAGCCGCTCAGAGGGTCTAGAGACCATACTTGGTTTAGACCACGTGGTCGTTGTGTACTTACGTGTCACTCCAACTGAGCTCGTGTATAGCAAATCTTATCAAGCTAGTCCTTTATTAGAACTTGAAGGAACAGATAAGTTCTCCCTACTAGACCTAGAGCTTATGGTGTAATAATGTACAGTCTACTGCAGTCCAATTTTATCTACACCTTGCTTCACCCGTCCGATGAAATTGCGCACACCATCCTTGATGCCCTCAGCTTGTACGCCAACATGGTCAGAGCTTGTTCTATATACACCAGTACCGGCCGAACCTCCGAGACTGACATTGACACCGCCAAGGTTTAGGTTCAAAGATGGAGCAGTGGTTGCGGATTCAGGAGGTGGCTCGTAAACTGATGCGGGAAATCTCTCTGCAGCGGCGCGAATCATCTCAACGTAACTGATAAGGGTTGTAGGTAGGTCGCCTCCTCATTTTTTCCGAACATACTACGCACCTGGACGAGTTGTGTACACAAGTGCCGCCAAGAAGAATTCTTGTCCCTGTCAAAGAGTTACCTGCTTCTTGGTTCAGGAGTGCGACTGTCCTTGCTTCCTCATAGGTAGTTCCGCCGATCATAAAAATGATGACATCTTGAGGCCTAAAAAGCCGAGGGATAAGCTCAGACATTGCTCAGGGCACATTTCTCACCGTTGCAATCCCATGTTAGTACCAGTCCCGTCCAAGAAAGGGTACGTAGTATCCTTCAATCGGCCCTTGAAGATATTTTCTAGAGTTTGTGAAAGATGTGGCGTGTGCTGAGTATACACGTTCTCGACACCCTATGCATTATTAGTATGGCACGCGATACAATGCTGTGTTGAAGATACCTTGAGTCCTTTCAAAGCGGATCTGCCCTTGGCTAATAGGGACTCGGTCGAGAATAGATCATCCTGTCGCTGATCTGATCCAGCAACATTCAAGAAAACGTAAACCAGCTAAAAAGGGATGAGCACAGGTACATTTTTTGTGTAATTGCGCAAAGCTTACCCGAGCTTCTTCACGAGACACGCCATTGGAGAGTAGCAAATTGATTAAAGCGGCAATATTACTCGTCTGCGTCTTTTGATAACGCAGTGCATAGAGGATGACAACCCGCAACTTGTTCCAGGCGGGCACAACTGGATTGTTGACCACAGCCTGTACGTTCTACCCTTTGTCGTAAGTGCCAAAGAATGACATCGACTCAAGAATGCAAACCTTAAAGTCTGAACCCGAGCTCGTGGCCAACCCTTGCTCTACCTCCCCCACTTCAAGTAACCTGTCGCGATCCACCAACCTACTAAGCTCGCCTACCAAAGCGACGTGTTTACTAACGTTCCCACCCAGCTTCCGAAATTCTGGGTATTCTTCCACAAAGCGCTTCATGTCAAATATTGAGTTGATGGACGAAGGTGATTGGGCGAGAGAACGCGACTGATATGATTGGACATAGTTCTTCAGGGAAGTACCTAGGTCTCCGAATGTCGCAAGATAATGAGCTTGAAAGAAAGGGTCGGTAATCGTTGTCAAGGTTATTTCCTATGCATAGCATTAGAATACGAACGATGCAAAACTTAAAGGGACATACAGAGAGCTCCGGACGAATATCAGGGACCATGCTGAGATTTACGCGACCATTATGAATGCCCAACAACTCGTGCACCATGGCTTGATAGGTCCATTGTGACAGCAAAGGAGTGACAGGGTCGTTTCGCCGGTCGAGAATCAGTAGCAGTGGAGCTACTTGCGTCAAGCGAAAATCGAACAGCGTCGCTTCGGCTTGGATACGATGCTGCGATCTTCGTCAGTGATATGTATGGGAATTTACCAGCCTGGCATTTACCTGCACTTCGCTCGCCAGTTTTTTGGCCATCCCGCTTGTTTTCTCGTACCTAATCACGGGTTTCTTTTTCAAACTGAGAAGGACAGCCGTAATACCCTGCACGGAGCGCTCGAGCGCAAGGGAGTCCCACACATTTGGTGAGGAGCCATACAGAGGTTTCTCCGCCGTCGGCGTATGATTGAGAGAAAACAGGCAGGGCAACAGGGGTGCGTAGTCGGCAAAATATTCCTAGTCGGGAGACTTGGGTAAAAGTGCGATCTGAAACAATTCTCACCTACCTGCACCTCCCTGACAACTTCAAATTCGTCAACATCAGCCAAACGTTCAATGGCAGGTTTACTGAGTATGTTGCTGAAATCTGAAATATAAAACTCATGTAAGCGGTGCAGCCCCTTTTCTACCCTCCGTAGTCACGCACTGACACAAATAGTATTCCCCGTATTTGGGTTCCTTTAACTCGGCAGAAAGGGCATCAAGACTGTCTTCACTCGGCTGCAGAAAACAAACACATTTCATGTGCGACATCCGGTCCCGTTTCCCGTTGTCGATACGATCGGTCAGGTAAACCTGATGTGAAAGTAGAGTGGATTGGGTGGACGCGAGTGAAACAATGGGTGTCTGCGATTGCGAACATGAAGTTTGAATGATTGAACAGCAGTATGAAGAAGATGTACCGTATGCGTATCAAGCAGTAGGACTTTCATGGCAGAGGGCGTAGACACCAACTTCGTGATGTATGTCTCCACTGCCTTGACCACGTCCATGGCTGAATGACAATTCAGGTGAAGTTGGGCGGCACAGCGCGGGTTCGACGGGTTTGTAGCGTGAACTACCTTGTGATTCACAGATTTCTAAGAATGTCAGTATGTGCAACAACGTGCTAGCACAAGCTGCTAAGATCTTCAAGCAAGTGCCGTGCATGCGCAGCGTGTCACGAGCGGTCGAATGCAGTTTCCTAAACTGGACACCAAGAAAAAGGTTAAATATTGGCAAATATTGGCAAAATTCTTTCCACCCTCATGTACATGCAGCTGCAGCACTACCGGACTAATAACTTAAATAAGATAATGATACGGTTTGCTAAGGATTCTAGGCCCATACAGTCACTACTGATAGGCCTGCCTGTCAAGCAACTCAAATATTATTTGCATCCCCCTTTCTTCGCCACCCTGCATGAGCCGTATGGACCAATCTCCTCGTGCGTGTTAGTCCGCCTTCAGGCACGCAGTTGCATTCTAAGCGTCGGAAAATGAAATTCACTGGTGGCAGCAGTCCTGATCCCAAAAAAAAAAAGAATAACGTGTGCACTCGAAATGATCGGTCTGGATTAAGAAACGACTATCTTCAAGTTCCTTCGTCTATACGCTACAAGAGTAGGTCTTGATCAACTTCAAAGCGTTATGGACGTGTGGATAGCCCTGTACTAGCGTGAGGCGGTGTGTTTTTTCTGCCCGAGGACTTTCAAGCGGTACTAGGGCTGCAAACTTGTTGAAAGCACAATGATGATTTCAAGCGAGACTTTCCCTAGCTCGCCTACCTATAATCTCGTATAATAGTCTGCTTAATCTGATTTTTACGTTGATCTAAAACCTTTCTTGACCGCCGGACGGCGTGCGGTTTAAACGGAATATTCCGTATACTATTCCTTAAGGGTTTCAAAAAGCAGCAGCCTTTTGAGGCTTTGCGAGTAGCGAATGCGATCTAAGCTTCAGATGCGCATAACGTAAGAAACGTGCCATAGTTTCCCGTCTCTCCACTAGTATCTAAACGATTCGCTTCTATCAGTGTCGGATTACCCGTTGTTTTGACTTTCCGTTGCCTCCGTGTAACCCTGGGGCTGTGGACAGGCCACGAGACCGCGAATCACAAGCTGTGTGTCTCGTGCACCTCCAACCATGTGCTCCAGTTGTCTCGTCGACGGGATTATTTTGCTCCTGCGTCCCGATATGGTGGTCGCTCCTCCAGCTATTTTGTGGAGGACATTACTGAGAGCTTATGGATTCACTGAGCGTGGATGTATTCCTATACGATCACGCTTTTAGATCTGGGCGAGAGTTATTTTCCTTGTAGCCGTACGTACCTCATGAGTCATGACTAAAAGCCAAGTAAAAATAAGACAAAAGATTGGTCGTCGAACTCAGGCAAGCGTTGTACTCCTGACCGTCATCGCGGTAACTACCGATTTTCTTTCTCAACCTTGCTCTTCATCAAGTCTCACCTGCTCCACTACGTGAAGCCCCTCTTCTAACAGCAATCAAGATTCCCGGGATAACCGAACTTCAAATTGCACCAGGGTCAAGCAAATAACCATGATCATTTTTAAAGCGCTGGAGTTGACATCTCGCTAAAGTTGACGTCGTGGAGTTCTTTCAGACAGGAGTTTCTTACAATGTCTGCCCCTCCCTGGATTTCAAAACTATATAACGCCGGGATACATCACTACACATGGAAACTCACATTCAAGTTGCCAAAGATCATGTCGTCTTCATTCTATCATACCGAGCTTAGCAGGGCCCTTTCCGAACAAGCTTTCGGGCTGTCTCGGTTCGACGTATACGGAGGCTCGTCACCTCATGAGGCCACTGCCTCTGTCACTCTGCTAGAGGGCAGAACTATACGCATAACGCTCACTGCTCGTGGTTATCAGGTGCGTATAGTGTGCGTGTGGTCTACATTCACTAAAATTTCTTTCAGCTTGATGGGGATCAGATCTTCGAATCTATTGAAGGTCTCTTGCAGGCCGTCAGTGCAGCATACGAAGGAAAGAGGAGAGAGGCTTTATTTTCGCGCCTGCGAAGCCTATCGTGAAGCACTGTTCCTTGCAATCGCGATATACAATCGCTTTGAAGTCAGTCCTTTGTTCCCCGGATCATCTTGTCCTGCTAACCTCTTTGCCGCAGCGTATTTGTAGTATTTTTGTACTAATGTATATTGTGACACATATTTTTGTCCGTCGTCATAGCGCGTTGCTAGAGGCTCACTGACAACTGACAGGCTTGGTCCTGCAGCAGTCGAGAAATGGAGAATAGTAAAAAGTTTGGTGCAACCTTAGAACATATTCCTGACATATTCCAGTTCTGAAAAGAATCGTGTCATTCTGCCCAGTGCAAAACGTAGTGAAGTACCTGCTACGCATCGATAGATTCAAGTTGCGGTTCTGCAAAGGACCCTAATTCCTTTCGCCTCTGCAAACTGGCTTCGTACTTCTCTCTGCTGAAAATCTCGCCGTTTCTCGCCTTCTTAATTGTAAGTCCGATCCATTCCCGATCCGCTTCATTCCTCAAGCAGTTAGCCCACCATCTATCCATGCTATCTCGCAGCAGGCTAGTATTCAGTTGTTTATGTTCGCTCTGTTCGTTGAGGACATAGAGTAGGAACCCGGCATTCAGATGCTCCAGGCCCATTTCCGACAGACACTTGAGTATCCGTGTGACGCGAAGGTTGTTGTGAGGAGCTTCTATATAGTTTATCCAAGTTCGTAAGCATGAATTTGTGATCATTCTGTCACCCACGCAAGAGGTTTCGGTATCGAGCTTTGTAGCCTTCTGAGCGTCCAATGAGACCAGTCTCGAAGTTGAGCAGGCACATGCCGTAGAAATCCAACAGCAAGCCATAAGACGCCTTGACGCGCTCAATGACATCAGAATCTTCTTTCATTGCCACAGCCTCGTGTGGCTGAAGAGCTTGCGCCTCGAAATTCATTCCATTCTCTCGGATGGGGAAGCTGCGCACACCATGGTTCATGAGATAATCACCGGACGCCACCAGCGGATATATGTCGCTCGACTTACAGCCATTGGATGTAACCGTGATTGTATTCCAGTTGATTATAATCTTTGCGCCAGCTATAGAATAACTTCATGGTGCATCAATTCTGCACTGAATAACGGTCGCATACCTTTGATGAATCTCGCTGATCAAAAGATCATCTGGCTTGCAACGCAGCCGATTTTGGTAAAATAGTAGATTAACTGAAGCTTGTCGGTCATCCGTTTGACCGTGGTAATGAGAAAGAAAAGCACGAATATCGCGCGGAAGTGACATAGAGTTCAATGGGGTTTTATAACCTGAGATTTCCAACCTTACCCAGGCGATCAGTGATAGGTGCCGGTGAAGAACAAGGGTGAATCTTGCACCGAATTAGGAAGTCAAGAAACACATCTTATCTAAGTATGCGCCCGGCGTCTCAACTTAAAAGTGTTGGAACTACCTGATTTGGGTCGGTTCTCCTGCTGTCCAGACGAGAACACATTCATGTACATTTAATCCCCTGTTCAATGGTGCTGCTGAAAGTGGTACTTAATTCTGCTGAATGGTATTCTCTGACCACGCTGTGAAATGGGTTTGGATTTTGCAAATTGCAATTGAATTACAATGCATAGCCTATCGGATTAAAATTTAATCGAGGATCATCACAGCCTAATTTGGTAATTTTGTCCGAAGAAATACTAAATTTTAAAACTCAACCACGTGTGAACCATCCACATGGCCAGCGCTTCAACAAGTACCACCTGCTGCTAAAAGTCACTTTGCACCTGTGCAGCCTATACTCACGCATAATATCGTGCTTCGCTTGACGAGCGAACTTGTTGTCTCAGCACTATTCCTATATAACTTTGTTCGGTGGTCCCTCAACCATGCTGAGTTGCACACGTCTTGCATCATGACGCCGACAATGCCATTAGTACGAGGTAAGGAACCATTATGACTTCGTACCTGAGCAGTACATGGTCCATAGCTACTTTCGATCGAATTCGCACCTTATGCCAGACCTACCTTTCACTTGTGGGGCCTCTAAATCTGTCATGTTGATGTAGATTGGCTGACGTTGTTCGCCTGCAGTTCGTACCCATTTTGTAGTCAAGTCATGGAGTTCGTCCCGAGGTTCCACAAGTCCGTTTGACATCTCGTTGCGCTTACTACCCTGTATCGTCCGTATTTGGAAAATAGTGAGTGATATCAGTTCATTTATATCCGAGCTCACATGAAAGTGCCAGCTCTGTTTCCAAGTGCTTGGAAAAACAAGTTCCCTTATCTGATCCATCTTCCCGACTGGCTGGTAGTCACACACCAACCATCCGATTCAAAACACACATATTTCGCAATTATAGCTTGTTCATCATCGATGAACATTTGGGCATCCTTAGCTAACTCACGGTAGCTTTGGGGTTCAGCGGCCTTGACATGTGAGAATATGAAGACGTATTACGGGATTATGACTATCGTGGTTATTGGGAGAATTGATAACCTTTAGATGGGCTTTGACGTTTACAATCGGGTCATGTCGAACATCAGATCTATTCCAGAACGCAAGGTGTGCATGCGAGCTTCATATCTCGTAACAAACGGAGTGAGCCTGACAGCTCTATATGGCAGTGGTGGATGGCACGGGGAATTGCCACTGAAAATACGAATGAATGTGTGTATTACTCTTGCACTGATACATGCCATTATGGCGCGCATGCATAAAAGGATAGACTCAACGCGATATATCCAGGTACACGCAAGCACGTTCGAAGCGATACAATAATCTCCAGCTATACTTCATTCATCAACGATTATTGACGTTCTTCGGGGAAGATGTCAACATGTCAAAGTCTTCTAGTCAACGCGGAGATGAAGGCGCGAAATTCACTTTCTGAACGAACGTTGGCCCGAGCTAAGCAAAATGGTAGCCCCGATAAGTATCTAGAAGTCATATCTAGGCTTTCGTTTCGCTTGTCCGATTAGCATGTGATCCATCTTACTAAATCGTGGTAACTCATATCTTATCAGTAAATTGTTTCAGCGCCCTATGACCGCAGATACTCCAAGGTCCGCCGCATTTTCATTCGTCTGGAGCATATCTTACGTGGAAAAGCATGCGAATAGTCAAGCTTTTTGGCTCGCCTCCGATCGAGGGCACGAATGACAATAACTGTGGTCTAAATGTGGTCAATTCTTGCATGGAAGGAGTCATCGCTCACATGGAAGGGAATCATGCTCGCATCCAGTAGTAACGTGTGAGTTTCTGCGCAGCGGCAGTGTTGTTAACGTACGTGCGTAAGGCCTCGAAGCCATGAGCGTCGACCCCTATACGTTTTGCAGGAAATTGTGATCGAGCCTTGCGAGATGGATGTGTCTTTATTTCTTCCGCGGACGACTTCTATTCAAGTGTCAAACGTATGTCTCGCCCATTGACGCCACTGATGGGCCAGCCAGCCTGGTTTCTAGGTCAGAACCTTATCCCCATTACATGGATATTGAGGGGCATCGCAAGAATGCAATATGTGCATTACCACATGGGCTGAACATTGCAGGCAACAATAATGCGACAAAGGGTGCATGACCTACACGTGATTGATGAGTGGAATAACGACAGAGAATTATGTTTGATGCAATACGCTGTACCCTCAGATACTATCGAGGCAGCGTGTGACACGGCCGACGCTAAGTCATGTAACACACGCTCACGGTGGTCAAGTGCTGACATTAGAGCGTATTGCGTCCGCTGCGAAGCAATTGCTGGAGAGGTATTTTTGCGCCTTGCCAAGGTCTTGCTCTCCTTGTTGTTGGGCATGTCAGGTTACCGGTCAGGGAGCCAGCACAACTTCATGACGCCACAAAGGAACCCGATAATATTCATGTCAAACACGACGGCACATTAGAGTTCCTCACGAAGGCAGTGCGTCACATGTGTTGCTCTGGCCCTGTGATAGGTTCCAGCGTCATAGGAAGATATGTCCTCGAGGGGAAATAATCGTGGTGCTCGGGTGCCATTGGCTCCAAGCCACGAAATGAACAGGTTTAAATGCTTTCGACAATGCCGCTGGCTCGCAAGATCACATTTTCCGCTGGAATTCGGTTGTCACCAGGCCCAACGATGGCGGGAGCATTGCCACGCCCTGGCGGGATGCCATACCAGCGTGGTCTGAGCGGTTGAACCTCAGCCTCCTGCGCGTCTGGCCTCTGAAACTGTCTGGGCAAGACCTTGACCTAGAATTTAGACGCTTCATTTCATTTCATTCTTGCATTCTACTATATGCTGCATTCTGGGGTTTCTCGTATTCCAAATTTGGGTCTATGAAACAATGAAATGAAATGTTCACGAATTGTTCCCATCTTATGGTCTGGATCTGTGGAGCTTGCAACTGCTTCCAAGTGGCCTTGTTTACTAGAATTGAGCGGGCCTGGAAGCTCTGCTGGTGCATATGTATAACGTAAAGTAATGTATTGCCAACAACATATGGAACTTCAAAGGAATGCAACCAGCGCTCTATCAGCGCAAATGATGATGGTCAATTTACTACTATGAACATATTATGATTCAGATATATCATTTATCATGGTTATGTGCCTACATGAATTGAATTGCGCGGGCGCTATCCCAACTTGGCTACATATGTACATAGTTGAGTGGCTATGGCATACTGCGGTGCGTCGGACGGCCTTCGAAGGGAACTGTATTCGCCCTTTGGCACCTTTGGCTAGTGTCGGTGAAGTAATTGTGGAAGGGCCACAAAGGGGATCGCACGATAGGTCGCATCCGACGACAAGGTCACCATCTGGCAATGAAAAGACCACTAGGACAAGAAGGCCACTAAGCTCAATCTGGTGCGAGCCGGCCGAGTTGGAACTTGCCGCCTCAGTTGACGTTCCAATTCCTCCGCGGCGAAAGGTGAATCGACGTCAGTGGTGCTGTATAGATTCAATTCGATCTGGCTGATCATCATGATGGACGACTTGATTGAAGATGAGCGCGCATGTCATGGAGACTTGCAAGTCCTTCTTGTGCGGCTACCGAGGTGCTATCCTAGTCACCGGGTATTGGGGCTAAATGACGATGCTGCGGCAGGCCCGGGCGGCGTGCTTGAGAAATAATGCACTATACCTGTGTCCGTCCCGCGCGACGTGCGTGGTCCCGTGTGGTCGCGGTATTCAAAGAAGTAGGCCGTCGCTTCTTTGCATGGAACACGGATCCGAGGGCTATGGCTCAGCCTGTACTCGCTTATACAATCGCTTACCTGCTTGCAGGTAAATACGCCTTTGGACTTGCTTGACGTGTTCGTGAACCGATAGGCGTTCTTCGCGTTGAGAACAAAAATCTAGATCTTCGAATCGATTTGAGAAAACATGCCGAACGTTCCATCATATGTGCTTCTGAGATCTCAACACGATGCAAAGGCGAGATGAGGTTCTTCTTGCACGAGGAATATTGTGCCTCTGTGAGAATATCATATGATTATTAAAATTGATCGAACATGACGTCGCGGTCTTATACTTTGTGCAGTCAATGTTCGCTGGACGTGCCAGTAGACACGGCGCGAGTCACAGAGGAGGCATCCTTGTCAGGCCTATAGATGAAATTCGCGAGCGAACAAGGATGGAAGATCGATGCGATGGACGCGGATTAGATATCACCGACGTAAGATATTCAAATACAATCTCCAACAGCCTATTAGAATAAACATGGGGGAGAAACTCACGGTAGCGCCTTAGTGAACACCGCAGCGGCCTATTTTCGATCGCAACAGTTGGTGGTACCTAGGGGTACATTCGGCTGGCTGAAGATGCCGCGTGCCTTTAAAATATTTCCGGGCGCAAATGAATGATATACGGTTACTGACCGTGTGGGACCCCCATACCCGTATGCTTCAGAGCCCCGCGGGGAGGGCAACAAATGAGATGATCACATTGAACAGAACAGGATTCATGATGGCAATGACTGGCATTACTATAGTTTGAGCATTGCATTTGATGAACGCCGAATAGTAAGGATCGCATTAGTGTATTCACGAGCGAACGTTAACCTTTTGTGTCGCATTTCTAGATCCAGCAAAGGCATAGCCCAAAGTCTGATCAGTAATCCGAGCACTTCGGTTTGACCTGAAAAGGTCAAGTGGACTACTTGTGAGACGGGCGGGGAACGGGAGGCCCCCGACGCGAATGGCCTAGAGCGCAACTCGGGAACTCACGGAAAAGCAAGCGGACATCGACGTTGAGAGCATCTGATTATTAGTTACTGAAGCTCCCGAAGGAGGGCAGCTGTTGCCAAGAATGGCGTGAAGTCGGACTGTGGGTTCCGCGCGGTCGGGGAAAGCCGAGTAGTCTATCAAACGTGAATTTCAAATTGAGCGTAGATGAGGATTGGATGGACACCGATGGGACAGGTGAGACAAGTTTTGGGCCAATGAGCTCACAGGGCGGTTGCCACAGTTTCGAAAGTGTGGATGATTGGACCAATGAACGTTGTGAAGCGCTGTGTACGGTTGTGTACACCTACATGTACCTACATGTACACGGTTTACGCATGCAACAGTCTGAGTCAATTGAATCTTGTTTTGGTAAGATGGTCAGGACGAGGGCAGCATGATTATGTTGAGCGTGGAGTATGATAGATACATTCACCCATGATATATGATACATGTAAGGAGAAAGCAACTGGTAGCAAAATTTGAGCATGATACGGAATACAGTGCAAATCGGTGTTTGCCGATACCGTAAGTAACGTATCCACGGGGTGTACCGGTGGCGTCGCAGTACAAGTCACAACGGAAAAATAATTTAAAGTACCAAAGCCTGAGGACTATAGAATGGGTCCAGGTGATGATTAGACTTGGTAGTTTATATGAACGGCGAATTGCTTGGTATGTAAGAACGGCCTATAAGGAGGAAGCCAAATACGGACCGAAAGGGAACCAATTGCCACGTGCACAGGGTTCCACCGCACGGGGTAGCGTGACAGCATGCGATTTCCCAATGCGGGGAGCAGAGGATATTCATTGCCGAGGATCCGAGGTAGCCGAGAGAGTAATAACTCAATTTCCAATAATTTTCAGTCGTGAATAATTCGGCATTCGGTGCGATTGCAATCCCCAATTAGGTAGTCCATTTGGTGTATATGCGAATCACCAATCAAATAATAAAACCCCGACCTTTCACTCTTTTTTTCATCCAATCCCATTCTCCCATATCTCACATTCTTCCTCTTCTCATCGTCCTCCTCCTCGTCCTCAACCTCGACAACCTAACTAATAGTCGTTGGCATCGGGTACCACATCTGGTGGCACGCTCCACACTGCCATAAATCGTGCGTTCATCGTTTCCATTCTATTGAAATCTGGTCTAGAACGTTTACCTTTGTTGTTGTTTCACCTTTTGTCCACATCTAGATATCTTCAGCACTGCCTGTCAACTTCTTTGTTTGACTGCCTTTAAAGCCCCCACCCCCTTCCCCGCACTTCCTTTAAACCACCCATGGATATTCACTTCGACGAAGCTTGGTGTCCAGTTTGTGACAGGCAAATCATGCCTAAGCGGTTTACAGTACCCGTCATCCCACAACCTCAAGAACCCACACCTGTCCCCACGCCATCGCCAGCATCATCATCTCGTGAGCCTTGTCAACTGTCATCCTTCACTGTCACAAGTCACTCAATATATTTTTCTAGCGTCGAAAAATCAACAGAGTGACTCTACTGCACGCACTTCCCGAACGAAAACTGGCCCAGTTCGCGCGAAGAATGGCCTTGTGCAAGGTACCGGTCGTGTCAAGCTTAATGGAGCAATAAAGCGATCCGACTCAACGTCAACCGCAAACAAGGGCCGTGCCTCGCCGCCTCAACCTCCACAACCTGTCCCACCTGTCAAGCACCGCACTATCATTGACCAGGGTCCAATCCCTCTTTACTGTTCGGATGAGTGTCGTCTCCAAGACTTGGCAAGACTCGATGGCGCTTACCCACTCAATTACCACCCTGATCGTTCATCGCCACCTCTCCCTCGCGTCCCTCATAATTCTTTCGAAAGGCGATATTGCGAATCAGAAGATGAATCAGCCAGCGCTTCCGGATCATCACTTGACTCAGGTTGTTCGTCTTCCGTACCGGTCGTCAATGTCTCTCGCAGTATGGCCACCCTTGCCGCCCTGTACAACTTCCCTCCCTTACCTCCTGCGCCACCTATTTTGTCACCGGCCGACAGCACATCCTCATTGGCGCCCGAGTATAACAACGATTACCAGGGCGGGACAATGATGGCAAGCAAGCGTATCAAGGAGGTATTGTGCCTACCACGCGCCAAGCCTTCGTCGTTTTATAGTGAACCGCCTCAACCCAGGAAACCAGTTCCTGGTTGGACCGACGGCGGTAGTGAATGGCGTCAATCTGTGTATGGCGGATACTCCAAACGTCCAGACAATGCATCTGTTGGGTCCGAGAAAGCCCAGACCTCATTCGCAGCATCGTCACATCGTGGTGTGCAATGGACTTCGACACTTTCCCAGTCAAATTCATCTAGTGCTCTTGCCGCGCAGTGTCCTGCCTCCAACCTGCCTCCTCCTCGTTCGAGTCAGTCGTACAGCGAAGAGTTGTACACCAAATATTCCCTCCCTCTTTCTCGCAGATCAGAATCACGTATGTCACTTTTCCCCCACTCGGCTTCTTCTTCCGCACAATCACCTCCGCTGTCTCCCACTTCCACATCTTCGTCCTGTCGACGCCGTCGTGAAGTCCCTCTGCTCAAGCGAGGCGCAGAGGGTCGTTTACTGGTTCCCGACGTCATACTCACTCGAAACAACTCGAGTATGGGTTTGTTATCGCAGCGTCTTGCGAAACCTTTGAGGAGGCACCCCAGCGAAGTTAGTGAAGACAGTATCTTGAGTGACACCACGTCTGAATCGCTTGGTACCTCGTCCCGACCTGGACCACAAAGTATGTCCTGCATCTAACGATTGTTTAATTGTGTGACCAATTTATATCTCCAGTTCGCACATGGTCATACGATAATATCAAGACTTACCCTGTGATGATGCCTCCTGCAAAGAAGGAGAAACGCATCGAGCATCGCATGGTTGACGGCGAGGTCAAGGAGGTCGAAGTCGAGGTCGAAGTAGTTCAACCCTTGAAACGCCTCTTCCTGTTCCCTGGCAAGGAAACAACTCCTGTGGGACGGTCCTAAATGGCACGCGTAGCCACTATCCCCCTTGACCTTGTCTGTTTCTCGAGCATTCCATCATACCCTGTATTTGCACGGTCGCGGATCGCCGACGGCCATACCGCCACATTCACGACGCATACCCATTACTTTATCGATTCTTTACCGGCATCTCTCATCGCATCATGACCACACGCAATTCACGACATCCCATTTAACGATCGTGTTGTCGACTCGGCTGAATCGCGCTACCGCCACCCTGCCTAATACCGCGCATCCATATCAAAAGTTGAATAATGATTTGTACCATACCATTGTATTGTGTGTATACCTTTCCTGCTTTTTTTCTTCTGGGCCCGTACATCGTGTAACATCAGACTTGCGCATTTACTGTACGCATTATTCTACGACATGGGACTAATTGGTCTTCTGTCTTTCGGTCGAGTTTTGTGGTTGGGGTACATTCTCGGGCCATTAATTGCTTTCTGTCTTATTTTCTTATCACTATATTTTGGTCTTCGATGTTTTCTCGCTGTCATATCGCATCGTCGTTCCGTTGTGAGTAGCACTTGTATACTTGTTGCAATAATGCATGTACTGGACACTTAAGCTTATCGATCGTTCGAGATCAAATATTCGGCTTGCATGGGAACACCGAAGCTAAGAAGTAACATTAACATTATTCGCTAGGTGCCTTCTGGTCACTTCGCCGTCGTCCCTGAGCTTCTTAGTCCGCATCATGATCTTTGTGGGTAATTCGGTTGGCTTCCTCTTTAATAAACACGGAATCATATCGTTGTGTTTAACAAAATGGATGGCAACAAGTCGGTCGGTCAAATTTTATAATTTCCATGTCCCGCAATGGAGTTCATCGTCCATTTTCGAGGTGCTCCAAGCTCCGAGTACAGAAACACATGCATATACAAATATCAGTATCCTTGCATTCTGGAACCACGTCTGGATCGTTCCATCTGCTCATCTGAGACGATCACGGAAGGGCGTAAATCCATCCCGGGACGAGAGTCCAGAAGCGGAGACGCCAACCCCCAGAGGTAGTAAGTATTACCCCACGCCCCGGATGCATGTATTCGGCCTGTGCACGGAGGTCCAGCACCATAGCCCAATACACCAGCTTTGAATCATTAACACAGCTCTTGACACAGGAACATGACTTGGTTCAATCATGTTCCGTGCCTGCCGCAACAGCGCTCAACGTTGTTTCCGCAGCCGCTCTGACAACGGACACGGCTTGCGCTGTGGGACCTAATCCAATTCTACGATCAACGGAACGGTGCTGGAAAACACAATTTTTCAGTTGACCGGATCTCCGGAGTCCGGATATGACTGGGACCACGTTTGTGCTGGAGCTTATTATCCCGCATGTGGGAATGGGTGCGACCCGCGATGAGCAGACATGCTATGTTACAGAACCTGTTTCCTAGTAAGTACATGTTAATGACCTCCAGGGTGAATCATATGACGAAAATTACGTTCTCTGAACCACCTGGGGCCTGATCATATATTGAAACAGCCTCATCTCTACTGGATGGGAGCATTTGCCCCTCTCCGGAAATGGATGGGGAATATCGCTGAGATTGCTGTGCGTGGGGCGCTTTCATTGATATCGGAACTGGGCGGTTGCACTCAGTGAGGGCATGTGGGGAATGCCACGACCAGATATATACTTCCGGAGCTCATCATCCCATTAATATTGCTGACCGTAATAGAAACTATTTCGATCTATGATACACATCATGTTTGGAACTCGGTCTCAACCAATAACGCACTCAGTTCGATGGACGTCGAACGCGTGCGCGCGTGTGAGCAGGGTAGATGCTTCTACGAGTCTCCGTTACGCCACGCGTCTAATACGCATCCCCACGAGCCTGCACTCATCAAACAACATCCGAGTGTTATACATCCAGCAAGTCAGGGCTGCCCAATGACCTTCCACGATAATCAAGACTGCTCCCAGCACCTGCCGTCTCGATGGCTGACGAATAAATGATTAACCTGACACATTTTTATGATATAACGACCTTGCCGTTCCATACATTAAATTTGCCTGTCTGGGGCATGAACGCTCATCAGGCGGGCCGATAGGACAGTTGATGCGGGGGTAACGTAGTTCGCGGCTTCCGGCTTTCCCTGTCCACGTCACTTTCCGGAAACATATCATTCCTTGCGTCAGCGTCAACCGTGCGGCTGCGAGATACATGACACAGGGACGCAGAAAACCGCGGACACCATAACGGAAGTCCGCAATACCAGCATGTTACGGTGATTAGGCTGCATCATATCATATACTAGCCTCATTTCGCGTGAGGTAATGACCTGATGCCTGCATGTCCAGGAAATATCGTATAATGCACTGAGAGGGACGGATATTACAATGCCTAGTGTAGACACTGAGGAGTTAACAGAAGAGCCTAGCTGCACAGATTGGGAGAAGCAATACTAGTATATTCTGACCTGAGCTTTACTTGACAAGCACGTTCTTGATTGCTGTGCAAATGCGGGGAAACCTAAAAAAAATCAGCAAGTTTACGCCACACTGACTAGTCTCGGGTGAAGGGTCTCCCTTCCTTACATAAGGGTGCTTTCATGTGTGGGACATAATATCTGACATATTTCCAGCTAACCTGAAGAAACTCAACTTTGCTGTACGTGCCCAAGGCTAATTGTTCGAATTTTTTATCCCATAGTTTTTGACTTGTCCGTAAGGAGCATCGCGACGTGTGACTTGCACCGTTAGGCTTCACTAGCACGTGAAGAATTGCTTGCAGTCGCACAGTGCTGTGCGCATTGTGGGTAAGGAAGTACGCAACCTAAAACGTTATCGGGCAGACTAATTCCCTAGCAACTGTAGGAAGAGACCATGAGATACGCTTGTGCAAACACATGTGGTTATTTCTGAGGCCTATTTGAGATCCGGGCTGCGGGGAGATCCAATATTAGCGGCAGGAAACTTCTGTCAGGCTAATGTGACGAGAAGGCACATACATCCTGTCTGGCCCTTAGTACTCACAAGTAGTATGACAAGCAAGACAGACACATCACTAACCAGCAACAAACCAGAACACGACAGTTAAAGTTTGATCCTTGCGTTTGCTACTACGTCGCGGAATGACGCTACATGGCCTGAGGTATCCGGTGATCGTGTGCATGACCAGTGACTACCCTGCTGGGATGTGCGACAGCATGGACGATGATCAATGATACATTCACGAGGCGATGACTCACCCACTGCGGTGATCGCCGAACACAACCTCTTTCAGCGTGGGGTTGATGGTTTGAGGTAAGTAAAAATTCTAAGATACTGGGAATATGAATTACGGTACTTGCCGGCGACCGGAAACACCATCTACTAGAAATACTAGAGTCACAGGACATTTAAGGCAGTACTTACCTTGAGCGTATTTCCTGCAGCATGATTTCGCCCGGCACTGGAAACCTGCCGCAAGATCAAGATCAAGAGTTCTACGGTTGATGGTTTACAGCTGATGCATCTAGATGTGACAACAATGGACAAGATGAATGCTGAAAAGACGGTGAACAGTTGCCGCTTCAAAATCTGAATACTCAGACGCGGCGTCTGAGTTCTTTGTGGGATAACAGTTCAACGAGATTGCCGTTTCCGAGTCCTTTCACTCGTTTCAGTGCTTAGGAAAGCTTCAGGCGACACCTGTAAGTGAGCTTGAGCGCATAGTAGCACCTGCCAGGGAAGGTAGGAACACGTGTTTCCCGCCGGCGTTGCGTCACAGGGCACCGGAAGCCGACCAGATGATGGCCTATGACAGCGCATGCGGTCAATTCTCATGTGGCCGTGGGCGGAAAATTCCGTACCAGAAATGTCACGAATCGGTCATGAATGGCTAGTTAAATTTGAGCTCGAGGTGCCTGAAACTAGATAACTCTAGAGGCGGCATGGTAACACAGTACATGAGTACCTGACTCCTGTGTGAGTACGAGAACAGTGAACGGTGGTAAGCCTTGTTTCCATCTTAATCTAAAAATTCTGGTGAAAATCCTACTTACAGGTAACCGGGCGACGCGTGAGGATCGATTGGCATCAAACGTGGCCGACGGCGATCTGGCGTGGTATTGGAACTTCATTGAGTATGTCATGGTGTTACTTGTATGACTTTTTCGTTTCTTCTTTCTCAGCCAATATTAACGCAGGCTAACCACATCAGTGGTCTCCAAGTCTGTGTCTGCCGCATAGTATGATTCTATCGATAATCATTGTCAACGTTTCGTGCTCCCTCCAGATCTCAAGTCAATGATATACTCACTGTGATTGTGATAGATTCTGCAATACGGTTGGTAGTCGGCACTCATCAACGCTCGGGAACAACAGGGAGTACCACCCGCTTGTAGCTCGGTGATGTACTCGTGCATTGCAGTTATCTTCGAGCATTGGCGTCTACAGCTGTAGCTGGACTCCGACCCGAAAAAAAACCCAGTTATGTTCTAAAAACCAAGCCAATTTCAAGTTGAATGTTCAATACTCCGAGTCTCCGACAGTGCTTACAACTCTCCCACGCCTGCTAAACCTGAGGTTCTCGTCACGTTTTCAAGTACTTACTATGACTATAGATGCAGTTGAAATTTTCAATCTTTGCTTCAACAGGCTCCTCAGCGAATCTGCCGCAGAATGTGGTCAATTGATCCTCGGCCTGGTAATTTCCCATGTTTTTCTTTCGTACAAGCAGATCCATCATCTACATCTTACCCAGTGGCACTAGTGGCGCCGTACTAGCTCATCATACCTACCTTTCAGTCCTCACTTGTTTTCAATTGGCGCGTCGTCTCTGTCCAGTACACTCGCCGGGCCGTATTCCGACAACTTATGATCTGCGACTGTCTATATGCATGCAAGCATCCGCACTTCTTAGCCACAAAAGTTGGTCTTGGCAAGAAAATGTTCTGTTGTCCATAATATCTGTGGCTGAAAGGTCAATGGTCGCTTTCGATGCAATGACAGGTCTTATAACAAAGTCTCGTACTTCGCATGAATTGATCCATGCGTCGTTTCCACTCTGTTCGGTGACTGGCTGGCCCTACGACAACTTGTTAGAGACAGCCGCTTCTTCGCTGTTCGGTCCAGCAGAAGAGCTTTTTATGCCGGGAAGTATCGGAAAAGTGGATTGGAGATGATTTGTCCTGTCTTCTATCACGAGATGTTCAACAGAAATATTATTTTTCCGCTTGTTTTGATTCGTGCATGCAGCTCGGATATCGGAACCATCGCCTCACCTCGTTGCTTCCAGGTAGTCTGTCGTACCTATAAATCGAGCAGTATCCACGAACAGGAAAAGATATTTCCTTCCCCCCCGCGTAAAGGTAATATCTCTGAACGTTTATCTGTCCCCGCATAAGACAAGTCGGGACCTATGCACAGGTACGGCGGTCTCGACTCTCGACCGATGACTTGGTTTGACAGAATTCAAATTGTTTCTCAGTTCGTACTTGTGACACACTGACCTTCATCTTTGATTATGATCGATGGCTTCAAGTTCGATGGCGCTCAACCAGTTGCCCATGGCTGAGCTTCATGGGAAGATACGAGCGAAAATCAAGGGGCTCGCGCTGGAATCAGACTCCGTGTACCGCCGGGGGCTGATCATGAGCGCTGATCGTTTGGATTGTGGGGTCTTGGTGTTGAACCGATATCGATAACGTTCCTGCAACACTTGTATTGGGTTCAATCCGGTTCATTGAATGTTATCGACTGTAGCGGATTACCAGATTCGGATCAAGATCCGCACTCCGCCTCCCCGCCACTATAAGTGTTGCCACAAATCCCTATCATAACTATCTCCCCGCACCTGGTACGTGTCACCGTGTACAATGGTGAGCGCGCGGCATCTCCGCCATCATTCTCCTCTATCACTAATGACTCGAAACAGGGTGTCAACATTGAGACAATTATTCCTGGTGACGGTAAAACGTTCCCCAAACGGGGTGGTATGTGCAGTATCTCCGAATCGTGTTTCAACTAAGATCGCAACAGACACGGTCACAATTCACTACGTTGGCACACTAGAAAATGGCACCGTCTTTGATTCGAGCAGAGATCGGCAAGCATCGCATCTCTTGTCCATGATCATAGCTGACGATCATTCCTCCATAGTAAAGACCCTTTCGTGACACAAATAGGCGTCGGTAAGGTGATCAAGGGATGGGATGAAGGTTTGTGACTTCCCTGCATCTTTCACTGTCTAATATTCAATGATTTATCAGGCGTGCCGCAACTATCGCTCGGCCAGAAGGCCAACTTGATAGCCAGCTCTGATTATGTGGGTGAATATCTCATGAAGATCAAGTCCCGGTCTGACATTATCTTAGGCCTATGGAGCACGCGGATTTCCGCCCGTCATTCCACCGCACTCGACCTTGAAATTTGAGGTTGAATTGTTGAAGATCAATTAATGACTTTTAAATGACGCGGCGTGTACGAGCTTACTTTCGGCATTTGTGACTGCCTTTCTGTACCATTCAATTGTATGTTCATGCATTTTGGACTGTTTCGTGATTTCGCAATGGAAATATTTGTCAGATCCGTGGTGTACATGATTGCGAACCAATTGCGAACATGATATCATTTGCTTTGATTGAGATCCCCTATTAGGCGCCATAATTCCTCATGTTCAGCTTCTCGTTGCGCCCGGCGCTCTGATTATCGCATCGTCCTGATGATCAGCATTTAGTGACCTCAATGTGTGGGCCTACTTTACCTTCTGCGAAAGCCCCGATAGCAGCCAGCGACTCGTGATGAACTTGCCGAGACGCTTCCAAGAGAACTTCCATTGATATCTCTACTCGATATCAGAGATAAAGATCCAGGAGACTGACGCGTTTAAGCTTACGGGATGTCCTATTCTCGCGCGAATCATCCATCAGGCTATGAAGTTTTCCCCGTATCTCCGCATAAAACTGGTCCCATCCTCCCTCACCATCCTTTTGAGCGGCAGCTCTCGCCTCCAGTCGCATTTTAGCTTCAGCACAATTTGCCCGATTTTCTTCAAGCATTTGCTGGAGCCTATCTAGCTCAGCTCGCAACGGATCGTTCGCGTTAGATGGTGTGCTCATGGAAAAAGACTGTTTGTCAGTGCTAGCGTCGGATCTCTCCTGTCCCTGCTGACCGGCAGGTTGCATTGCAGTAAACGGAAGCAACAAACTCCGAAGTCTAGGAAGAATTCGAGAATTCATCGGTCGAAACACTTCTTATCGACTGCAGCCCCTTGTAACAACCCTGCGCCATGTTGTCGGTAGAATTCTATCGATCGTTTAGAGTTGCACAATGCGTGATCGTTCTTCGGCCACCAATAAATTATACGGCTCTCGGCCGATGAACAAGATCGAGCATTCTTTTGGAACAACACGAATGTAGAGTATTCACTAGTTGACACTGCACAATCACACTCCTGCACCCTGCACGATTCGACGACGTCATGATGTCGACACTTGGCAGGTGAGTATCTCTAAGATTTGGTGGAACTCACAAGAATCGCTGAGGAACTTTGCCGTTGAAAGCGTATCTTTCTTATCTAGAGTCTGGTCAGTACGTAGAGCATCGGACGGAGAAAACCGTACTGAATATGTGTGAATGCCGCGGCCAATCGTAGGCAGACTACATGGTTCACGGGATAAGCGTGATCGACCTGATGATCGATGCTATCGGTCCCTTAAACCGCTGCGCTGGAAGCCGTGGCCCGTCGGATGAAACGCGGCACCAAATAAACAAATTAAGCTGCAATTCAGTAACACAATCGAGGGTGTTTGCATAGTGGAACCACCTGGAACCACGTACCCTTGGTTGAACGGCTTCACTGTCTTAAGTAGCGTTGGGAGCAGAGCATAGTCCGTAATATTCAATCACACTCTACACATAACTAGTAACACACCTGTGCGCAATTACAACTCAGTGACGTTGATCAATCACGGACTGACAAGAGGGCAGGTTGAACGATGGGGAAGTCTTGCTGTACTTCACACAAGTCACTATTCATCGGTTCGAGTTGCCAAGGACAACTCGGAAAATTGAGGAACGACATTGCATAACTTATTGAACGGCGAGGACTTTCTCCGGGTCACAACAAATACGTGTCGTCATGCCAGCCTAGGATTGCTCATGACCGGTCACCACGCAAAGCCCACAGTGCGTAACACCTGATAAGTTTGATGAAATCATCGATAGATCGGAAGACATGCTTAATTACATGTTCAGGGGAAAGTTCGTACCTCCTTATGGTTGACAACGTTGAAGTGTCGGAGAACCCCGACTGGCACAGAACATCCTTTCAGAGCCTCGAAGAAAGGGGTTATCGCAAGTACAGTGCTGAAGGAAAATCATCAATGTGAATCATTCAAAACTACGGTATCATCAATATTTCCGTCAGGTACATCAAAAACACAAATAATAATTACGCTATTAGCGATGCCATTGGTACGTGTACTTCAACCATGTCCATATCGTCGTCGTCATCATCGTCACTATTCGATATCTGGTCCGCAGGAGGTTGGGCGGAATCAGGAGAATCGTGTGATTTTGCAGTCGCAACGGAAACATAGCCCTCTTCGATGCTTCTGGGAGGGTTGAGGTCTTGGGCTAGCTCGTCCTCGCTCACATCTGCAAACTCCGCCAGTTGAGCGGCTAAGAGGGCAAGCTCAGCCTGCAGTGCTGCTCTTTCATCGCTGTTCAACTCAGTGCGTAATAAAGTCTCGGTATTACGAGATGGCAGAGATGTGCTCGCAATCGTCGAAACTGGTTGGCTATCTAATGTCGACGATACCTCGACGGAACCGGCAAATACTGGAGGTGGCGCTTGAGCTGCCGTCGCGAAATCTGCATGTATTGGCGCTCCATCCTCGTTGGAGATCTGAAACAATTGTCCAAAATTTATGGCTTTGAGAATATTTTGGGCCGCTTCCCAGGCATCGCTGCCTTCTCGAACCTGGCTTTCGGTAGTTTGTGTTTCCGACGGAGTAGGCTGAGGGTGATGATTTGCCGCAGACGTGGATGACCCTGGATAACCAAAGCCATAAGGATGGCCAGGTTGACCTTGTGCGGAGGCATGTGGCTGAGACGATGATGTACCGGCATCTACGTCATGGACAAGGGGAATATGAGTGAAAGGTGATGATGCATGTCCCTGATGGGCAGATAATGCAGTTTGAGCGTGAGTCTGCGGACGACGAGTAGTTCTCTTGGAAGTCTGATGGATAACATCGTTAAAAGTTGCAACAGGAATCAAAGTGTTGTGCTTACATTCCCACCTTCCCAGTTGACATTCAATCTGTATTTACCATTATTCCCTTTTTCTAGACGTCCGCGTTTGAAGGCCTTTTGGAGGGCCTGGCTAGCTGAAGGCCTAAAATTCGACTGTAACGGGTAATGTGACGCCATCCAACTAAAGAGGGCCTTTGGTGCACACCCCTCTGGATCCCCAAAATCTATCAGTGCCTCTACAATCATTTCTTCGTAACTGGGGAGGTCATCGACGTTATTTGATGATGAGGATGGTTCTGAAGAATGTGCTAAAGGTACACTCGTGAATAACGATGGTGCGTGACTTGGCGGAGGCGGTGGAGGCGGGTTTGGTTGGTATTGAGCCGGAGGTGGGTGAGGGTAAGGGGGATATGGATGGGGGAAATTATAGTGTGCTTGGGGTGGCGCGGGATAGTAAGGAGCATGTGGATAGGAAGGATGGTAATAAGGTTGGTGTGGATAGTGCGGAAGGGATTGTGGCGGTGGGTGAGCTGCCGTAGACGGGTGAGGTGTCGCACTACCAGAGATCGGGCCATGCGTTACAGAGGGAACTGGCGGTTGCTCAGAAGAGGATGAAGCAGTTTTGTCTCCTGTGTCTGAAGGCGAATCATTTGGCGGTGATGTAGATTTAGATTGATCCCCAGAGTCCACTGGAGGGCTCGATTGTTGAGCTGGTGCATGCTGAGATATCTGTGCATTTTGGGTCTGGATTGCTGCAATTGCGGCTCGAATATCATACGGCCACACAGTACTTTTTACATGGAGGGGCGCATGAGCCTCAAATGTAAGGCAGATATCTATTATCTGTGGAGGAGGAAGTAGTCCCAAGTACTGTCGTTTGATGGCATAAATTTCAGATTCTGTCATTATTAGGTTATGCATAAATATAGTCGATGATCTAGCACATTTGTCCGCACCTGTGAGGGGCTGGTATCCATTTTGTATTGGAGGATGTGTTGGATGGTAAGGAGCTGGAGTGCTCGCCGTTTGCATGGTTCCGCGTGCTGCACAGTTTTTCGCATCAAGGTTTGCAAGTAAATTCAGCCACCGACTTGACGCTAAATTATTACCGCATCCTATCATCTATCCCCTAGCTAGATCATAGAAGACCTAGTCATCATTTCTTTATTTCCTCTTGCGAACTTAAGTATGTGCGTTCTCAGAAAGAGTGATGATATCTCTTTGTCTTTTGTCTACCGAAGATATTACTACCACAGGATGGCTTCTAAACATATGGCTCTCTCTCATCATTACTACTGGGCAGGGTGTTGAAATCCAAAGGCAAACGAAATGCATCCTTCAGCAAGTTGAAGACACGTCGTTCATGAAGGACGGCCTTCTGCCTGATTTCCTGTTGTAACCGGTATTTCTGTGGTCGTCGGCGGTTGTGACTCTTCAATCAAGGAGGCTTCGTCTGGAGAAAGAGAGAGAAAAGATTCCTTGTATTTCATTGTCCATCTGCGCACCTGGAAGATCATGGGTAAGACATGAACTAAAAAAATCTAAATGAGACACGTACTGGCGAGAAGACATGTTCCCGTTCGCCCCAATCAGCAAGGAAGACACAATAGACTATAGCAGCTAATCATTATGAATAAATTTACCATGGTCACCAGTGACAGCGCGAAAACTCACTGGGTATCAGGGTATAGGTGAGGATGTGGGATGCGGAGTACACCCATGGTGGACGGAAGTCTCCATCATCTTGCTCAGTGCTCTGATTTTGACTCGGAGTTGGTCGAATTACTGGGGACTTTTTTGAATAGGAACGTATACACGGTGTTCTGCGGGCCAATGCAGTTAGTCGGAAGCGGTTGATTGTGAACATGAAGAAAAGTATGAATAGGCTGACCAGTGAAACCACAGCCACCGATATAGTACCTGTAAATTGTATTCTTCGATTCCGATGAGCTTCAAACGACACTTCCTCGCGACAATCACACATCGAATTTCTCTTAATAACTTCTACTTTTCAAGGTTCCATGACACTCAGAAAGCCAAAATATCTTACTCTGCACTACTTTGCGCACTTGCCGAGCACCTTGGTGAAACAGGCATTTTAACTTCTTACAGAGTTACTGTGTATGAAATTTCGAAAGTGGAGAATCTCATCCCACAAGCAAGTATTGGCGTCTATTCTCAACTTATCAGACAGATCTATTTCGCTCTAAGTACACAGAATATATTTCGGAATCGGATGTTATCCTATACCATAGGGCATGGGCGAGGCTGAGACCCTTCTCGACTTCCAGCTGGCCTTGGGCTTTCGAACAGGGCCGATGATCATTCCCGGCATTCGTGCTGATATGGACGTGTATTCTCTTCCGATTTCTTAGAACCTGCTACTCAGGGTCTTGACGACCTCCTGCCTTGTCTACAAGCGACAGCAGCAGCTGGAGCCCGTTTCGATAAATGGCGTGCTCTGGGCCTCTGCAATTCGTTATCCCTACCCACTCAGGCTGATCTCGAAGTCCAACATAAAAGCTTTGCTCGCTCTGCTGTTATCAGTCAACAAGCTGGTCTGACCATCGTGGGACTTGATATTGAAGACGCGGACCTCAAGAAGAGCATCGAGGTCCACATGAGGATAATCAGTATGTATTATGCGAGATGCACTGCATATGGTGTGTTGCTGGAGGGTAAGAGCTACTTCCTGGCCTTGGGGGAGTTCGGTCGTGAGTAATTGAATTGTTCGCGCAGGTTCTTTGATTAAGTCTTCCTTTCCGCAGCCTGCCCTCAAGCACTCTTCGCATTCTACCATGTCAGCTGAGGAGATTGGCTTGACCACCGTTATAATCCTTGCTCGTCAGGTCCCTTGTCGCAGTTGAAGGCATCGTTTTCATTTCAGGCAAGAACTTCATTAGCTCTCTCTTGTCCGTCCCATCCTAAACTGATATTTTGTGTCATGTAGGTGGTCTTTCTGACCTTGATGCAGTGAAGTTCCTCAATGCGGTCGATATTGTCGCCGACTAGGTTCCTGCCGACTCTCTTCTTTCTCGTCCACCTCATCCCACATTTTCATTTGGACGCGGTCTATAAGGTGATGTTATGCAGAAGTAGGTGGAAGGGTGATGAAGCTGGTGCAAAATCTGTGTGAGGCCAGGGCTAAAGCTTGAGGCCCAAATATTAGAACTCATACATTTTCAGTCACCTTCCAAAATAATAGACGTCTATGACTCAGGTCCGTCGCAAAATCACGACGAGAAAGCATAGCAGAGACAATTTTGAACTCATAATACACGCTCATCAACAAAACTCGATCTCGGAGCTCATCGGTTGACCGCCAGATGCTTTTGAGCAGGTTTATTCTCATGTCTTGCGCTGTCTTCCCTTCATCAGGGGCGGCAATCTCAAACACGGCCTTGAAACATGCCAGATGGCCGACCAGCACAGCGCTATTTTTCCATGTCAAAGTCAATTGGCGATGTTCATTCGCAGGTCCTGGATAGGGTTGCTGCAGATTTATGGTGCGGTTGGCTCATTGGTGATATACAAGGATGATTAAAAGGCATATATCAATGCAGACATGGCCACCAGTGACCGTACGCGAGCTACACATGTGCGCTGTCACCTGCTGATGACTGGACTGTCCTGCATAGAGTTAGTTATTTATGTTCTCGGCGCAGGTCATGTGGTCATTCTCTCTAAATTTAGCGCTCATCTTCGTGAAAAGTACCATGCGGCACTGTCGGTGGTCGAAGACGCCTGTGCAGCCAATGATGGTGTTATTTAAAAACCCATGATACTGTCGTCTCCAGCACGCGGGTGGGTTTTAAACCTCCCGCTCCGTGTCCTGCCTCGTCCACAGGTTTGCAGGCACGAGAATGAACAACTGTCATCGGGCACTTGAGGCCACCACTGACCCCCGTCCTTTGTGATCTAGCTGTGTTTCATCCTGATACGCAGGTAAGCCAGGCTCCAATTCTGGCTACGCGCATGCTATTTGTCGATGGGCGTGGACTATAAAGCCTGGCCAACATCCAGAGGTCAGTCATTAACAACCCAGTCTTCAAACAAGTCAATCTTCAAACCACTTGTCTGCACAATGAAGCTTTCCTCCGCTGTCATCCTTTTCTCCGTCTTTGCTCTTCCTGCTTTTTCGGCGCAGGTCAAAGTGACCTACGACGACTTCTATGACAATGCAGCCACTTCCCTCTCCGAAGTCGCTTGTTCTAACGGTGCCAATGGCCTGTTGACAAGAGGCTACACTACTTTCGGCTCTCTTCCGTCTTTCCCCAACATTGGGGGTATTCCCGACCTCACTTGGAATTCGGCTCTGTGTGGTACTTGCTGGAACTTGCAGTACTTCACTTCCGCTGGGACACATGAGAGCATCAACATCACCGCTGTCGATGCAGCGGATACATTCAATCTGTCCCTTGAGGCATTTGACGTGTTTACGGACTATACTGGTGTCGCTGCGGGCGGGGTCTACTGCAAACTCCACCCTAATAGACGCGAGCTTCTGTGGCATGTAATCACAGGTAAGATGTTTTACGATACGCGGGTGGAACAAGGGCTTACTTTCGAACAAACAAGTATGTCACATCACCAGGAGATCTTGAAGTTTGATGAATTATTATTATTGGGTTACACTCTAGAACTCTTGTCCCATCGTCTTGATTCTTCTGCCGTTGCTGTTATATATACTTGGCTTTCGATTTTCATTCGAAGTACAGTTGTTCACAGTACTTACCCGTTCATTGTGGTTAGTTGGTCGGACTTGCATTAACTTGATTGTCTATAAATTTAAATCGTAGAGGCGCTCGCGTCATCCCCGACTCCGCAAGGAGACACTTCGACATTGTAAGACAATTTCGAGCCAAGACAAAGAATTCGAAGCCACCAAGAAAACAATCACTTGAACCTACTCGACCATAGGATACTCGAACTCGTCCTCATCAAGCACAGCGGTAAAAGTATCTTTTTAGTGGGTTATCATGAGCACAAATATTGCCGTGAAAGACTTTCGGCTGAAGCGGATCCAACGACTGGAATAAATTTATATAGCGGCTATCCAGCACTATTATGTAGCCGTCACTACTAGTAGGGCCCCCAAGATTTCGGGTTTTTCAATGTCATGATGTGTTACATGCATATATATGGTTCTACATCAGCTATGTATGTAGCTGACAGTCAGGCTATATAAAGCTACAGGAGGCGCTTCGAGTCAAACTGGGAAATACTCGATCCTGTAGCACACAATTGTACTTGTACTGTAGCTTGTAGTAGTATTAATTTTAATCAACCAATGATACCGGCCACACAAACTCGTAAACTTGTCACACTGATGCACTACTATTCAATTGTTTGACTGTGCTTATGCGGTGTGTACCATGCCTGCGCATCATGAATACATGACGTATCCTGGTGATAGTCGTATCTCCTCTCACATTCCACGCATCCTTTATACCACGAGACCATTCTCGACTTCCAGCTGGCCCTGCCAGTGGGCTTTTGAACAGGGCTATCATTCCTGGTATTCGTGCTGACACGAACGTGCATTCTCTTCCGATTTCTGCTACTCAGGGTATTCTGCCTCGTCTACAGGCAGTAGCAGCCGGAGCCCGTTTCAGCAAATGGCATGCCCCGATACTCTCCAATTCGTCACCCCCACCCTCTCAGGCTGATCTCGAAGTCCAAGCTAAAAGCCTTGCTCGCTGTGCCGCTATCATTTGGTCAACAAGCCGATCTGACCATCGTAGAACCTGATATTTGACTTCGCTGAAGACGCGGACCTCAAGAAGAGCATCAGGGTCCACGTGAGGATAGCCAGTATGTTTTATGCGAGATGCGCTGCACATGGTGTGCTGCTGGAGGGTAAGAGCTACTTCTGGCCTTTGAGGAATTCAGTCGCGAGTAATTGAACTCTTCACGCAAGTTCTTTGATTAAGCCTTCCTTTCCGCAAGCATTCTTCGCATTTCAGTCAACTGAGGAGATTGGCTTGACCACCGTTATAATCCTTGCTCGTCAGGTCCCTGTCGCAGTTGAAGGCGTCGTCTTCATTTCAGGCAAGAACTTCATTGCTCTCTCCTACCTGTCCCATCCTAAAGTGATATTTTTTGTCATGTAGGTGGTCTTTCTGACTCTGATGCAGTGAAGTTCCTCAACGCGGTCAATGTCGTCGCCAACAAGGTTCTTGCCAACTCTCCTCTTTCTCCTCTACCTCATCTTACACTTTCATTTGGACGCGGTCTGCAAGGTGATGCTATGCAGAAGTGGGTGAAGGGTGATACGCTGATGAAAAATCTGTGAGGCCAGGGCTAAGACTTGCCCACTCACGGCAAAAGGCGAAGCTCTAAGCCCAAAACATCAGAACTCATCCGTTTTCAGTCACCTTCCAAAATGACTCAGGTCGGTCGCAAAATCACGAGGAGGAAACATGTCAGAGGCAAGTTTGAACTCATAATACATATTCATCAACAAAACTCGGTTTCAAAGCTCATCGGTTTACCACCAGGTGCTTTTGAGCAGTTTTTTGTCATGTCCTGTGTTGTCTTCCTCTCGTCCGGGGCACCGGCAATCTCTTATATGGACAAACACGGCCTTGAAACATATGACATGTCCGACCAGCACAGCGCTATTTTTCCATGTCAAAGTTAATTGGCGATGTCCATTCGTAGGTCCATAGGGTTGCTGCAGACTCATGGTGTGGTTGGCTCCTTGGCAATATTCAAGGATGACTAAAAGGAAATATATCAATGCAGACATGGCCACCGCACGCAAGCTACACATGTGCACTGTCACCTGCTGACGATTGAATTGTCCTGCATAGAGTTAGTTATATTCTCGGCACGGGTCATGTGGTCATTCTCTCCATATTTCGCGCTCATATTCGTAAAAATTACATGGTAAGATAGGAGATGGCACTGTTGGTGGCCGAAGGCGCCTGCGCCGCTAATGATGGTGTTATGTAAAAGCCCATGATATCCGTCGTCTCCAGCACCCAGGCCACCGTATTTGGGTTTTAAGCGTCCCGCTACGTGTCCTGCCTCATCTCACAGGTTCGGAGAGTTAACAACTGGTCATCGGGCATTTGAGGCCACTACTGACCTCCGTCCTTTGCAGGTCTAGCTGCATTTCATCTTAATGCGCAGGTAAGTCAGGCTCAATTCTGGCTAGCGCGCGCGCTGTTTGTCGATGGGCACGGACTATAAAGCCTGGCCAACATCCAGAGGTCAGTCATTAACAACCCAGTCTTCAAATAAGTCAATATTCAAACCACTTGTCCGCACAATGAAGCTTTCCTCCGCTGTCACCCTTTTCTCCGCCTTTGCTCTTCCTGCTTTTCGCGGCGCAGGTCGAAGTGACCTACGACAACTTCTATGACAATTCAGCCACTTCCCTCTCCGAAGTCGCTTGCTCTAACGGTGCCAATGGCCTGTTGACAAAGGGCTACACCACTCTCGGCTCTCTTCCGTCTTTCCCCAACATTGGGGGTATTCCCAACCTCACTTGGAATTCGACTCTGTGTGGTACCTGCTGGAACTTGCAGTACACCACTCCCACTGGGACATCTGAGAGCATCTACATCACCGCTGTCGATGCAGCGTATACATTCAATCTGTCCCTTGAGGCATTTAACGAGTTGACGGACAACACTGGTGTCGTTGCGGGCAAGGTCACTGCTACCGCCACCCAGGTAGACGCGAGCTTCTGTGACATGTAATGAGAGGCGAAGTCTTTTACAATGCGCGGGTGAAAAAAGCTTACTTCCGAACAACAAGTATGTCGCATCACCAGAATATGTCGAACTTTGAAGAATTATTGGATTACACTATGGAACTTTCATCTCATCGTCTTAATTCTTCTGCCTCTGTTGTTATACATACTTGGCTTTCGATTTTCATTGTTCACAATACTTACCCGTTCATTGTGGTTAGTTGGTCCGAGTTGCATTAATTTGATTGCCTATAAATCGAAGTTTATCTTGATTGTTATGATGTGTCATCGATGTTTGTGAGGGTAAGTTAGGGTGGTGAACGATTTATTGTCTTTGTTGCCATCATGAGTCTCTATCAACTTGCTCCCAAACCACCTAGCACTTGGCCGTCGCATGCTTTAAGTGAGCAATGCTTCCACGACTCTTTACTTGCCTCTGACACTGCAGCTAAAACATGGATGCTCCACACATTCAAGTTTCAACGGCTTCTGACACAGAACTGGTGCATAGATCTCATCCTCTCGGACGAAATTCGGTTGATAGAAACATTTTTTAACTCGTAATTCATTTCTCGCTTTTCTTCCCTTATCTGCACCTTAGGGCCCCTATCCATTTTCCCTCGTTTGCCAAAGTTATCGGACGCGTCCGAACACCGAACCGAACATGAGCCGAACGTCCGTGTTCGAGCATGTTCGGTCCAGTGTTCAGCAACTAATCGCTGAACCGAACGCGAACTTCGTTCAGTTCAGTGTTGTGTTCACCAAATTCCTGGTGAGCTAGACTTTGAATTTAGGGAACTTCCAGCTGGCCCTGGGCTTTCGAACAGGGCCGATGATCATTTTCGGCATTCGTGCTAACACGGACGTGCATCCCCTTCCGATGACTTAGAACTTGCTACTCAGGGTCTTGACGGCCTTCTGCCTCGTCTACAGGCAGTAGCAGCAGCTGGAGCCCGTTTGCAGCAAATGGCATGCCCCGATACTCTCTAATTCGTCATCCCTACTGTGCCGCTATTAGTCAACAAGCTGGTCTGACCACGACCATGGAACTTGATGTTGATTTTGCTGAAGACGCGGACCTCAGGAAGAGCATTGGGGTCCACGTAAAGATAATCAGTATGTTTTATGTGAGATACGCTGTGTATCATAGGTATGGTGGTGGAGGGTAGGAGCTACTTCCGGCCTTTGAGGAGTTCTGTCGAGTGATTGAATTGTTCATGCAGGTTCTTTGATCAAGCCTTTCTTTCCGCAACCTGGCCTCAAGCACTATTCGCATTCTACCACGTCAGCTGTTGAGGAGATTGGCTTGGCCACCGCTATAATTCTTGCTCGTCCTGTCCCTGCCACAGTTGAAGGCGTCCGAGTCGTCCTCCTTTCAGGCAAAACCTTCATTGCTCTCTCCTGCCTGGCCCCACCCTAAACTGATATATTTTGTCAAGTAGTCTTTCTGACCCTGATACAGTGAAGTTCCTCAACGCGGTCAATGTCGTCGCCAACAAGGTTCTTGCCAACTCTCCTCTTTCTCGTCTACCTCATCTTACATTCTCATTTGGACGCGGTCTGCAAAGTGATGCTATGCAGAAGTGGGTGAAGGGTGATACACTGGTGAAAAATCTGTGAGGCCAGGGCTAAGACTTGCCCACTCACGGCAAAAGGCGAGGCTCTAAGCCCAAAATATTAGAACTCATCCGTTTCCAGCCACCTTCCAAAATGACTCAAGTCGGTCGCAAAATCACGAGGAGGAAACATATCAGAGGCAAGTTTGGATTCATAATACATATTCATCAACAAAACTCAATTCCGAAACTCATCGATTTACCACCAGATATTTTTGAGCAGGTTTTTTTCATGTCCTGTGCTGTCTTCCTTTCGTCAGGGGCATCGCAATCTCCTATATCAAACACGGCCTCGAAACATGTGACATGTCCGACCAGCACAGCGCTTTCTTGTTATGTCAAAGTTAATTGGCAATGTCCATTCGCAGGATAGGGCTGCTGCAGATTCATGGTATAGTTGGCTCATTAGCAATATTCAAGGATGGCTAAAAGGCATGCATCAATGCAGACATGGCCACCGCATGCAAGCTACACACATACACTGTCACCTGCTGACGACTGGATTGTCCTGCGTGGTGTTATGCTCTCGGCGCGGGTCACGTGGTCATTCTCTCCTTATTTCGCGCCCATGTTTGTGAAAAGTACATAGCAACATACTGCCAAGGCAAGAGACAGCACTGTCGGTGGTCGACGCCCGTACAATCAATGATAGTGTTATGTCAAAGCCCCCAAGAGTGCGCAACATCGTCGTCTCCAGCACCCAGGTTACCGTATTTGACTTTTAAACGTCCCGTTACATGTCCTGCCTCATCTCCTAGGTTTGCAGGCACGAGAGTTAACAACTGTCATCGGGCACTGGAGGCCACTACTAACCTCCATTCTGCGGTCCACCTGTGTTTCATCCTGATGCCCAGGTAAGCCAAATTCAAATTCTGGCTGCGCGCGTCCCATTTGTCGATGGGCACGAACTATAAAGCCTGGTCAACATCCAGAGGTCAGTCATTAACAACCCAGTCTTCAAACAACCCAGTCTTCAAACAAGTCGATCTTCAAACCACTTGCCTGCACAATGAAGCTTTCCTCCGCTGTCATTCTTCTCTCTGTCTTTGCTCTTCCTACTTTTGCGACGCAGGTCGAGGTGACCTACGACACCTTCTATGACAATCCAACCACTTCCCTCTCCGAAGTCGCTTGCTCTAACGGTTGCCAATGGCCTGTTGACAAAAGGCTACACCACTTTCAACTCTCTTCCGTCTTTTCCCAGAATTGGGGGTATTCCCAACTGCACTTGGAATTCGCCTCTGTGTGGTACCTGCTGGAACTTGCAGTACACCACTCCCACTGGGACACATGAGAGCATCTACATCACCGCTGTCGATGCAGCGTATACATTCAATCTGTCCCTTGAGGCATTTAACGAGTTGACGGACAACACTGGTGTTGCTGCGGGCAAGGTCACTGCTACCGCCACCCAGGTAGACACGAACTTCTGTGACATGTAATGACAGGCAAGTCTTTTACAATGCGCGGGTGAAAAAAAGCTTACTTCCGAACAACAAGTTTGTCACGTCACCAGAATATGTTGAACTTTGAAGAATCATTGGGTTACACTATGGAACTTTCGTCTCACCGTTTTGCTTCTTCTGCCGTTGCTGTTATATATACTTGGCTTTTGGTTTGATTCGAAGTACAGTTGTTTACAGTACTTACCCGTTCGTTGTGTTTAGTTGGTCGGACTTGCATTAACCTGATTGTCATAACGCGGCGTCATTGATGCCTGTGAGGGTACTAAGTTAGGGTGGTGAACGATTTATTGTCTTTGTTGCCATCACGAGTATCAGCTTGCTCCCAAATCACCTAGCACTTGGCCGTCACATGCCAATGCTTCCACAACTCTTTACTTGCATCTGTCACTGTAACTAAAACATAGATGCTCCGCACATTTCAACGGCTCCTGTCACACATAGAACTGGCGAACAGATCTCATCTTCTCTCGGACGAAATTCGGTTGATAGAAATATTTATTAACTCGTAATTCATTTATCGCTTTTCTGCCCTTGTCTGCACCTACTAGTACCCTGATACGTTTTCCTTCTTCTTATCGGATGCGCCCAAAAGCCGAACCGAACATGAACCGAGCGTCCCGAACGCGAAGTCCAGTTCAGCCACGGCGTTGGAGTGGGCTCTGCTAAATGCGTGCGCTGGACTCCACAACGAAGTGATGAAGCTGCTACTGCTCCCGAGACTCTACTTGGCTGCGCTCCAAACACTGCCAAACACGTCTGCGACCTGACCGGTCTTCCCTAAGAACTCTGCCAAGGCTCTTCAAATTAAGCATATGAATTTTTCTACAGACTACTCAGACAGTCCATTTTTTCGGTATTTAATTATTTGTGAGTTGAGGCCATGCATCAAAATGTTGTGGGCCATCGATAGTACTCCAGAGTTCGCCGATTTTCCTGGTGAACTGGATTTTTCCATCACTAACATTTGGGGGAGGCAAAGGACCCAAGTTGCTTCTGTAGTATTGATATATCTATATCTATGTACATTTATTTATGTCCAATAATGCGAATTCATGATATTCTCTAGGTACAACGAAAGAATTACAAAACATCTGTTGAAATGGTGAAATAATTGAGCTCGCTGTGTGCAACAGCGCCGAGCACGAAGGTTTCGAAGTGAGCATGTGATAAGCTTGGCTTACCCATTTTGGTTATCATAGGGGTCACCGCGGTCACATGCACAGGTGTACAGGCACGCGGTGCAATTCAAGTGCCGGCACTCCTAAGCACCACCAGCACTCACTCTACACCACTGTAAGGCCCTCGGTTGCCCGGTATTAATATTGAGCATTTATTCATTTGACCACAGAGACTGAGACGCGAACCACGCTAGGAAAACATATTAAGAGACGGCAGGACGACGAGAGACCTAAAACCATACCTCAGTGTTTGGAGAGGTATGAAGGAAGAGCCCGAGATGGTACGTATTATATATGTGAATCCACGTGATGAATAGCAAAAAGAAATGTACGATGGTGACGACGATGACGACGACCAGGCTCTTCTCAAATGGTCGGGACCTCGGGCCAGCCCAGAGCATCTGACTAGTGCAGGTAAGCCGAGTATAAAGCCTGGCCAAGATAAAGAGGTCAGTCATTAACAACCTAGTCTTCAAACGACTCAATCTTCAAACCACTTGTCTGCACAATGACGCTTTCCTCCACTGTCATTCAAGTTCTTCTCTCTGTCTTTCATGTTTCTCTTCCTGTGACACAGGTCGAAGTGACCTACGACAACGTATATGACAATCGAACCACTTCCCTCTCCAATGTCGCTTGCTCTGACGGTGCCAATGGCCTGTTGTGACAAAGTGCTACACCACTCTCGGCTCTCTTCTGTCTTTCCCCAACATTGGGGGTATTCCCAACTGCACTTGGAATTCAACTCTGTGCGGTACCTGCTGGAATTTGAAGTGCACCACTCCCACTGGGACAAATGAGAACATCTACATCACCTGCTGTCCATGCAGCGGATACATTCAATCTGTCCCTTGAGGCATTTGATGACTTGACGGACAACACTGGTGAAGCTGCGGACAAGGTCTCTGCTACCGCCACCCAGGTAGACGCGAGCTTCTGTGGCATGTAGTGACTGGCATGTCGTTTTACAACACGTGCGTGCCGATACGAACAAAAAGCTTACTTCCGAACAAACAGGTATGTCACATCACCAGAATATCTTGAAGTTTGATGGATTACACTATGTAACTTTCCTTTCTTCGTCTTGATTCTTTTGCTGCTGCTGTTATATAAAGCTCACAGTAGTCACCCGCTCATTGCGGTTAGTTTTGCATTAACTCGATTGTCCATAAATGGAAAATTGTCTTGATCGTCATGATGCATGATGGGCGTCATCGACCCCTGCGAGGGATTTAGGAGCCCTAGGACACAGGGGGGGCGAACGATTTCTCTTGATTGCCACCATGAGTCTCTATCAACTTGCTCCCAAACCACCCACCAAGCTCGGTATCTATCGTACCCTGGCCCCCACTGCGGGTGTGCACGTTTCCCCACTCGCGTTGGGAGCCATGTCCATCGGGGACAAATGGCAACAGTACGGAATGGGTGCAATGGACAAGCAGTCCTCAGTGAAGCTGCTGGATGCGTATTTCGACGCAGGCGGGAATTTTATCGATACTGCGAACAACTAGTGAGTACCATATTGCTGGGCTGTGAACCCCTCCTGAGCGGAATGCTATAGCCAAGACGAAAGCTCAGAGCAGATCATCGGCGAGTGGGCTGAGAAGCGTGGCATTCGTGACCAGCTTGTCATTGCTACCAAAGTTTGTTGTTCCCATCACTTCACGACATAATTTTCTTGAGCTGAGGATTACCTTTCGAACAGTACACAACCAATTTCAAACGAGGCTCTAATGAAGCACAGAAGGTTAACTTCACTGGAAACAACGTCAAGTCGATGCATCTCAGCGTGGAGGCGAGCCTGAAGAAACTCAGAACGTCTTACATCGACATCTTATATCTTCACTGGTGGGACTTCGACACCAGTGTTGAGGAAGTCATGAACGGATTGCACATCCTTGTCCAGCAGGCAAAGTTCTCTACCTGGTAACGCATATGAAAAGCCCCTGTCACATCATTGAGTCATTAAAATCCATTGTATCAGGGTATCTCTGACACACCTGCCTGGATTGTGTCCAAGGCAAATCAATATGCTCGTGATTACGGGAAAACCCCTTTCGTGATCTATCAGGGCATGTGGAACATTTTGGAGCGCTCATTCGAGCGCGACATAATTCCCATGGCTCGCGCTGAAGGTACCGCCGACGCTTCGTGGCCAGATAAATCCTAATTAATTAATTGTCCTATTCAATAGGTATGGCGCTCGCTCCTTGGAACGTTCTCGCCAGCGGTAAATTCCGCACAGACGAAGAGGAGCAGAGACGCCGCGAAACAGGAGAGAAGGGGAGGGAAACGTTTACCGGAAGTTGGGAACGCACCGAAAATGAAAAGAAGGTGTCCCATGCGTTAGAGAACGTAGCCAAGGAGGTTGGCGCCAGCCACATCACCGCCGGTAAATTTCATTATATCTATCATAAAAATACATTAATAAGCGGGCAATGTAGTTGCCATCGCATACCTTATGCAGAAAATGCCGTATGTTTTCCCCCTAGTTGGAGGGCGCAAGGTCGAACAACTGTATGGGAACCTCGAGGCACTTGATATATCATTGTCTCCGGAACAGATCAGGTATTTGGAAAATATCGTCCCGTTTGATCCGGGGTTCCCTACCTCCATGATTGTGCGTAGTGCCAATCTCAGTCGTATATACCAAGCTGACGCATCATCTCGCAGGGCGATGGGTCATCTCCTACTATGCTTCTCGCACATACCGCTCATTTCGAGAAGGTCCCGCGCGTCGAACCAATCAGGCCATCAGGAAAATAAGAATCTCATGTTCCTAAGCGCCGTGTCTGGACTCTGTACAATATTTGTTCCATATCAATGAAACTCTATTGATTGGCAATTAATCTATGACTTGCACTTCACTATCATGGCCGACTGCCCGAAGCCTGTTTCCAATCTGAATTGTACATGATTAACTCGTCGTGGGCCACTAGCTTGGTGTTATGTTGGCGGTTGTGCACCGTCGTCGAATACCGATAGAACACCGGTGTCGAGCTCATTAAGAATCCGGATTGAAATGGATTTAGCCCCGTGAATCTGATTTATCAGTTATCGACGATGATATGGCGATCACCCGAATGCTCTGATAGTACTAGTACAGAAAAAGCACAGCGTCGCAACAGTGGAATTACACCCCACCCGGGCCGTGAGCTTTAGAACCTCGTGATTCTCGTCGGTAGCCTCATGATCCAAACCAAGTGGAGTTACCTGGGCGCGTTCTCCTTGGCGTATTTGTACAATCGTATTGGTACTGAAATTTCTGACAAGTTCGTTGCTTATCCTGGACTCGGTTAAAAGTCCCGATAAGTTTCTGTTTAAAAATATGATGTCAGGAAGTAATCTCAAATTACATCTGGAGAGGCCGCAATGCGCAGCTCGCCGCGACACTTGGAATTTGTGATGACATCATATTTGCTACCCATGCGAGTGGTATCGGTCCTTAATATCCTCATGTTGGAGATTACGGGGACAATCTATCTATCGTCCACTGCGGTTGGTTGTCGGGCGAACCTTCCACACGAAGATATCGGACACGGTCATGAAGCCGTGAAGGCTTTCCAAGCCAAAATTCAACTTCGCTGTGTAATTTCAACGCGTAAGATTGATCTGTATCCGAGAATAGGGAAAAAAACCCTACCTGGGGATTACCCTCCATCCACCCCAGAAGTTAGGTAATGGAACATCGCCTTCTTTGTCGGATGCCTGCACTCCGAATCGCTCCTGAACCTCGGCTAATCGGTTGACCAGGTCATCTTCACCGATGACGCTGCTCTGATGGCTTGCCCAAGCACCCAAACGGGTGCCTACAGGGCGGGATTTAAAGTACTCTTCGCTCTCTTCTTTCGACAACTTCTCGACCCTGCCAAGTACCCTCACCTGCCTAGACATCTCACGCCAGAAGAAAAGCAGGGCAGCTTGAGGGTTCTCTTCCAGTTCTTGAGACTTGCGAGATGTATAGTTAGTATAGAAAACAAAGCCCCGTTTGTCTAGCTGTTTGAAGAGCACCATGCGCGAAGAGGGTATACCCGATGCTGTTGCTGTGGAGAGAGTCATAGCATCCGGTTCGCGGACATTGGCTTCACGAGCTTGGTTGAACCAGATATGAAATTGCTCTAGCGGAGATGTGTGGACATTTGACGGGGGTGATATGATCTGGGGTATCATATTGGATATGTCCTTGGACTTGAAGGCAATCTGCTGATTCTGTAACGGAGACTGAGGACATGAAAGATCGAGAGAAGCTACTATAGACGCAAAAAGAAGAAGAAGCCGCCGGGATGAATCTGCGAAGTGTTGTGGAGGTGATGATAGTACTGGTTAAAAAGAGCATATACTTCTTCGACCGTTGTCAAGGATAGTGCCTATTGATTCAGCCTGATCGATTTGAATAACTTCGGGGATTCAATTGGTACTTGAACTTGAAAATCAACTTCAGAGCACGTCGTTTGTGAGTCGTGATGTTTCGTTGACCCGACGTGACTGGTGCGAGACTCGAACTGGGCAGATTATCGGTAAAAACTGACGAAGTTCACCAATTCCGAGTTCGTGAATCATATCCCACACAATGTCTCGCTTTGTGATCTCTTATCGCACGGGCTCTCCAACTCCAATGGCAAAAACATCAGCTGCGCGACGGAACTTGAAGCTGCCGAATTTCCGCTTGACGTACCGCCTCGTTTTACATCTGGCGACCGCGGATCATAGACTATCCAGAGTCATGTGAGAAGCTCTACGAACACATTCTGGCGAATACCAGGCAAGCGCAAGAAGACGTATGTAAATGAACAAACTTTAACATCCAACAACATTGCGAACTCCATAAACGACTCGAAGCGAGTACTTCCATGCTTCATGTACGGCATCTCCATCTTATCGATGAGCAGGTATCTCACAATCAGCTGCAATCTTTCTCGGGTCCATTACTCCTGCCGAGGTGGGCGAAATCCTTGAAAGGAACCTCTCGGAATGAGTGAAGATAAGTGATAATCTCTGCAATGCTCAGAACTCACTTGGCTTTTTTTCTGAGTCTTACCGACTGAGTTTTCAACTTCTCAAAGTCTGTACTATGGTTGGCTCCAATCATTCGCGTATAGAATGGCATAGTACGTACGTTGCTGGTGTTTGAACGATTTTAGTACTAATAGATGAACTTCCCTTCTGTTTACGTGTAACCCGCCCAACTATGTACAAGATAGGCCGCCGCGTCTGGCGCTTCAGTAGACGCTTGTCACTCTCGATCAGGAGTGCCCTAACTCACGAGTCATGTGAGGCTAGGCTAGTACACAAACTCAACTTGGGGCAAGCCTCGGCTCGCTAACTCGGCATCTGTTCAAATCAGGATAAAAGTTTGTGGATTAATTGTGATGAGAACATAGGCTTACCTCGGGCACAGCAACGGATTGATGGAGAAGGCGGCGTATTCCGTATTCGCGTATCCATGTCGTCTGATAGCAGGCCCGAACGACTACAGGCAAACTGGACGTTGACAAGAACAGGAGTCGTACAGGGGTTTTCATCTTCAATGATCTAAGCTTGCTACCAAAGGGAAGCGACTGAGATTTGCTGGAGCTCTCACCTCGTTTCGACCATTTTCCCTTATAGTAGGGGCAGGAACAGTTGCCAACCTATATGGCCCTTCAGTTGCCACCTCATGTGTATGGGCGCCAGCGCAAATAATTTAGTTTGTAAGTTGTTAGTTGCTCTTATTAGTCGGCCCGCGAAAGCGGAAATATGAAACGTTGATCCCCTCAACATGCGCAAGATAGGATTTCGATAGCTTCATCGCAGGGGGTTATTACCTAATGGCACCCAGCCCTGACCCTCGGTTTATTGTGTGCGATTGGCCCAAATAAATGGATTGAGTTCCCCGAGCAAGCGTTTGACTAAAGTGGCGACGAGGGTACTGATCTGAGTCGACTAGCTTAGCCGAGGCACTCCCCAGTTTTAATCTGTACAAATATCTAACAACGGTGCCCAGGCCCACGATAACATACTCCAACATACCACTAGATACTTATCAGCTAGGTACCCTGGAAGTACCAGGCAGATAGAGAGCTGTCAACGTGATGCAGTTCTGCCGCTGACAGCGCTGCTTGGACGGTCTATGCAGGAACTTCCAGGAGCACTACCAAATTTGAAAGCCACGAGGGACCGTCCAGGCACTCCGTGAAGGCTTGAAATGTTGTGCCACCGCAGAGGCATTGAAACAGGTCCGCGAAAATGATATGTATGGGACGACAGTGGTTTCATGATTGGTTTCACTTATCCGTGTGCGCTGGCAAATGATGCGCAGCTACTCAGACCGCCGATGACCAACGTCCCCGCGTTTGGAGATATATAAGGAATTGGGTCGACAAACGCTGGACCGTCATCAACATATGTCATAAATCAGAATAATACTGTCTGATGGATTAGCTTACAATCGTGATTCTCGATGGGAATAAGTAGTGCAATAAACATGCCGTTTCTAGATTCAACTGAGGGTCCTCGACGTAAAAAAAAATTCAGGGCTAGTCAACTTGAGCAAGTTTACTATAAGTATAAACTTTGGAAAGTTCTAAGCTTCAAGAAGGAGAAAAAAAAACTGAAAATAGGACTAAGTTGTGGCTAGCCTCAGCCACATGCCTGGGATTGCCGGCATGTTCCGATTAGGATCTGAGATTGTAACCAATACATCCACTGAAATGATTTCTTAGAGGTCTTAATCAAGTCTTCATCTCCTGGTTTTCACTCTTCTCTTTCCTCCACAACTCCCCAGTCCCGTATCCATCTTGCCTCGTTGCCCAGCGAGCGCATTCAATCCTGAATAATGCACTCCATATCCGACTTGACAACGTTCTGTCGGAAGACGACCGGTGACGTCCCTCCGAAGCTTGTGGTATGCATGCATTTCGCCTTGTCTATCATCCACTCATTCAGCGTTCGTCAGGGCGCATCTACCACAGTCGTAGGGTCGAAGATGTATCTTTTCGTGCGTTGCTAGTCGATCTCTATCGTCTTTTCTCATCATACTTTTCGTATACTAGGGTGGGCGCCTGGTCACAGAGCGCCGCATGGTCTCGGATCTATATGTGTTCGACTTGGAGACCTTTGTCTGGGAGAGGATCACGCCGTCTCCAGAGGATGATATCCCAGAAGCACGATATTTTCACTGCACAGAGACCTGTGAGTGTCTCCACCTGGTTGATTGTCGCCCAGCTCTCATGCAAATCTGATTTACCACAAGGGAATAACCAACTGATTGTTTTCGGTGGTATGGGCAGCACCCCGAACTCCAGTAATCCAGAAGATCTTTGTGTACTCAATGACGTCCGTTTCTTCGACTTGTCAATAATGCACTGGCTTCCCACAACAGCTACTAACGGTGCTTCTGCGGAGTCTGGCGCGGAGACGTTGGTTCCAAAGCCTCGATATGCGCATCTATCATCTGTTTCAGCTGACCGTCTTTTCATCATCGGAGGCCAAGACCTATCGAATGTTTGGCTGGATGACATCTATGTGTATGATTTATTGGGTAGAGCTTGGGTTCAGCGCCGAAACTTTCCCCACCATTGTGGTACCTATCGTAGCGTAGCCGTTTCCGCAAACCAACGTGTCCGATTACCGCAGGAGGAAATCCACTCGACGGATACGACTCCCATACTGGGTCCCCCTGGGGCACGATTCCGGCCCGAAAAGTCCCCGCCTTCAACGCAAGCATTCACCTCGTCCGATTCGTTTGTTCACATGCCGTATTCAGCCCCCCCAACTGACGACTTTCCGGATGACATCTACCTGTACAGCAACTATAACGTAAGCTGTCAACTGTTGTGACTGCTTTGTTTAAGCCTGATGACATATCTATCACAAAGTTCACAGACGTCAAGCGAGAGTTCGAGGTTTTTTCACCATTGCCAGACACAGATTTCACAATCACGGATCGTTCCGCAGATATGACAGGCACGTCATTCCCCCCAGGACTCCGTTTTCCCTCAGGTGCTATCCTGGGCACGCACTTCATCATTGCTGGCACGTACCTGGCGCATACATATCAATCTTATTCTATCTGGGCGTTAGACATGTTGACCATGACTTGGTCTCGTATTGACTCGGGGAGCGCCATGGCGACTGGCTCCTGGTTTCGTTCCTGTCTGTGGGCAGAAGCGAATAAACTTATGATCTTCGGAAACCGGAATGGCAACCTCATCGAAGATTATAACCGCCGGCTTCTCAGTTGGGATCACGTTGCTGTTATAGATTTGGAGTCGTTTGGAATCTATCAACCTCCACCTCTGCAAATCGATATACCAATGCAGGAGTTTGGATTATCAGCCCTAGAAGAGGGTGTTCTTGCTGACTTTGAAATCATCTGTGACGACGGGCGCAAAGTCAAATGTTCGAGGAAGACTCTCGAGGATCGTTGGCCCTGGTTCAAAGATCAAAGGAACAAGTTCTTGGCGCGGGCTCGACAGGCAATAGAGATTTTGCCATCATCTCCCATGGACGTTGGGCTTCCGGATCTCCCTGGCGCACCAGGGTCCTCGGAAGCGCGTCCAGACCCACGTCTCACGCCACGTGCCTTTAACCTGTCTGAGCCTTATCCTATCACACTCGCGCTATTGCAGTATTTTTACTCATTGGCACTCATCACTCCCCTCCAACATGCACCTGCGGTGTTGAGCCAATTGCTGATCCTCTCGAGTACTTATCAAATTCACCACCTTGAATCCCTTGTGAAACATGCAATGCATCGGGCTCTTTCGAATTCGACTTCTGTCGGTGTGTACGAAGTTGCAACGCTGTGCAGCTGTCGGAGCCTTCAAATTAGGTTTGTTTATCCAGTACCTCTTGACGGCATATTTTAACTTTTTTCCGTTCAGGGCACTCAAAACAGTTATGGTGATTATTTCAAACACGAAGGGTCTCTTATCACGAGCTGACATAGTTCTCAACTCCTAGTCTTATAGCCAGAAGCGGACTGGTCGTTCCCGCGCTGACAGTAGAAACGGAGGCGGTGGTCGCAACCCCGACCCCAGTGACAGCGATAACCCTGGTCGTTCGAGTGATACTGTCCCGACATCAAGTCACAGCCGTGGCGGTGGTGTTTCGGACGCAAATTTATCTAGCTCTCTCGATCAGCAGAGTAGTACAGGCTCGACAACAAGAGGCTTCACAGCTAGTGAGTGCTGCTTTGGAGACCGTGAGTAATTACGAAGTATTCTAACCCGTGATTTGGGTGTCATGTAGCTTTTCCCACTCATGGTGGATCATCATGTCAGAACTCGGCTGTCACCGCAACTCCCACAGTTTCTCAAATAACACAGGCCTCACATAAGAACACTCTTTCTGAATGTACTGTAACGCCACGGAGACGATCCATGGCGCACCACCACAGAACGTTCAGCATTATTTCGGCACATACGGACTTTGAGATATGCGCCGTAGCCGACCTCCTGTCACCTGCAGTATCGCATCCACGGAGCTACGCCGAAGAGCAAGAGCGCGTTGGGGTCGCAATAGATGATGTCGATGATTTCCTTGATCCCAGCAATGGTGTTCACACTACCGGAATGGCTCCTGTCATGCCATATCTTCTTCTAGAGCACGAAGAACCTCTTTCGCCTTCCTTCGGATCCCATTCCATGACCAGCTCAACCACTCATTCAGAGTCAGATTTCGATATCTCCTCAGACGATTATTCTGGCCCTTACACTCCATCCATCCCCTCCTCCCCTGCTTTCCACCTTCCACGTCGCACAAGGACGCGATCACGCGCTAGCAATGGGCACGTAAGCGCCAGTGACAGCGATACACCCTCCTTGTCGTCTTCAACGACGTCTATCAGCTCGAATGGCAGTATCTCGCAATTATACTCAACATCGCCTCCTACCAGCCCTACCACCCTTAAAACTCCCATTGATCATCCGGCTGTTGCTAACCAGCAGCTTACCATTATTGAGGAGCGAACAGCAGAAGACCGGGATATAACTGGTCGTCGCTATTCTGACTCGGGCAGCATCATCTTTTCGCCTGATTATACAACACCGTCACTACGGAAACCATTTATCACACGAACTCCTGACACGCGACCGAAGGGTCGTGTATTCAATGTAGAACACCTGCGACTCAATGTTCAACCCCCGGTCACCCACCATTTTCCATCCATATCACCTGCACCTTCTTCGACCTTTGATATTGGCTCACCCACGGGCAGCACCTTTTCCCCGGCAAGTGCCTATACATCGATGACCAGCCCTCGCCCCACGAAGTCCTCTCTGAACCATCTTATGTCCCCGTCCTCTCTGAACCATCTCATGTCCCCGGGCCCGAGCAATACTAAGGCACCGAGCGTGCTTGAAAGCGCATGGTCAGCGTCTCCAACTGCGAGCGTCGTAACATCCAAAACTGTTCGCAAGGAAGACAGCAAAGCAGAGAAGGCGCGGAAATTGGAGGAAAAGAAGCGACAGAAGGCAGAGGCCAAAGCTGAGGCTAAGGCTAAAGTGGAGAGATTGGCGGAGGAGTTGAAGGAGCGTCAACGACGTAAAGTTGCCTCAGTGGACAGGCAGTCAGTGCACACCCATCGGTCATTTGGCCGTGTTGCACGACGGCATTGGGACGATGACATTCCTATGTATAACGGTTTGGGCGCCCTTTGATTGTCGTCCAGTTGTCTTCAATTTACTTTCCACTATTCTTGCTCGTTCCTAGATTTCATAGTATATATATCATGTTCATTTTGCATACATTTACAGTGTCGCCCTATCTGTCATTAATGTATCACGCGATGTACCGGATTAGTCTCAAACCTATTGGAAACTCATCCCAGTGGCTTTGAGGTGAAGATAGCGATAAATTGACTATTAGAATTGGAAAGAGAAAGGGAGACATGAAATCCGCGGTGCCAATGACATCTGAGCTAGTCATTGCCTCATAACCACGGTGAAGATTTTCCACGTGCAACCTGAACTCCGTCACAGCATTAAGCTCGTTGTAGTTACTAAGGTGAAGCGGGGGAAGAGTCATCCTCATAGTCCATCAGTGAGAAGGGAGTTTGTCGGGAGATCTGTTACTGCTGTATTGCCCTGACTTTCCCCCATCTCTGGCTCTAATTGCCTAGCGGCATCGACATCGGCAGTTGTAGCAGCAAATACGGGTGGGCTGCCTTGAGTACCTGTCATTGATGCATCGGTGGAAAGGATCGAATCTCCCGAAAAACGGGGGGCAATGATGTGATTATCTGTGAGCCAAAAACATTAGTACGGGCGCAGAGAATAAATAGGGGACAATCTGGAACATACATTCCCTTGCATGCGCTGTAGCTGGCGTTGAGCAAATTTTGAACGTGTTTTTTCAAACAACCCACTCACCGAGATCTTTCTGTCTGCTGCAGGAGGTGCCTTCCTTACAGTCAGGTCGGCGAGTCACAGTTTCCTCAAGAAAACCCTTCTGCCTTTCTCGTATCCACCAGTCCTTAATACCCCAGAGCATGACTTCTGTAGCACACTGTCTGCATATCCTATTTCTCGGCGCATCTGGATTCTCATCAATCCCGGCGGTAACGCTGTGGATATCCACGAACAAGTCGAGCTCTATTAGGGGGCGGAAACCATTAGGCTGAGAGAGAATGTGTGATGCAACCTACACCGCGTCAAATATGTAGGGCCGTAATCAAAGGGACCATCACTAACCTCGCGATAAATATGCCGAGGTGAAAGTTCTTGAGCAGTCAGGTAATCAAGCATGATATCGACTTCGACGGTATTATGATCAAAGCATCCATAAACTTCGGATGATTGGATGAGATCACCGAGGTCAGACATATTGTGAGGGTGCTGAGACAGCAAAGGTGCCGCCAAGCAACGCCCTGGTACACCAACGCCACAAAATGAGACCTGGCATAGGTCACATTTTGTTGTGGAGGGAGCGCGCAAGGCGAGAAGATTTTCGCTAATAGCCAGGTAAGAGATGATCAAGGGATAGTCGCATTCACATACCAGTTCCCGCAAAATGCATGACCAGGAGGATTACCTAGAGTACAAACAACTAAGATAACTCTTCAGTAATGAAACTAATGGTGCAACCTACCGTCATCCAAGTGCCACGCACGCTCTGGGTCGACGCCGTAATCGATGACGGGCTGAGGGCACCTCCAACCGAATGCATTATCCGGCGTACAATGAGGACAAGGGCGAACATAATCCGCATTTTGATTCAGGTTGGGTTCTGGTGACGCCTCTCGTGGTGTTGGGATCTAGGAGACACATGCTTCAGAAACGCATTCGTAAATGAACTGATTCTTGAACTACGCACCCTCATAGAACATCCAGCCTTGTATACCTCATCCGCCTGAATTCGTTCTCGTTCAGCGCGTTCTCGTGACGGATCGGCACGCAGAAGAATATCGACGATCGATTGCAGTGGGGCGTGATGGTGTAACGATAGTAGATACCCCTCGACATGCAGGACAGTTCGTACCTCCATTCTGGAGTCGGTACTCGTTAGATCAATAGCTCCGTGATGATACAAAAAGGGGGAAAGAATGAACGCATGCAGCCAGCATGAATACCCGATGTGTCGGGTAAGCGCATGGTGTGCCACGGAACGACTGGAGACTGGAGACCAAAAACTCACACGAATCCACAAAACGCAACAGCTTGACGGAGGTCAGCATTGGAATAAGACAACATTCTGAAAGAGCCATACCTGCCGCAGAAGAAGTGCTGACAAGGGGACACGACCACCGGTCGGTACACTAGCTCAGTGCAACAACCGCATTGAAGTTCTTGAGCAAGATCCTCTGCAAGGGCCTCATAACCTGGTTTAGCGGCAGACTTCTCGCAATCTGGCTCATTTCCCAAGTCCTCTTTGAACCGCTTCTTGCTCGTCTCGTCCTCAAGTCCTTCGAATGAGGAAGGGGGCCCGCGTTTCAGGGCTGAGCTGGAGGTGCTTCCACTGCGGGACATTGACAGCCCCATCATGGAGTCGGATGTACCTGAATACGAGGGTTGCGGTTCTTCCATCGTCCTTGAGAGTTTGAAAAAGAAAGATGTGAATGTTGTGAAGAGCTTCAAGGTCTTTAGTACTTTAGTACTTAAAGTACTGACCAAACAATCACTTTCTATTTTTGGGTCTCATTCGCTACACTACAGCGTCACTCAGTGATTCGTAAACAAAAGGCATAATAGATAGATATAGATTCCATACATAGAGTGGCAGTATAGTAGTGCGAGACAAGAAACAAATATATTAGGGAATAAAATCATGTGGTTTGTACTCTACCATGCCGGACTCGGGGAGGTAGGCGGTTGTCCAGTACTCCCGTATGCACGCGTCAGCCGTTCGCGAAGCTTGACGACCCTGCGTCGTATTTCTGAAGAGCAACAATGAGAATAAAAAGCTTGTGCAAGTCAAACCATACCTTCGCACGGCCAGAGGGCGTTTAGGTAATCTACAGGCTTGAAGAACGCCGTGCAAACGTCAAGAGCAAGGGTCAGTGTATTGTCGCAATCCCACAGTGTAAGTGCCCTAAAGCAAGAGCCCCGTCGCTAAGCCATACATAGGAGTAAGATGACGCGCTTACCGGCTGATCTGACTCATGAACCAGAAAATAAAGAATGGCCTTTGCATGAGGGAGTGAGTAACATGGCCAGTCACCGCGCCCATTCCAAGTACAACGCGCTGAGCAACATTAGCCTGGTGTGATACTATTCGCAGGTCATCAATAAAGGAACCACAGGATGAATCAAGAAACTGACGCCATTCCTCGGCCTTGGTGCGGTGGAACAGTCCATTAGCATCGCTGTATGAAACATGATAAATCAGTGATCAATAACAATAAGTTGCATTTCAAGACTCACGCGGTAGCGACAGGGATAAACCGTTTGAAATCATGAGATACCGTCATGCGAACGCTGCAAAAACCAGTCATTGCACAGAAAATCGAAGTAGTGAGTCCCCAGCTTACTTGAATAAATACTCCCGACCTTGGAATAAGAAAGTCCTCTCCAAGCCACAGGTATGCGCGTCAAATGCTTGCTCCAACGCATCTGCTTCTAGCCAAGCATCCACTCCAAAACGAGCCATTTCAACCCCGTCTGCACTCGAGGTGCGTCTGATTTGCAGGCAACTGTGCCAGAGAAGCATCGTTCGGTGAATTAATGCCCACACGGTGGCTTTACCTGAATGATGGGACGGCATGCTTGACAATCCTAGTGCCTCTCCAGGAAAGAGCAGCGCATACTACATAAAATGTGAGTACCTGACTGACAAGGATCGCCAGGACTCACATTCGCGGGCTCCCTGAGGAAAAGTTCCGTAGGCGTGCGTTTTTCAGCAGTAACGTATGATGTATGGCCAGCGATTAAGGCGAGGGCGCTCCAACATAATCGGCGGCACCCCTCTTTGCGGACCTCAGCTTCTGACCAGTTATCATCCCACGCAGGGGTGGTAACCCAAAGTGGGGTGTACTCATAGGCAGCTGGCCAGCGTTTCCCAAGCGTGATAGAAGAGCAGGAGCAACCTTCCAAAGGATGTTGTAGCTGAGCGACATTAGGAGTGGTGAGTAAGTGGTCGGTTGGGTATACGGCCTGCCGAGGGGGGCTCCATGCATGGGGTGCAATCGCAGGTACTGATCGATGCGAGAACTTGGCAGAGTGTGGATTGTCGACATCAAGAAGGGTCAGCCCTAGGCCGCGTATAATCATGTCAAGCATGAGTATCGACGACGAGACCCGCTCACTCGTGTGTTGAGGATGGGGGCAGATCTCGAAGAACGCCAGAAGCTAAGAGGCGATCGTGACACATGAACACAAATACAACGTTGCAGATGTATGAACTGACCCAGGCAGCTTGAGCGAGCGAATCATCAATCCATCGAGCGTTAAGGCTTGCCTCAAAATGACCTTGCGCAATATCTCGTAACCTAACAGCTCTGTCTCTCCCTTCCCTCCCGTTGCCTGCTTCTGAACTCTGAAAAAATGCAGCAATAGCGAGGGCAGCTGGAAGCAACGCGGGCTGCATCCGCTCCCTCTTTACGGGATCAAAGTATCTCCCAAGGAACTGAGGAACGTTAATAAAAGTAAACCAATAGTTAGATCCGCGGAGTAGAAATTGAATGTCTGCAGTGACTGAGTCTGTAGCGTGGCGACGTTGCGTCGCAGTTAGGGAAGGAAGGTATGACGAGGAAGTATACATGGCAAGAAGTGAATCCCACCATGTTTTACGAGTGAAATCAAGAGAAGGTTCGGGTGTGATATTTGATGATTCGTCTGAAGTCTCACTGGTCTCATTGTCCAGTGAAGTAATGAGTGCCCGAGGTGGGCTGTGGCCATATGACTCAAATAACTGAAAATCCAACTGAGTTGCAAAACCGAAACCACTGTTTGTGTCCTTGATTCATAGGTAATATGAGCGGACTTCGTCCAACAAGTAATTAAGTCGGTACCTCAGTGCTCGTCATGGTACGATATAGAACTTCATTATCTGAAGGTGCGACCAATGTAACTGCATCAGTGAGGATGTTCAAGGGTAAGGGCTGAAACGAGTTCGACCCTACTGAACCCTCTACCGGAAAAGGAGACATGGCAGTTAACTGTGGGTCGATAACTGGTGGGGGGATGTTAGGAAAGGGGATGAGTGATTCGGGCTGAGTTTGATCGCTCTCCAAGTCTGTATTAGCCGTTTGATCCGAAAGAGTATTGGTCGCAGAGACCTCGCGCCTTATTCTGCGCCGCCGACGGGATGCGGGAACGTCGATCTCGCTTCCTACATGAGCATCCCGAGCCGTTCGCTGTCGGGCGCCAGGAGTCTTGTCAGGACCCCGACGCTTTGGCACTGCATCGTATGTACATTCATCTCCACTCTTGGAACGTCGACTGCAATTATGGCATTGAGGTTTTGCCCCGTCACAACGTATCTTGCGTGTCCGACTGCAGTTGTGATAGATCAACGGTCAACTCAGTGAGGCTCTAAAAACGGACGAACCATTGAAGGCAAGCAACGTAAACTCGAGCACGGGGCTTTCCCTGCGTGGTAAGTGGCTGATCTGGAGCAAGCTCAATTCGCGGCTTTTCGCGGCGAGTTCTGCGAGCATCGGCAGTATCATCCGCTCCTTCGTCAGGTTGCTCAGGTGATCGCGAGGATTGAGATTCAACGTTTGACGGAGCGGGAGGGTCATGGATCAAAGCGGAGCTGAGCTGGGATACAAAGTCTACCGCAACGACTGGAGGGCGTGACATCATGTTAGAGCGATAATAAGAATCGGTCTCAGAGGCTAGCCGTGGATCTCGGGTTACATAGTTAAGCATGCCAGAGTTCGATCCATATTGAGAACGGCTAGATGAATCCAACTCAGATGCATAGGTGTGGGAATGACCATATGATCCTGGAGCAGGAGAAGCGAAGTTTGGGTTCATGGCAGCTCTGGAATCTGGTGAATGTCTGGAAGGTGAGATGCCGGGAAGAGACATGCTGGTGATTGAGGGGAGTGATTCGGGGTTTAATGAATCCTTCAATTGATATTGCTGTGAATTAGAAGGATCCGAAAGCAGTGTATTCCGAGTCTCGGAGGTGGTCTGCTGTGTGTGATACATGGTTCACGGAGTAGCACTCGCAAGGACGAACGAACGCCTTGTCACAATGGTGAGTGGAAGGAAGAAAGATGGGGAAATGTTCCTAGTTCCTTCAAAGGGGAGTAACCTCCACCTGTTGATATGTGTTTTGTTAGGTGGGAATGGCGCTGAACATGGGTTGTCAGATCGGCTCGGAGGTTCGACCGCCGCGACGATCCAAAAAGCAGCGCGACAAACGACAGTCAGAGAGGAAAATCTACAAGATCGAGGTCAGTAAAATCATTAACAACAGAAGAACGGAATATACGGGTGCTGTCACTTAAAGCTTGCAGCGAGCGTCGGACCGTCTCAGCACTGCTGTTGAAGGCATCTGCACACTTCCCACCTTAGTAATGCGGCAAGAACGGCAACTTCCGTAAGTCAATCTTTCTTCCACCTGAATCATAATGGCGGGCCGCTCAGGAAGATCTTTTCGTGGTTAGGAGGTTCCTTTGTTTTGTATTCGTCGGTCTTGCTACCGGTGCTTAACCCAGAAACAGCACATGGAATGTCTGGTCAAGTGACCAGACATATTTGGAGGGGCCATCTTATTTCGAGCTCGTTTAATTCCCAGAATGCACGAAGGAACGAGTATCTGCATCTGATGGGTTCATACATCGGTCTAATTTCGTTATGTTTGTTGCAGCGACCACCAGGAATAGCTCTACTGCATGGCACAAACACGCCTGTGCCCGTATGCGCGCATGCTGTCCATCCCTCAAGCGCAGTCGCCGGTCCAAAATTTAACACTCGGCATGCATAAGATCATGTTTCCTTTGCAACATGTTTAGCAAGGCTGCTAACCACATTCCTCCACTGGGACCCGGCATTTCAGCTTTTCATCCACTGCACCTTGCAGGACATCATGTTTATCTTTTCTTCCACTTTGAGCTTTATGCTCGCATGCATCTTGCACGTTGCGGCGGCCCCTCATCCCGCACCTCCTGGAATACGTCGGGCGGATGTCTCAGTTGTCACTCAGATGACGTCTACCCAGCTGGCTGATTTGGCGCCATATACTGAATTTGCTCGTGCTGCTTACTGTTCGCCCACCATCGTAACTGGCTGGCAATGTGGTCGTAAGCAGTCCCACCCTACCTTGTTTGATTTGCCTTGGCTCAATAATTGAGCTCTTAGAAGCTTGCGAGGCGGTGCCTGGGTTTGAGGTTTCTCTCACAGGGGGTGACGACGACAATATCCAATATTGTACGTCCCAATCAAAATATTGCACGCCTTTCCAGACATTTCGCAGACTACGTTGGTTACTGGCCGACAGAAAATACCGTGGTAGTTGCTCATGAAGGTACAGATCCAACCCAACTGTAGGTGTACACGTTTCACAGCATACAACTTGAGGAAACAAACTTATTGGCCTACATAGCCTATCTGATCTCACTGATGCCGATGTATTGATGGAACCCCTGGACCCCACGCTTTTCCCCGGTGTCAATAGCAGCGTTGAGGTTCACAGTGGATTTGCCAACGAGCACGCGCTAACTGCGAGTATCATCTTGAAGGAGGTGAAGAGCCTGATCTCTCAGTATAACGCCAACAGTGTCACATTGGTCAGCATCGAGCATTTTGTAGCCACTCTAAAATAACTTTGATATTTTCGAGAACAGGTCGGACACTCCCTGGGAGGCGCCCTTGCGGAGCTTGATTGTGTGTTTATGGCCTTGAACCTTCCCTCTAGCATCGCCATCAAGGGTATGTACATACCAGTAATTTTACAGGGGCGCGGGATTTTCACAGTCGGAATTTTTAGGTGTGACATATGGTACACCCCGCGTAGGAAATCCAGCATGGGCCGCTCTATTCGATTCCCTTGTAAGCTTGATTCTCCCCATCGGATCTCGTCGTGCCTTCCCCACATTAGAATTATGGTTAATTACTAAAATCACGGGCAGATATCGGACTTCCAACGGACTAACAATATGAAGGACATTATTCCGATCGTCCCGGGGCGCTTCATGGGCTTCTCACATGTCCAGGGAGAGGTCCACATTATATCTGATGGATATGCAGTCGAGTGCCCAGGCGAGTATAAAATTTGCCTTTTCGAGCATGATCGTTCATAAGGATCTGTATAGGCAATGACGATGCCACGGATGCTCTGTGCACAATACGCAGTGTGCCCAACATCCTTGCGGGCGATATCTTGAACCACTTGGGTCCATACCAGGGGATTTATATCGGCACAATCTTTTGCACATGATTGACATGGACTATTATATTGACATGGACTTGTATTATATCGGCTGAATGGGATATGTATTGATTGGTCTTTATGAATCAAACATGAATGACCGCAAGCATGGGCGCAATGGTGCCCGCCTCTATCATGCGGCATCGTCCCCCAATACTACCCGCATGCTGCGAGAACTCGTCAGCAAGAGATTTACAAGTAAATATTGCAAGTACTACAGGAACACTGGCTCCCGACGATGACATCGTGGTCGCTATTTTGGCCTAAATTGAAGAAATATTTGCCATCTCGGCCGAAGCTGAGGGTTGTTGCTTAGTAGACGGTCGCCTGACGGCGAGCGGTGAACGCATTTAAACCCCTCGATGACGAATACAGCATCTACACACGCTGGCAAGCTATATCGGTCAAGAAAGATTACAGCTGCTTTCATGTCGATAGACTATGTTTCATTTTTCCCCTTACCGCTTCTTTTTACTTGTGGAGCTGGACAAATAACAGGGTCCCACTCATCACAATACCTTGGTCGGGCGAAATACCCTTGAATGGAAAAGGCACTCTGCCAGTAACACAATCAACTCGCGAAAGTTGGTTTCACTTGGTCAGATCATATTGTGAGTACATTAAGAAATTGAGAGTGATGAACAAGAATAACTTGCAGTAAATAAAAAGTGAACGAATCAACACCTACAGCGTATGGATGGTGTTTAAGTTCTCGGCGTCGCATTCTCGTTGAATCATCTTCTCGAACGCTGTAAGTTATATGATGACTGGAAAACTTTCTGAGGAAAAGCCGAAGCCATCACAGGGCATAAAAGTGAATTCCTTTTCATGAACAGACTATCACATAAAAAAGAGGTTTTGGCACAATGACTGGGCCACGTTAAGATGGACCTTCAAGGATTTATGCACTGCAAAAATATTGTCAGTAGGTTTCGAACCAACTCCAAGAGCCACAGATTTTGACTCTATGGTGATAACCACTCAGCTAAGAGCAGTTAGACGGACCTCTGAGGAAACCATCCACGAGTCAATGTCAAGGTGTGTTCCAATAGATCATTCAGCAGGTTTCAGACCTGCACAGAGAAAAAGATTTTGATTCTGTTGCGGTAACCACCTGGCTAGCCGCTAAGACCAATTAAGATTAAGATGAACATTCGACGAAACTATCTATGAGTGAATGTCAAAGTGTGTTCCGATAGGAAAAACAACCTTGTCAGCAGGTTTGACAGATCTTGATTCTGTGGTGGAAACCACTTGGCTATGAGACCAGTTAAGATGGACCGCCAAGGAAACCACCATGAATAAATCTTCAAGGCATGTTCCGACAGCAAAAAAGAGACCTTGTCATAGGCAGGTTTCGAACCTGCGATGGCACAATCCAAAAGATAGATTTAGATTCTGTCGTGGTAACCCCTTCAAGGTGACCAGGACGATGTTGAGATGAACCTATGAGGAAACCATCCATGAGCGAATCTTCAAGGCGTGTCCCGATAGAAAAAAGACCTGTTGATCGACAAGTTTCGAACCTGCACAGTTCAAGAGAAACAGATTTCGATTCTGTTACGGTAACCACTTAGCTAAGACCAGTTAGATGAACCTCCGACGAAACTATCCATGAGTGAATGTATCAAGGTGTGTTCCGAGAGAGAAAAATCTTGTCGTCGGCAGGTTTCGAGCCTGCGCACTCCAAGAGAGACAGATTTCGATTCTGTTGTGGTTCACACGCTTCGCAAGGTGAGATAAAACATTTGTCGACAGGTTTTGAATCCGCACCACCCAAGATTTCTGATATGTTCTGCCAGGTGCCAGTTGGCTATGACTACTTAAGATAGACCTTGAAGGATTCATCCATGAGTGAATGTTCAAGGCGTGATACAGGAAACAGATTGTTGAGCAGGTTTCGAACCTGCAACAGATTTCTGCCCTGTCACACTCACCAGAGTCACCACTGGTCAAGATGGACATCTGTAGAATGAGTCAAAGAACATCATGTGTTGACCATGACAGTAGAATCACATAGGATTAGCGATTTAGCAGTCATTTGCCAACGCAGAATGAAATAAAAAGACTGGCGCCGGCGCTAATAGCTAGCAATTCTCAGGGGGGTATCGTACAGCCACAATTGTGGGCTGAAATCGACGTTGTTCAACTTCGACTGTTGCAGTAAGACGAAAAGATCGAGTGCGAAGGCATCGAGAGGCTGGGCTGTGTCCGAGCGTTAGCTCGGGCTGGATGCTGAAGGATTGAGCCGCCGGGTGGGCGGGCAAACGAACATCGATTTTGGTGTGCCCTGCACAATGAAAAATTGCGAAGTAATCATTGCACGGTGGAGTAGTGGCGGGTAGGAAGGATAAAACGAATGTAGGTGACGAGAGAACTAGTGAGGCCCTGACAATGAGGAGAACAAGTAAACGACGGGTTTCGAAAGGAAAAAGGAATAGCCTAAATCCCGAGGAGGGGACCCCGGGGATTGGAGCGGAGTAGCATCCGAGTAGCGCCGTAGCTTAGCGAGCCAAAGCTTAGTATCCTTCGGGCTTTATCGTAGCGCTGTGCTCTTCACCACTTCTTGCCTTGCTCGCGACACGCAGGCACACACCACTCCAGCGTCTCGCTCAGTTGGACGCATGGTGCTGGTCCTTCGGTAGACTCCGAACCGGCACCTTGCTCATTCCCGCTATAGGGAGTGGGTCTTGTCGCGCGCTACTTGTCCATGGTATTAGTAAGCCAGGCTGCCTAGCAAGCTTCAACACTGCCGCATATTTGAAACTTGACCTTGAAATTTCGGTGCTGAATCTCTGATACATAAATTCCACGCGTTACAGTCGACAATGACTCGACATGCATTGCAGTGACGTTAATAATTTAGTCTTGCTTAAGCTGACTACTACAGCTGGTCTGGAATTTGTCGGGGTTGTCCGTTCGAGTCCTTACAAACTCACGTTTCTTAGGCTGTGAGGCGTCACCGTCCATTGATATTGTCTCTGACACTGAATTCAAACCAGTCACGAAAAAAATGAAAGGTGTGCGTCACACAGTTCAAGCGTTGTTGATGCGGCCTCAAGGTCTCACATGTGCACATGTGAGGATTTCGATTGTCGTCCGCGTTCAAAGTTGGAGCGCTGAGCTTTAGCACATCGTCATAGGGTTAGGGTTACACTAAAATTTCGGTCAATGTTGGGCTGACTGCGTTCCTAGCTTCATGTGTCTAGTTCGACCAGTCGCCACGAGGCCAGTTCACCTGCATGCCTCCAAAACTCGCCATGTCTTTACGTGCCGTGTCTCCCAATCTTTGACAACTGACCGCGCGGGCTCTAAAGCCCATTCAAAAACCCTTCTCTTACCAAAAACCTCGTTTCCGCTGTGGGTCGACTCAGCAAAGTCCGAGTCGCTTTTTAAAAAGAAGACTTGCGAAGAGCTTTATCGATGGCAGGTGCGTTATTCATACTCACCCATACTCTTTGTTAAATGCAGTGTACAGGCTCAGAATGTGCACCGACCACTCTTCGTTCTCCTCGACGGCCCTCCTTACGCCAACGGTCATCTTCACATAGGTACGCACGAGCAATATACGAACATTTGCGATATTAATATTTTATTATTTCCAGGACACGCTTTAAATAAAATCATAAAGGATATCATCAACAGGTACCAAGTCTTGACAGGTCATCGAGTGCGGTGAGTGCTTTTTTCCTACGATTCATTAATACCGCTCATCCGTCGAAGTTACCACCCCGGCTGGGATTGTCATGGTTTACCAATCGAAAATAAGGCTCTAGAGGAGTTAAAGGTGCGTAGTTCTTCCCTCCTGGCGGTGTCATGTCGACTGAATATGAAATTAGAACGATTCCCTCTCGTTACCCCCCAACGTCATACGCGCGGCAGCCAAAGCAACGGCGGAGCGCGAAATGAAGACGCAGCAGATGGAATTTGAACAGTTCTGTATAATGGCCAATTGGAGCCCCCAATCAACCTTCCGCACGTTTGGTAAGACTTCACACATGTCTATGGCTGCATTCTGACTGACTGACCTCTTCCTGAAGACCATGAATATGAGATTCGTCAGCTTCAGGTATTTCAACGAATGGTCGAGCGAGGTACGCGATTTCTTGTCTCTTGTCACCCAACTCTATCATTTATTTCGTATACTACATAGGTCTTATTTACCGGCACTACCGACCAGTACATTACTCTCCCTCATCGCATTCCGCTCTCGCGGAAGCGGAGCTCGTCTATAACGATGAACATGTCTCGCATTCAGCCTATGTGACCTTTCCGTTGGACTCACGGACTGCAATCGCGAGCACAGCTCTCCGAGAAGTCTTAGCCAAGGAGCCTTCGGCAAGTTTACTAGTATGGACCACTACGCCTTGGACTCCAACAGCAAACATGGTATGGATGATTTTTCTCAAATTTAACAGCCTCACAAATATCCTTCAGTAGGGCATCGCCGTTCATCCCGAATTGACTTACAGTTTCGTGCGCTCATCTGTCAAGGAGGACACTCTCGTTGTTGCCAAAGATTGTCTTGTCGCGCTGGAGCACATCATCGGACCCCACGAAGTTATTGCTGAAATGAAGGGCGCAGATCTGGTGGGCGCGCAATTTCGCTCCGCTCCACCTGTCTGGCTCAATGAGCGCAAAGATCATTGCGGCATCTCATGTCACATCAGAGTCTGGATCTGGTCTGGTGCACTGTGCCCCTGCACATGGCGCAGAAGATTACCTGGCATTTCGAGCGCTAGGTCTTCTGCAAGGCCCCACGGATATTGTGTGTCACGTCGACGATGCTGGCAAATTTTCTCCTAATGTTGCTCATATCGTAGGCGAAGAAGCTGCGCAAACACTAGTGGGACAAGAGGTACTCGAGGGTGTAAGCAAGGCTATTGTCAAACTACTGGAGTCCACCGGGTCCCTTGTGAAGGTACAGGGGATCAAGCATCGCTACCCGTATGATTGGAAGACTGGTGAACCTATCATTGTAACGTAAGTTGCGCCCGGCAAGAGATGCTCACCTCGGTGCTTACATAGCTTAACAGGGCCACTTCGTAGTGGTTTGCCAACCTGGACGGCATCAAGGATGATGCACTTCACGCGCTGAAGGATGTACAGTTCTATCCGCCTTCATGTATGTGCCTTCCGTCCTTGAGATTATATTCTGAATTTATTTGATCACAGCTCGCAATCGACTAGAGTCGTTCGTTCGCTCGCGTTCCGAGTGGTGCATTTCTCGCCAGCGAGTGTGGGGTGTCCCGATCCCGGCTCTACACCACACCCCAACGGATACCGTCGTCCTCTCATCCGAATCCCTCACTCACGTCTTACGTGTTGTGTCTGAGCGAGGCGTGACTCATTGGTGGGAAGGTCCAGTCGAAGACTTCCTTACCCCCGAGCTACTCGCCCAATTCGGAGGTGGTCCTGAGGCCTGGCGCAAAGGCACGGATACGATGGATGTCTGGTTTGATAGCGGGTCAAATTGGAGTACACTGAGCGCCCCCACAGGCGGGAGAAAACATCGGGCGGACGTATGTCTTGAGGGCACGGACCAGCATCGCGGGTGGTTCCAGAGCCAATTGTTAACCTCAGTGGGCGTTAGCTCCGGACAACGCGCTGCAAGGCCAGTGAGCCCATACGGAACGCTGATTACGCATGGTATGGTGCTTGATGAGGCGGGCAAGAAGATGAGTAAATCCATCGGAAACATCGTCAGCCCGATGACCATTATCCACGGTGGCAAGGTCAGACATCGCTTATTTTCGCATACAGTTCGCTGAAATTTTGCGGCTGACAGGATAAGAAGAAAGAACCTGCATACGGTGCCGATGTCCTCCGCTTATGGGTGGCAACTGTCGAGTACTGGCGAGATATGTCCATTGGACCCACAGTTCTTGCGCAGTGTGCGGAATCTGTGAGGAAGATCCGTAATTCTGCTCGGTTTGTCCTAGGGAATATTGGTACAACTGCTCAACGAAAGCACTTTGTTCCGGTTGAACGCAGCGAACTGGGGTTGGTCAGTCCACGCATTCTTGATGTCTAATACCAAGTTTGATTGTTGTGACAGGCGGAGCGCTTTGTGATGAACGAACTTTACAAGCTCGATCAAACTGCTGCAGAGGGATATGCAAACTACAATTTCCCCAAAGGTGAGAGCTCATCGTGCTCATGGAATTTGCAAGCTTATGCTCTCCGCGCTAGTCATGAATTCCTTGACCAACTTTGCAAACGTCACGTTGTCATCGCTCTACTTTGACATCACGAAGGACTGCCTCTATGCCAATGACATTCAAAGTGTTGAGAGACGGGCGATTGTGACTACCCTTGCCAAAGTGAGTGTTATCCAGTGAGAATATACTGTTGACTAATGTTCCTATCAGGTCCTCGACTCTATGACCTCTGTAATGGCCCCAGTGCTCCCTTATCTTGCAGAGGAAATCCACAGTACTCTCCATGAAGGTGATGAAGCTGTGTCCCAGTTATCCGTCTTTATGAAGAAGTGGACTCCTGTCGTGAGTATTGATGTCGCAACTACTTGTACTTTCCCTGATATTCTCTTCAATCACACAGAGCGCCGAGTGGAATGATCCACGTGCCGAACAAGACATGACCAGTTTACTGAGGATGCGCAGCGTCGTGCTATCTCTTTTGGAAAAGGCTCGAGGGGACAAGTGAGTGCTCAATTCTTTCTGCGTCTGTAGTCTGAGCGTGTTTCGGTGCAGGCATCTGAAGAGCTCTCTCGAAGCCGAAGTCGATATTATCTTGCCCAACGATATATCCGTACGACCGTATTTGCTACAGCTGATTGAACGCGAAGGTGAGCAGTTTGATCCTCCTGCTCTTCGTGACTAAATGGTAGTTGCGCGCAGAGACCTTCCTGAAGACGCTTTTCATCGTTTCTGATGCCAACATAACGGACGAGGGCTCTCTCGGCACTAATTCATTCGCGTGGTCCTATGTCTCTTCAATGGATATACCCGGTATGTTCTGTGTTTTCGAAAGCTGTTTCTAGCATTCATTCGCCTTATTCCTTCTGCGTAGACACGGACTTGGAGCTGGCGATTTGCGTTAGACCTACATCCTCGAGTAAGTGCCCACGGTGCTGGACGTATACTCGTGAAGAGGATCATGATTTATGTCCCCGCTGTGAGGATGTTCGACGTGTGGATTAAATTGTTGGCGAAGATCGTACACGCCTGTATATAGACTACATACGATCTTAGATAATACTCTATCAATCCCACCTCCTCAGGCTGCACTTATTTGAGCTTGACTGGCACTGTGTAAGAACAACACCACGGCGTTGGGTACATGCGGCAGCATCTTATATACCGAACCAAGGCTCGGCGTTCAACGTTCAACGTTCAACATCGCAACCATAGATAGATTTCCTTTTCCGTCTCCGGACTCTATACGCTCACCTTATAATCTTGCTGTCTCGCCTTATTTGTACCTCAGCGGTTCTATTCATGACGCTGAGGTATGTTCGATGTTTCTTGCACGCTGTCTTCATCTCACTGTATCGTACCTCTAGACTCTGTTTTTAGTCCAACGTTTAACAGGTATTACATGAGTTACTTACTGTTCGATACGCGCCCGCTGTAGGGTTCCGGGAATTAGGGTATGGCGTCTAGTTGACAGGCAACTTAGCATGGCCCTCGCAGGGCCAAATTTACAGGTGTGAATGACATGAAATTCACGCAAATTTACTGACGGGGGTTCGGGGGCAGAGCCCCCGAAAGCTCCAGCTAATTTGCGTTAACTTGCAGGTAATTTCACCTAATTGACTGTAAGATTCTACTCTGCAGACTCCCATATCTCCCACTCGTCATTTATTGACGTCGTCGATAAAGTCACTGCGTCAGCTTAGATGGAGGTCCGTGACTCACGGCTGCACAGGCTGGTCTGAGAGAATATCGAGAAGGATAAGTTGATGTGATCACCAACATCGAACCTGTCACTTTTTTCTCCGTTAAGGCTCTCGTCATCACCATCATCAGGCCACTGTACCTCACTGGTCTGGTCATCCGATTCGTTCATTGCGATATCTCTTTTCATAGGTGGTCGGGCAGGTGGTGGAACGACCGTTGGCTTCTCAGTTTGTTGTTCACAAAGGTCCAAGGATGGTCGCATGCATATTGCGCCATTTGATCGAAGGAGCCGTTTTTGACGCCGCTGACTGAATTAGATGTACATGAGTGTTTCAATAGTCCGAACGAGCAAATGCAACTTACAACAGGTTTCCAGCGGTGCTACTGGTGAATTTGAATGGTTTCTTTCAATGTCGCGATGTCTTGTCTGCTCAAAGTAGGAGCCGCAATAAGGTATATCCTATTTATGTAAGCTTTTCAGGTCCAGTAGACACAAATTCACCTAAATTGACACTATGTTTTCGAGGGTGTGAAATTGACACTGTCATTCACCATGCGGGTAAATTTGCCCGGTGCAAATTCCCGGAACCCTAGCCCGCTGCAACACTCACGATTTGCTTTTCAAAATGCTGCGGAGGTCACGCTTCCAGAAAGAAAACAGATACAGGGTCCAGCCCTCAAGACGTCGCAACTTGAATAACCGTCGCAATATATTCCGTTGGCTCCTAACCATATGTCTCGAAAACCTACCCAAACGCAAATGGGACCAAGTCGTCATGTTCTTGTTCCTTTGCGCTCTCTTCCCCTTCCTTCACGCACTTTTCGGTATAGGGGGAAAAGCTGAGCAACATGTGAACCGCTCAGCGAAAGCAACCGGCGAGCCTCCAAACAAATCACAAGGGAATGACGCGTGTGAAACCACCCTCCTCACAAACCAGCTGCTCGCGAGTGACACCCACACGGACTACCCAGTCGAGAATTCAGAACACACCGCGCACCTCGCGCGCGCGCCCATTACATCGACACTACACCATGCATTCCATGATCCGGCTTCTCCGGTTGCCCACTCAGAGATGGCACCTATAGTGCCTTCAACGTCCGCATTCGCACAGACATCTGAACCTGGTGCTCCGGTATTGTTTCAGGGAGACAAGTGGGATGACATGCCGTATGACCCATTCTATCTTGCATTCGACGGCATATCATGGAGTGCGCCGACAGAAGCAATCTAGACAGCCGCTGCGCAAAGAACTCGGAGCATCCGGCGAATGCAGAGGAAGTTCAGGAGGTGTTCAATGTCAGTGAGGTGTCGAGAAATTGGTGGGTCCCATACGAGACACCAGCCTTGGACTCAATCAGCGAGTGTGCACTTGTTTAAATTATTTCGTCTTCCACGTACTTTTTGATATGTAAAATATGTTCCTTGTAAGTCTGTCCGTATACTGTACGGTGTATATTCATGTCCAAATATTGTCGATGGGTCAACGTCAACGTTCAACGGCAATTTGAATGAGCAGCCTGACATTGATGACTCAGCAGGAAGTACTGCTGCAAGTCCGCTAGTCTCAGCCTTGCACTGTGGATTCCAGACTACTTATGCCTCGTGACACCTCAGCCTCACCGAGAAGGCGGCCCCGTGCCCGAGAAGGAGACCGTTCTGGAAGAAGAGGAGAGAAAGATTATCCCAGAATGGACCGTGCGCACGACAACGGCTATGAGCGCGATTCAGATAGACGAAGGGATAAAGATGACGATGATACTAGACGCGCCAGACATGATGATTATCGTAGAAGAGATGATCGTCGTGACTTTGATCGCGATTCTAGAAGGCCTAACCGCGAACGGGACAGAGAAGATCGATATGACCGTGACCGGCCCAGGAGGCCTAACCGTGAACGGGATAGAGAAGGTCGAGATGACCATGACCGGACCAGCAGGCACCGAAGTAGAGACCTCGCAGTCTCGTCTCGTCGCTCTGTGTCCCCGAAACGACCGTCTTCTATTCAACCCTCCGCTCGCCCACGCTCTAGCTCTCGGTCCAAGTCCCCTCCGCCTATCGACAAGGCCAAACCCAACTTCGCTAATTCTGGGTTGTTAGCCGCAGAGACGAATGCTGTCAAGTTAACTGACGGTACGAGCACAATCCTAAAATACAACGAACCTCCGGAAGCAAGAAAGCCCACTCTGGGTTGGAGGTTGTACGTGTTCAAAGGAGGCGAGCAAGTTGGTCAGTGCCATATGTTTATCTTCTGATACCCAACATTGACTTTTAGGCAGAATTACTCCATATTCATCGCCAAAGCGCCTATTTAGTCGGACGTGATCGTACCGTCACCGATATCTTTATTGAACATCCTTCTTGCTCGAAGCAGCATGCTGTGATCCAGCGTGAGTAGTAGTCTTTATTTACACTTCAGCTGGCGTCTTATGTACAACAACCTCTAGATCGTCAGGTAACGGAGAAAGACGAATTCGGCGCCTCAAAACCGAAGAACAAGTGCGCAATATTACGTTTGCTCTTGTGTCTATCTTTTACAACTGAGAATACAGGCCTTTCATTATCGACCTGGAGTCAACAAATAGTACATATGTCAACGATGAGGCCATTCCGACGTCACGGTTCTACGAACTCAAAGCGGGTGATGGTGGGTACTTCCCATTCCACATGAGCATATTGATTCACCTACAGAATTTGTTGCAGTCATCAAATTCGGATTGTCAAATCGGGAATATGTCCTTTTGCATGACGATGCAACCTGAGGTACCTATGCCTAGCAACGCAATCTCAGGCAGTACACAGAATTTTTTTATCATAATACTTTGACTTGTATACAAGTTAGTTCTTGTTGGATTTCCTCCGAGCTCACTTGGTTTTAGGGGATTTGGCATCAGGTGCTAAGGGCTGAATTGCTTTTTCTTTAAGCAATCGTATCCCTTGTCTCGCGAGTTCTTGCGACGGCATGAGGATCAGGTGATGCACGGCACCTCAGCTCGAGGGAGCTTACGAATCACCACGAACTCATATGAGACGAGTCCAGCGTCCCCAGCTCTGAAATTTGAGGTACGCTGGCGACAAAACGTTACATTTCGTGTTTTGATTGCTAAAGGACTAAAGACGTCCGGGCCGTGCGTTATAACTCCCAACTTTGAGTCAACATGTGAGTCAGGAGTGACCATGGTGTATCACCTGAAACCACAACGAGTGCTGAAGGTGTCCATCTTTCTCGAACTCTTCAGAGGACCGATGGTGGATCACTTGAATCATGATGGTGGATCTGCAGGCATGAGAATTATACCATCTCCCCGTATGAGCTCCACTGCAGACATTTTTTGGAGGATGACTCACCGATCATCTACAATCAATCTTTCCTGAGGGAGCAATGGGAAATTGGGAATGCTTGGAACGCAGCCATGACTTTGGAAATCGTGTGTTGCTCAAATGTAAATGATCAATCGATAAGCTAAGCTCAAGGGCGAAGAATGTCCTAGAGTGTGCGATACACGCGCGCGCGACGCTCCATGGTCCATCTAGACATTTCTCTAGGCGAACAATTTTAATGGTACCGGCAGCTCTCCCAGCGCCGTCGTGCCTAGCGTAACCGTCACGGTGATGAAGTCCACACCTCGACGGCGGCAGTGGGTGGGTAGCGTGCTCGCGGTGGTTTTGATCTCGATCTTTCTCGTCATCGTCGTCGCCTGCCCCTGGTGAAAGCAAAAACTCCCGCCCTTCGTTCTCTGTGGGTGCTGCCTCTTCATCGTGGACCTGGCGTTCGCCAGGTTGGATGCGACCGGCGCCGGTCCCAAGAGGGCGAGCACGTCCACATCGTGTATTTTTGCATTTGGTGCGTTGACGGACCGCATGCGCTGTTCCCCAGGACGCATAGACTTAAGATGGTGGGAGTTTTGCATTTTAGGCTTGATTTGATTTGCATGATTCAGAATACATACACGTTGGAGTACTATGTTAATGAACGTATTTGTCAACATGCGACCTTGAACGAAACACGCATCATTGCTCTCATGGAGGGACCAAGTTCACGGTCAACCACGCCAAAAACCACCCCTGTGGACGTGCAGGGTTTATAAGGGGTCCAAGGATATTGAAGAATGTTCTGAAGGGTAAGAAATTGCGGTATGGTGCAATTATAGGGAGTGCAGGATGGTATTAATGGCACGTTGGATACGGGAAAGGGAATGCCTGGTAAAGGGGCAGTAAATGAACGGTCGAGGGGTTGCCAGAAACGAGGCAAACTTGCTTTCCAGGACCTTGGAGTGTAGGTAAGTTTTGATGAATGACCACAGGACATCAAGCTTCTTGTTACGGAGTAGTACTGCGCAAAGAAGTGGGGAGTAGCCGACGAGCTGCTGGCTCCATCCACGCCGATGGGGACAGGGTCTTTGAGACTCACGCGAGCTAATTATGACACGAACTGGATTTGTATAGATGAGAAAAAGTAGAATCTGGCATGATTTCGGAAGGTGAGAGAGTAATGCAGATAATGTCTTGGCAAATCCCATGTCCAGTATGCGATCCGCTTCGTCCACAACATTACAAGCATGTTATTCCTTGGCAAAGATGCATAGTCCAGAACTTACTGAGAACTTACAAATTATCACACTCGAAGCCGAATGCCTGATCCATATGCTGCAGCATTCAACCTAGTGTGGCGACCGGAATATTCATTCGAGCGAGCCGCTCCCTCTCACCCTTTAGGTTCTTTCCGCTTATCACGAGCCCTGCAGGGCTTCAATGGAACGCAAAAGATCGAAAAATTATATAGCCTTGGTCATGTCACCATCAAGTGACTGAAAAATGAGGGATAGGCAGGACGTACTAATTCACGGGTTAGTGAAATTATTACTGCGCCTAGACCATCCTGGGGGCCCCATTTCCTTCAAAGTATCTCCAGCGTTAGAATGAGAAAAGCAAGGGTTTTTCCGCTCCCAGTGCGAGCAGCTGCGGATACATCTTTACACTTCAAAGAGATTGATATTACTAGTTGCTTGGATTCCTGTCATGTTAACGAAGGACAACTTTTTGAGTCTTGGATATATGATCAATCGCGTTCGGTGAGATTTATATCACACCTTTTTCAGCGAGTTTCCGGCGAAACAACTTCTTGAGGGCCGAGGCCCGGGAAGCGCCGAGAAACACGAGAACCTCTGTCAGTGCTGCTCCAAGTCATGACCGAAACTGAAGAGAGTATGGACCACCCTCACTGGGCTGTGGAAAATGGCACCCAGGACCCTGCCACCAGCCAAACACCCGGGCCATGCCTACAATCTACTACCACTATGTCAGGCAGTGATGGCCCGGATGGGGACACGAAAGGAGCTCGAAATACTGCAGTGGAATGTTCCAAGGACTTGCGGACTCCAGAGGAGATTCAAGGGGTCATCCCATGGGTACGTTATATTGAATACACACATTGTGCTCGCTAACAAATCAGCAGACCATAATTCCTCCTAAACGGTCTCCAGGCTAAAACAAAACTTCAGTCATGTTAGAGATGCTCACTGACTCGATTGTCACCTCGAATACGCATGGAATGTCCAAGACTGCGAACTCAGAGATTCACCGCATGGTACGTCATATCGAATCAACCTGTGGCTAGCTAAACAATCGGTTATGTACCCTTTCCCCGAGCGATCACAAGCCTAAAATCGGTAGTCCACTTCGAGTCAATTATCTGTTAAGAGATGCTGCAGCTAACTCGATTGTCACGAAAGGAGCTCGAAATACTGCAGTGGAATGTTCCAAGGACCTGCGAACTCCAGAGGAGATCAAGGGTCATCCCATGGGTACGTTATGTTTGAATATATATCTATATATATATGCTAACTTATGGCTCAGGCTGAACAAATCGTTGCTCTGTACCCATACATTCCTGAGCCTGATCAATCGATCACCGAGCCTGAAATCGGTAGTCCAATTTCGAGTCAACATGCGAGTCAGGAGCGACCATAGTGTATCAGCTGAAACTGCAGCGAGGGCTGAATGTGTCCCTATTTCTCAAACTCTTCAGAGGACTGACGATGGATCGCTTGTATTTTGATAGTGGGACCTGCAGGCATGAGACTTATAGCACCTCCCCGCACGAGCTCCACTGCAGAAATTTTTTGGAGGATAACTCACCAATCGATCTTTCCTGAGGGAGCAATGGGAAATTAAGAATGCTTGGAACGTAGCCATAACTTTGGAAATTATGTGTTGCTCATATTAATGTAAATGATCAATTGATAAGCTAAGCTCAAGGGTAAAGAATGTCCTAGAGTGCGATACGCGCGCGCGATGACTGTTTGAGCTCCGTGGTCAGTCCAGACACTTCTAGACATCGCTTATGCCCGAAAAGAAAGGAGCCCAGCCGGCGTGCTTATATTAGATCACATCTCTCCTGCGTCATTCCGCTCATCGTGATGTCGAGTTTCACGCCAAACCATGCCCTCTTGAACCCAAAGTTCGAGGGTTACA